ATAAGTTTACTGGAGGCAAGGTAACCGTGCAAAGGGTAGCCCGCAAGCAATAGTCTCACGAGTTGGGGAAGAGTTCAAGTCGGTCTGGGGAAAAGCGTCGTCAAGTTCAGACAGATCATAATGACTGCTATGGGAGGTAGGTGGTAGGTGCTGTAGGTAGGGTACGCGCGGATATTCGAGCTGGAGTTGGCTGGGGCGGATGCATCCCATGTACAGTGTCGGCAAGTGCGAGCTGTCTGCCTGGCTGGGCTGGTCCTGTCCCCCGCTTACCTTATGCACAGTCGCCTGTGTCTTCCATTAAGAGACCAGGGAACCAAGGCTAAGGACTCGATTCCGAAGACGCAAGAGTGCGTCGGTTCGAGACTAGCACGTACGCATACAGTGCTGCACTGTCCAGTTCGTTCCTTGCCTGGCATCAGCTTATGGGACATACATACTACATACATACCTACACTAGACTTTGGGATGCGTTCCTCTCGCTTGGGACACAACATTGAGCCAGTCAGATCAGGCCAGACGACCCCTAGTGTATGCTGCTGCATCTCTGAACTGTATTGAAGATGCAACCCTGGGAGGCGCCCAAGTGTCTGTGTGCCCTTTTGTCGTCCCCTCGTTGCACAGTACCGACTACGAGCCTCCGTGCCTCCGTCCTAGCCTGGGCGAGCAGGGAAAGGATGGTGATCAGACGTTCGGCCAAAGCTTCCATTCGCCATACCAGGCAAGATCGAGTCGTGTGAAAGTGCCCATCGTCGGCAATCCATCTGCTACTCGTACTGGTGTCCGTTTTGAATCCGACAAGTCATTTGCCTCAGCCAAGCTGCTAAGGATCAAGTGCTTTTTGCTGCCTCAGCCATTCTAACCTCGTAAAGGCTGTGCGCGAGACTCGACAGAACAGAGGGACGGCGCTGCCGGCAGTGACAACGCAGTACAAAAGCTCTTATCCACATTCCATATTCCTTCCCGCCTTTTTGCGCCAAGGGGGAACAAGGACTAATGCACTATGTCAGATCAGGTATGGCTCCAGAAAAGGGGGGGTGGGTGACGGGCGAATCGAGTATGGCTGGGTGCTCCTCTCAGCGCATCCCAAAGGCAGCATGAGCCAATCATAGCCGCAGCCACCTGCCTGGGGCCCGGTGGGAGCAGCATATACAGTACAGTACAGTAGTGGTGAGGGCCTGAGGAGAGGAGTCAGGAGACTGCATAACGAGTGAGGGCCAGGGGCTTCAGAGGAGAAGCAAAGGAGACAATGGAGGGGGGCCCCTTCAAAAACCGCGCTGATCCAGGGGCCCTCGCCTGGCCTAGCACCTTGTTCCGTCAGCAGCAGCAGCAGCACCACTGTCCCCCCCGTTCCTCCTTCTTTTTCTGTTACTGCTGCTGCTGGCCGCTTTTCTGTACTGCATTTGCTCCTCTCTCAGGGTGAGGAGTACAGGTAGGTAACCAGGCAGCACAGTGCTGGGTACCGTCTTTGTTGGCTGTCCTGTCTGCTGTCTTCGTCGCCCTCCATCTCCATAATTTCCACTCCGCTCTCGTCGCCCTGACTGGCTCATTTCCCCTCAAGGTCCCACACACCCCAGACTCGCGCCGGTTCACTCACTTCCTCTATGCCGTCCTTTCTGGACAGGCTTTCTCTGGCAGCCTCTCACGCTTCTTTCTGGTGCTCTGGGCTCGCCGTGACTCTGGCCCTTCTTCCGACTGACCTGCCTGAGTAACCGGGTCCCGACCGCCCGACTTTCTTCCTTCCCTCGTCCGTCCGTCTCCCTGCTTCCTTCTCCACACCCATCTGCCTGTCCTGTCCCATACCATCCTATCCATTCATCGTTACCCACACTTTGTCGATTCACCACTTCGAACTCGCCCGCCGCTCGTCAGTCAAATGGTCGCCGGCCCATTTCGACCTCGCTTCCCGACGACGACATTTGAGAGAATCGCCCTCTCATAGTACCACGATCCCGTTCTGGACTGACGTCGTCCAACGTCCTATTCACCATGGCGATAGCCATGGGCTGGCAGAAGCCCGACAATGTCGCCGGCTCGTCGGCCCCGGCCATCATGGTCGGCCTGTTCGTCGCCTCGGGCGGATTGCTCTTTGGTTACGACACCGGGTAAGCCAGCCCTCCGAACCCCGATACACGACGACTGCATGTTTGAGAAATCAGGAGAATGAGGGAGGGGCACACGATGGGCGCCGCGCCTGCGCCTGTGGGACTTTGCAGATGATGAGGCTGATCCGCGATGGGCTATAGAACAATCAACGGCATCCTCTCCATGACGGCTTTCCGACGAGACTTCACGACCGGCTACACCGAAAACGGCTTGCCCGCCATTTCTCCCGCCGAATCATCCATCATCGTTGCGATCCTGAGTGCCGGTACTATCCTTGGCGCCCTTTTGGCTGCGCCCATCGGCGATAGCTGGGGCCGTCGCATCTCGCTTATCTTGTCCGTCGGCGTCTTCAGCTTTGGCGGCATTTTCCAAGTTTGCGCGCACGATATCCCAATGCTTTTGGTTGGAAGGTATGCCGGAGGAAGCCATGCCATTGTCCGTCTCCCGTGGAGCGCGTCGCTGATGAAACATGCAGGTTTTTTGCTGGTGTCGGAGTCGGATCCATCTCAGTACTCGTGCCCGTCTACCAGTCGGAAATGGCCCCGAAATGGATTCGAGGCACTCTCGTATGCGCCTACCAACTTTCTATCACTATAGGTCTATTGTCTGCGTCCTTCGTCAACATCCTGACCGAGAAGCTGCATACGGCCGCTGCATACCGGGTACCCCTCGGCCTTCAACTGGTGTGGGCCGTCGTTCTTGCCATCGGCCTTCTCATCCTTCCCGAAACACCACGCTTTCTCGTTAAGCAGGGCAAGCCGGAGGCAGCAGGGCTTTCGCTCAGTCGCCTAAGACGTCTCGACATTACGCATCCCGCTTTACTCGACGAGCTCCAAGAAATCGTCGCTAACCACGAATATGAACTTACACTTGGCCCAGACTCCTACAAGGAAATATTTTATGGGTCTCCTCACCTTGGCCGGCGAACGCTTACTGGATGCTGCCTGCAGATGCTGCAACAACTCACGGGTATCAACTTCATCATGTACTACAGCACGTCCTTCTTCGACGGTGCCAAGGTCGAGAATCCTTATCTGAAGGCCCTCATTATCAACATCATCAACGTCGTGTCAACTGTCCCAGGTCTCCTCGTCATCGAATCTTGGGGTCGCCGCAAGCTTCTCATGGTCGGCGCCATGGGCATGGCGGTTTGCCAACTTCTCATTGCCTCCTTTACCACTGCAGCCGGGGAAAACCTGCAGCAGGCTGCCCAGACGATACTCATCGTATTCTGCGCCGTTAACATCTTTTTCTTCGCGGCATCGTGGGGACCCGTATGCTGGGTCATTACCTCGGAGATATACCCTCTCAAGGTCCGTGCCAAGGCCAACTCAATATCCACCGCCTCGAACTGGCTGCTTAACTTCGGCATTGCATACGGCACGCCGTTTATGGTTGGACAAGGTGCCGGTTCGGCTGATATTGGCCCCAAGATCTTCTTCCTCTGGGGTGCCTTTTGTATATTGGCTGTTCTATTTGTGTGGTGCATGGTCTTTGAGACCAGTAAGATCAGCCTCGAGCAGATTGACGAGATGTACGAGCGTGTCGACTATGCCTGGAACAGCACCAGGTTCGAACCAAGTTGGAGCTTCCAACAAATACTAGACGAAGGCTGGTCACCAAGCGGCCAGCCCCCTCCGGAGCACGAACTGCAGCAAACGCAGACGAACTCAACCACGCAAACCACACAATCATCACAAACAAACTCGAATTCAGCGACATCAACAAACACGGGCGCTACCGGGAACTCGACTTCAGCAGAAGCAAAGATGTTGTCCCAAATGGGCAATGTGGACTTCAGCTACTGATCATTATACCCACCATCTGCCTTATATCTGCTGTTACTATTATCACTCTTTTTCTTTCCTTGTTTTTTTTCGAATCATATCCCGGATAGTAGCGTCGGAGTTTATGATGTACGGAGTTTACGGGGGGTTCACTGGCCACAACCACCGATGGGCGGTGGTTTTTTGGGGATCATTCTGACGGAAATGGGAAATGCCACTATATTGCAGCGTTCGCTTGGACAGGGAAGAAAGGAATCACGGTCAATGTTGACGAGAATATCCCACCATGTCTTGACGATGGAGTCACCTTTATGGCGCAAGGGAGCCGATGATATACCAAACCCACCTCTTCGGGCTTAAAAACCTAATATGACAAGACGGTGGAACAAGGGCGGCTCTGGCCGACCGAGAAGATGAAGGGGCGTAGTAGCTCCGTTGCCATCTATGAATTTGACTCAAGTTAGTCCAGCTCCTCACTGGTTCGCTTCGCTATTTCCGTGACGCCGTAATTCTCCAACACCAGTCTTCATCACGTATTATGCTCTACCTAGTGCTGCTTCAAATGTGCGTTTTTTCCTTTTAGAGGAAGCATGTTCAAGAGCAGTGCTGAGAACAATGGAATGTTGCGCCTGATTCCTACAGCAACAGGACTAACCTGACAGTGACATCGTCGCCGAAGACTTTGCCCCTTTTGAGTGTGCTTGGAAGCGGTTTCACTTCGATGACCTTGATCCGAACTCGATGGACGACCGGAACATTTTGTATGACTTCTACAACGAGGAAGGCGGCCAGGGATCCGCCTTTGGTGACTAGATCCGGACCAAGAGTAACAGATTCACTGACTTGGTTCTCTCAGTACGCCAAACAATATTACTATCTGCGTCTGCTGAAACTCTTGCTCGATTCACTTCACCACTCACAGCCTGTCACTACTACTGCGCATCTTTCCACGAGCTTTGTCGGCGGTAGAAGATTTACAGCGCTCAACTCGTCGAAGCGATGACCCATGCCAAAATTGAGGCCTCGATACAGGATCCAAGTACAACAGCAAGACCTCAAACGCCAGGGTCCAATAGGCCAAGCAACTACAGAAGAACTACGTGGTAAATCATGGAACTCTTCCAACGCCTCGACGAGGACATCGCAAACCTCATCATCAGCCATGGTTTGCTAAACCTGGACACTCTGCGCTTCGCTACCAACGAGGAAGTCGAGGCCGCAGCAACTCTGGTCCTATATATGGCGGACCCCGACACGCAACTCGCCATCGCCTTGCGGCAGAGCACCATCGTAGACCGACGCTCACCCAACAACAACAACGCCCACGACACTAAGCCGGGACGTTATGTCACCTGGGAGGAGCGCAACAGCCTCCTCGCCGAAAGCAGATCCAACAGCGCCGCGGCTTCCGAGGCCGGCGACGACGACGACAACGGGCCGGATTGCGTTGTCTGCACCGGCGGTCGGCAGCCCAAGAACCGCCTTCCCTGCGGCTGCTGGATGTGTCCGCCGTGCCTGCGGGCGTGCATACGCGCGGGTCTGCGGGCAGGGGGCTGGCCTCCGCGGTGCTGCGAGCCGTTGCACCAAGATCACATCGAGCGAGCGGACCGGGAGCGGCCCGGCCTGCTGAGGCTGTACCAGCAAATCAGGGAGGAGAATGAGACAGACGGTACCGAGAGGGTGTACTGCGCCAGGCCGGCTTGTGCGGCGTTTATACCGCCTCGAGGGCCGCATGCCAGGGGCGATGAGATGGAGTGCCCTGCGTGCGGCGAGGGGACGTGTCGGCGGTGCAGGCAGGGCATACATCCTGGACGGCCGTGCCGGGAGGAAGACGAGGACGAGGTGCTGATGGACGCCATGGACGAGTACAACCTCTCGCCTTGTCCTCAGTGTCGGCGGATCATCGAGCTTGCGGCCGGCTGTCATCACATCACGTAAGTGTCAAACCCACGCGCGAGCGCATCCTCAGATGACTGACGGTAGCAATGTTTGCGATGAAAGGTGTCCTTGTGGATACGAGTTCTGCTTCCAATGCGGCGGCGCCTGGCACGGGCGATGTGCTCGGGGGTGCGGGCTCTTTCCACATGAGGGCCAAGCCCGCGTCCCGGTGCGCGAGCGAGAGGTCAAATATCGTCAGGGGCGGGACCCGGACGAGTTTCCCGCGATTGTGCGGCCAGAGGGTCGGCCTCAGCCCGTGCCTCCGCCGCAACCACTGCCGCAACCACCAGCTGAGATGTTCCGTCCACAGGCGGCTAATGGTTTGTGGGATCCTGCACTCCCAGGTGAGTAACTCCTATCCCAGTCAAAGGAGCGAAAGAGAATGTGTGTGTGTGTGTGTGTGTAAAACTTATAAAAGGAGCCTCAGCTGCGGTCTAGCCCTTCTTGCGTTTGTGTCGCTCGAAGAAATCGCAGCCGACTGATTTGAGTTTACACCTGCCATCTTCGACGGTGTCGTGATAACAGCCCGCTAACTTTAGGACTGTAGCAATGCTTCAAGCGATGCTTATTGAGGATTTCCAAGAGATGAACGGGCCGAATATGGTGGGCATGAATCGAGAAGACCGCCTTCGACAGGGTCGAGGCCGGTATGGCATCATCATGTACTACCCAGACGGGTCTAACACGGAAGTCAGCTTCGAACCCCCCCCTCAACCACTTTATGGCACTCCGTTGATTAGCAACCTCTAGCCCGAGAATCGATACTGGAGAGCCGATCGCAGAGCTCATCGCCGTAGACCCGCGGCAGGAGCGCGCGCGTGGCCCGCCTTCGAGATCCACCCCGAGGATCCCATGTGCAGCCACCACCTCGCCACGTCGTGGGACGTCGAGAACATGAACAACCGGCTGGAACCACCGCAGTGCGTCTTCTGCAGGTCGCGGAACGAGGCCGTGAGGATTCGTGGGCAGCTGCAAAACCGGGTTTGGCTTGAGAATTATCGGCACAGGAGAGGTGAGTTTTTCACTTGGACGTGGTGTGTTTTCTCATTGGAGTGGATGTGACTGATGCGGATGGATGTAGACTGGCTTCGACAAGCTCTTTGGCTCTGAGGAGGGTAGATCATAGACAGCCGGCGCTTCAGGAATACTGACATATGTGAACTTCACCTCGTATCTTGAACTGGTTTTTAACCCGCTGCCTCGTGAGTCAATTTTGAAGCGGACAGTTTCTTTTTTGTTGATGATGATGAGCAGTGTATTGTAGTGCTAGGGTCTAGTGATGGGTTGCATACCTGGGTTCGTCAAACATGCAGCTCGCGAGTTTGAGCCCTGGTGGCTATACAAAACTTCATGAGCAGCTTGCCCTCTGTTCCTTAAGCATTTAATTGTTTGGTTGAATCTTTGGTTCTGTTCTAACACCACGCTTTCAAGGCTAGCAAAATCTAATTGTGTCATAAATTGGTGGGTTTTGGATTGAACCCGCCTTTATCGTGTGATGTCAATAGCGCGCGCCGCTGAAGCAAGGTCATTGAAACCACTTAGCAACACAAAAAGATTACCTCTCGGGGTCTGTTGATGCTCCTTTTCCTTATTTCTTCTTCCCACAGTCTGCCCAGATGGTCTCTAGCACAAGAAATGTAAGACCTTTGTAGATAGTTCCTAAGAATTGTCATTTGGGATTGAGGAAGAGGAACACTGCCGTTGAGAAGAGGTAGAAGTTTAGATTGAGTTATGTAATCTGCCGCCGAGCACAAACACATTGCGGCCCCACTATGCCGTCCACATCCCGGGAAGGAGTGGAACCGACGGGGTCGATTCCAGATTGCAGCTGGAGATGGCCTGGGGAAATCGCAATTCTGCCACTTGCAACACCACTTCCATACTGCCGCATCATTGACAGCAGAGCCCCGACTGCTCGGGCCTCCCGCCCAAAATGTCACTCTCGTCAGACGAAGAAGACCTAGTCCTGTCAGACAACCAATCCTTTGCATCCGAGTCAAGCGACGGCGAGGAGCTGCCCCCACGACCCCTGCATCACAACTACTTTGCACCCCCCTTCTACGGTCGCCCGCCGACCCCTCTACCACCCTCGCCGTCACTGACGTCGCTCCTGCGCCCTTCGCGACCGACGACCCCCGATGCCTCCGACGATGACTTTGAGCCCGTCCCTCGCGCATCGCCGCAGGTACCGACCTATGAGTACTACGGCTTCGTGCTATACCTCTTCTCGACCCTGACCTTCCTCGTCTACTTGCTATGGTCCTACCTCCCTTCGCCCTTTCTGCACGCTTTGGGCATCGAATACTACCCGAACCGGTGGTGGTCGCTGGCGATCCCCGCCTTCCTGACAATGCTGGGCGTGTACATCTACATCGCGCTCGCGGCGTACAACACGGAGATCTTGACGCTACCGCTGAGCTCCATCGAGACAGTCGTCGACGACGCCTCCAAGGTCGGGGTGATTGATAGCAAAGGGCGGCTGAGGGATGGGCCGAAGAGAAGGTCGAGGGACAAAAGGGATAACCGGCTGCCAGGGGGAGGCTATAATTGGAAGAATATATGGAACGAAGGGACGGATGCTGTGATGGATATCCCGCTGGCCGGTGCTTGCGAAGTGCTATATGGAGAAGGGCGGGATTTTGAGTCAGAAGATGAGTATATTGTTACATGATGCTTGAGATTGACAGAACACCTTGATTTGAAGAGTTTTTGAAATACATAAGATACCCCTTGATGCGCCTCCACCTGTATGTTCTGCACCTATGAATGTATGTAAAATGATGTTTCCGAGATCAGATACAGTCATCTCCGTGGTAAAACAACGCTGTGGCCCAAGTGTCGGGATGCGCACTATCAATTTGCGGGCAACTTTGTCTCGGTGAGTAGCGCACACCGAGAGCTCGTACAGTGTGTCGCGCTACGACACGGTGGGGTGTGGCTGGAGTCTCAGCCTTGCACCTTCCGCCAACCACCGCGCCAAATTCTGTCAAGACGCGACCTTCAATCGGGTGCAGCATCGCAACAACCCACCACACCGCCCTCGAACCATCCCAATCATCTCGGTGGATTGTCGAATTGCATCTACAAGCCGAAAAAAATGTCGCAACAACCGCTGTCATCGTCGGTCCAGCCGACCGACATTTACGGAGGAGGTAAGAAGGCCATTTTCGCTCCACGGTGCGCGTCGCGCAATCTAATGATCGCGAACAGATGAGGTCTCCGCTCTGGTCCTCGACCCAGGCTACTGCACCACCCGTGCTGGCTTTGCAGGCGAAGACGTTCCCAAGTCCGTTTTCCCGTCCTTCTACGGCCGCGTCGGCTCTTCCGATGCCCCGACCACTGTCTTCGGCGACGAGTGCCTGATTCCTCGCGCCGACCTCGAGGTGCGCAATTACATGTCGCGCGATAGCGTCGTCGAAGACTGGGATGTCGCCAACAAGCTCTGGGAGCACATGCTCATCACGCGCCTCCAACCCGCGCGCCCTACCCCCCCGTCCAAGAACGGTCTCAATGACGACCCCAAGGAGGAAGTCGAAGGCGCGGCCAACGGCGACATCGACGTCGCTATGGAGGATGTAGAGGCACAGGAGAAGGCCCTGCAAGAGAACCCGCTTCTGATGACTGAGGCGCCGTGGAACAATGCCAAGTCCAGAGAGAAGGCTATTGAGATCATCATGGAGAACTGGGGCTGCCCTGCTTTCTGGCTTAGCCGAACGCCTGTACTGGCTGCTTTCGCCGCCGGTAAGGCTAGCGCTCTCGTCATCGACGTCGGCGGCTCCAACACATCTGTGACAGCGATTCACGACGGCATGGTCCTTAAGCGATCCATTCAGAAGTCTCCTGTCGGTGGTCTGTGGCTGTCGTCCCAGATCCGTAGTCTCTGGGAGACCTCGGAGCCCAAGATCGAGCCCATCCCTACGTTCATGGTCGAGAACAAGACCCCTGTCGACGCTGGTGCTCCTCCCCAATTCAAGCAGCGCCAATTCGGCTTCTCCATCACTGATTCGTTCCGCGCCTACGAGGACGAGCGTCTCATCACGGAGTTCAAGGAATCAGTGGTTGAGACCTGGCGCGGGCCCGGCAAGTACACCATGCCTCAGAACGAGGACTTCGCCAAGACCCAACCCGGTCGCGTCTTCGAGTTCCCCAACGGCGCCAACCAGATGTGGCGCGAGCAGCGATACAAGGTTTCGGAAGGCATGTGGGACGAGACAGCGGCGTTCCCTACCAATGAGGAATTCCGCATCAACAAGTCCCAGACAATCCCCGAGTTGATTCGCGCCGCTCTGAACGCCGTCGATGTCGACTTGCGACCCAACCTTCTCGGTAACATTGTCGTTACCGGCAGCACCAGCTTGCTCAACGGCTTCAACGACCGCCTGAACAACGAGCTCACGGCCATGTACCCTGGCCTTAAGATCAAGATTCACGCCGCCGGCCTCTCTAGCGAGCGTCGCTTCGGTGCCTGGATCGGCGGCAGTATCCTGGCCAGCTTGGGTACCTTCCACCAGATGTGGATCTCGCGCAAGGAGTACGAGGAGAACGGTGTCAGCATCGTCGAGAAGCGCTGCAAGTAAACGCAGTGACTGTCGAGAGAACATTCAGTTGGAAACGGGAAGCAGGAGTATGGCGGAAGGGTCATCGTTCGCGTTTACGCGTTACTAAAGAAGGGCGTACGGAGTTTGCAAAAAAGGCTTTTTCTGATAATCACAGAGGGAGGGCGTCAAAAGATTACGCATCAAAACCGTTGTGAAGGGATGCCACCTGTACGTGTATGCAACCGTCCCTTGGATGGGGCTAGATAACTTCTACGGAATACACAAAAGTGTCAAACAAGCTAGGTCCTGGTCAGCTACGTTTGGGTGCTGTATTTTGTCAATGTGAGGACCTCTCGCCCTTCACTTGGATTGGTGAGGGACGCTTGCACTCTGCCACTGCCTGAATAGAGGCAAATTTGCAGGGCGAGGGAATCAGGCGACTGTCGAAGTGGGCAGAAGAGGAATGCACAGGAAAGTAAGGTACTTACCATCAATTATGCATGCCATAGCCAGTTGATGCCATGACCGATACAGTAGCCGCCGCCATAGACGCTACTTAGGATTCAAGCTGTGGTCCAAATGACGAGGACGACCGCTTTGATTGGCAACATGTCGCGGTTTGAGGAGCGGAAGGTTTCATTTCAGGGTGCGAGATGCCAGACTTTGGTGTTGGTAAGCTTTTTGTTCGCCGTGGTTCAGCAAACACACTCGATATCATCAAGGACCACTCTCCGTCACCGACTGTAATATACTTTTCTCCTGAGTGTGTGGGTGATTTTCAAGTACCTTTTTCTCGTTTCACCTCTTGATCTTCTTACTATTGTCATGGTAGTAAGTTTGCAACCTCTTCACATCGTTCTTTCGACTCTTGAAGGCAGCGACTGGTTGCTTCGTCGTGTAAGTGAGCAAGGCCCACCGACTCCTCTTTCCGCGCTCAGCCACTACCTCACACCTTGCACCTCCGTCTCCCACGTCTCGACTACAAGAACAAGCCAACTTCAACTCATTTAACAACGACCAAGGGTTTCCCAAGATAGCTAGCCAACAATAACAGTCATTCTTTGGCACATGTCTGTCTTGCTATTGCAGCGTCGACCAAGTATCGATCAACATCTGATTTCACTTCCGAAAACGAACACAACATTGACATCTAATAAAGGCAACGCTCCCTTTTGCATCAATCCGCCGATTATCATCGCATCGCCCATACCTTCGGTGGAAGGCAGGCGGGACCTGCCTCAGCTCGCTGTTGATTTTAGGTATGGCAGAAACAGCCCCAGCAGTCTCGGCCGGGGTAAAACGGGGAGGCACGGACCACGAAACATGGCTGCCTTCAATAACGCAAACTGATTGGCTGACATATCACGCCTCAGGCATCCTTGCAGAAATCGCACCTGAGTCACCCAAATTTCTGCGGCTCTACGTGAACTTTCCCTCCTGCTTCCCCAGAGCCGACCGACGCGTCGCCCCATCGACTTCACGAGCTTCCCCCCAACGAACGCAGCCCTTGACGCATCGCCAACGACAATTTGAGGCATGGTATAGGTCTGGAAACGGTCGGCGCACAGTATCGGAGGTGCCAGAGGGGCGATATTCGTGCAAACATCGACAACATGGGCGCCGAAACTCCCAAGTCCCCGCCTCGTAGCGAGGCAGCTCAAAAGACCCAGGACGCGCAGGACGACGAGCAGATAGAACGAACCTTGAGCCAGCTCCAGAATGGCGGTGATTTAGGCATAACTATCGATGACACGCCCTTCGACCAGTCTGGGAAAGCGGACGACGCCCAAGACTTTGAAGATATCAGCGATGATGACCTTCCGGATGAAGAGGAAGGCAACGTCGCCACTTCCTTGTCCGTTCCAGGCCTCACCGATGACGGAGGTACGAGTAACGACACCGATGACCTGTTTGGTGATGGCCCTTCCTCCCCGATTGAGGCGCCTGGCCCTCCATCACCAGCTCCTCACGTTCACGATCTCGATGATGCCGATGCGTCGCAATACCGAGACATCAATTTCGACCCCGAGCCTGGCTACGAGGCCGCCAACCAGGATCCCGAGATTCCCGCACCCGCAGAGACTGCCGAAGATCTAGTCAAACAAGCCTGGCCGACTTGGCAAAAGGGTGTCATATTGAAATGGAACGAACTTCTGCCGCCCAAGAAGGCTCGATGGATCGAGAAGAAACCTGCCAAGAAGCCCAAGACGCTTATGTTCTCTAAACTCACGTTGGATCTGGCTGCCGACCAAGAGAAGCTCTTCCGCATCCCCGGACCCGCCACTGTGACTCGGAAGCAACGCCGGATTGACGACGACTCTAAAGGGCTTGTGACGTGCGCCTGGCAGGAATCCTCGGATGAGGCTGAGGCGGAAGAATTCAATCTCGAGCAGGAGTCAGACTCGGAGGCAGTGGCTGGATTCACACTTCAGGACATTGAGATGGTGTGCGATGACTGGTCCATTCGCATCGAGCAGGCCGAGCAAGACTTCAATAACCAGCAGGCCCAAGAAGCAGCGGCCGAGGCCGCAGCAGCAGCATCTCTCAAGCGCGCTCATGATGATGCCTTCGACTTCGACTGGGAGGCGGAGTTCCTTGAAGACGAAGAACCAAAGCCGCAGCCACGGAAGAAGACGCGTCCTCCGCCGCCAAAGGGTCTACCCGAAATCCCTCGATTCACGGCACCTTCCTTCGACTCCTTCGAGGATGTGACCAAGCGCGCATCCAAGCGTGTTATTCTTGACCTGAACGACCCTTACCTAATCTTGGAAGAAGCCGAATCACAGCGCGGCCCCAAACGCCAGCGTGTTGAGCACAAGATGACGCGTATGGCCAATGGCCACATGAGACCTGACTTGTCATCTCGCTTCAACATGTCCAACGACGATGCGTACGAGGCGCTCAAGGAGAATCATCAGCACAAGGTCAGAGCGACTCTGGGCAACCTTGCTGTTGAGCACAGCATGCCGGCTCTCAAACTCGCATGGCCCTTCTACAAGGTTAAGCTGGACATTCGCAGAGATGGTTTCCATCGTCCTCACTTCAAGTTCGGCAAACATGAGCGTCAGACGATCAGGTTCAGCAAGCTGGGCTTCCACAAGCGCAAGACGATGAAGGGCAAGGCACACGAAGTCTTCAGAACGACCAAGGATTTGGGCATCACGGACAACTCTACAGCAGTACTATTCGAGTATTGCGAGAGAACACCCCCAGTACTCTCCAACTTTGGTATGGGAAACCGTGTCATCAACTACTACCGCAAAAAGAAGGTGGACGACGAGGAGACACCACCGAAGATGGACATTGGCGAGTCACACGTTCTGCTGCCCGAGGACAGGTCACCATTCGCCATCTTCGGCGAAGTCGAAGTTGGGCAGACAATGCCCACTCTGCACAATCAAATGTATCGGGCACCCATCTTCAAACACAAGCCGCGGTCCACCGATTTCCTGTGCGTCCGGAGTTCAACGGGTGTCGATGGATCTAGCTGGTACCTGCACAAGATCGATCATCTTTACGTGGTTGGCCAGACGTTCCCTTCCGTCGAGGTTCCGGGTCCTCACTCGAGGAAGGTTACCAATGCCTCCAAAAACAGAATCAAGATGATATCATACCGCATGATGAGAAGAAATGAGTACAACTTGGTCAACCTATCAGAGGTGACGAAGCACATTGCCGATAGCACGGATGCCCAAAACAGGCAAAAGCTGAAGGAGTTCCTCGTCTACGCCAAGGTTGAGAAAGGCCTTTGGGGGTTGAGACCGAATGAACAACTGATGGATGAAAATTCCATCCGTGCCATGATCAAGCCTGAAGACGTATGCTTGATTGACGGTATGCAGCTTGGCATGCAAATGCTGGAAGATGCAGGGTTCGACCCTAATAACGTCAATCTTGAGGAGGAGAACGAAGAACCTGCCGAGGAAGACGACGAGGAACGCACTGGCGCAGGCACCGCCAAGGGCAGCAAAAAGGCTGCTGAGAAGAACGAAGAGAAATTGGCCGACAAGATGGCGCCATGGAAGACCAGTAAAGCCTTCATTGATGCGTGCGCTGGCAAGGCCATGCTCAAGCTTCACGGACAGGGAGACCCGACTGGCCACGGCCTTGGTTTCAGTTTCATTAGGACTTCAATGAAGGGCGGCTATATCGAGACCGTCCAAAAGGGTGGTTCTCACACCACTGCGGCTGACGCCATGGCAGCGCATCCGGACACCCAGCGTATGAAGAACGGACACGCTTACAACGTCAAAGAACAAGAACAAATGTACAGAAAGGGCATACGCGAAATCTGGGACAAGCAAAAGTCTAGTCTGGAGGACGGCACAGAAAAAGACGATGACCTTGTCGTCCCTCCGCCGCCAGATGAAGACGACCGATTCAATCCTCAGAGAGCTCAGACCCCCGCGCACGCTGACGAAGGAATGAGTCAAATCACTGGCCTGACAACCTCCACAAGTCGGAACCAACGAAAGAAGCTCAAGATTACCCGAGAGGTCCTCAACGAGCATGGCGCAGTGGAGCAAAAGGTCATCATTATTGAAGACCCTGTCATTATAGACCGATACATCAAGAGAAAGAAGGAGTTGGAGTTGGAGGATTTCAAGTACGAACTCCCGCCACGGTTCCCTTGTCCCCACCCCCTTTCAGGTCTATCCTTCAATATTCATGCGTTCCCCGCTCACATAATCATGTGTCTAGTATCTACGAAGGACGACCCACCGGAGTCGCTGACGACGACCGACGTCGCCTGGTTGAGTACGCAATATCCTTCAGTAGATGCTGAACACTTGATTGACCACCTGACAGAATTGATAAGGAGCTCGAACGGCTCAACAGAAACAAGCAGCGCCGTATCGGACGAGAGCAACAAAAAGGACTCCACCGATCGAAGAGCGGGACCGACGCCGGGTCTCCCGAAGCAGACCGGGCTGCCACTGGTACTACCCGAAAGTGTGCCAATTGTGGACAGGTCGGACACATCAAGACCAACAAAAAGTATTGCTCCCTTTCCTTTTCCTCTACCTCCCCGGCCAACCTCGGATCTCAAGAGCATGTTCAGACGTGGGGGAAACCTTCGGTTTGTTCTGCAACGCAAGTTCCTGCTCAAACGTCGGAGGATGCCAGTTGGCTCCAAGGCAGCACCAACCGGGTTAAGGCAAACAAGCGACGAGCTGCACAAGCCTACGAGCCGCGAATCTATAAGCTCAAGGGCCAAGCAGCCAAGTGCGAAGGTGCCAGCGGCGTCCAAGGGACAGGCAAAAGAGCCCCCAAAACCCAAGCCCAAAAAGTACAAGTACAATAGGTACACCCACAAGCCGTACTGGCACGACGGCACCGGCAAGAGCAGGGCTATATGATCATTCCGTAGTTCGGATGTTTTCCGCCCTGGCACCATTATCCGTCTCTTACTCGGGGATCGTTTCCTTCTGTTTTTTTCGTCTTCAATTCCTTTCCCACTCACTTTTTCATATTCGATCTTTCCGTACACGTTTGACTAACATTCGCAAAGGCTTTGTCCTATGCTCAACGGCACGATGAAAACCGACAACGGCATCGCGGAACACGGCGGCTTCGGTACCTACAATGCCCCAGCGACCGGCGCCGGCTCGCCCGGACAATGAATGCTTTGTGATGACGCCGAGTTCGGACGACAAACCTTGGCAGTTGTCAGAAGCCACAATGGACCAGACGTTGCAGCGTCACACACCAAATTATGGCCGAGGAACCGGACAGCCGGTAGCTGTTTCCGGCGGCTAACAATGAATGACCAGCGGCTCCTGCAGCTGGTCGCTTAACTGCCGACGAACATTCCAGAACAGGGAATGTCCCCACAGTCAACCGTCCCGGGATGCTAAGAATAGGGCCATGCCAAGAGATGTACGCAAGGGGATCAGGCACAACGACCAAGCCGAGATCGATGCCGAAGAACATTTATCCTATTGCGTGCGAGGGTTTGGGGCGAGAAGACTTCAGACGTGACGTTTGACCGGACACTCCCCATTTGGAATCATGCATTTGACAATCGAGGGAGGATATGGAACTGGGAACCAACTTCTGGGCTTGGAATTTTGGACTGGGTTGATGGACATGTATTACTGGACGGCAAAGAATGGATCGCTCTCCTAGGTCGCGCAAAAATTGAGGCCGAAGAGGGTTTGGCAAGCGGTTAAGAAAGCATGTAATGATGCATCGGCACGGCGTCTGGCGTTGTTAAGTTTAGCCACAACCGCGAAACGTGGGCAGCTAATCATACAAGGAATCGTTCAGCAAATGACTCTAATCTCGGCAACAAAAGTGTCGTAGCTCCGTAGTGAAAGGGCACAAGGCTAGCTAATCATGGCCGGATATCCTGGTTGATATGCAGCTCTTGCCCGTGAAGGTGTGTGTGTGTGTGTGTGTGTGGGATGGTGGGTAGGCGGTGGGTAGGCCGCGAGGGCAACCACACATGAATACAAGGAACCTCGCAGAGCGGCTAGCATTACCTAGACCGACACGGGGAGGGATGTCTGGTTTGCAATAGAAACAAGAGGCGGCACGGCCTGCGAAGTGACATGGATTCAGCAGACGGGAAGATGGGCAGTGGGGGGTTCGTTGTCTGTGAGAGAGACTCGAGCCTTGTGCGCCGGCGCTGCCAGATTGGCGAATCGGGCAAAAGAACAGCTACACAGACGTCTGACCGTGCCAAATGAGAGGGGAAGGATGACGGGCGGAAGCGGCCTCGATCGATGTTGGCAACCCCAGTGGCACGAGGGAGGGACAGGACAGGACCTGGACGGGGGAAAACGTCATGTACGGGGGTAAGGAGATGCCGGAACAATGCCAAGGGCCTGACGTGATGACGGGAGACAAAAGCGGCGGCCCAAGCGGCCGAAAAAGAACCCCAGGGTTTTTTTCACTTGTCCGCTTGTCAGTTTCGACGTTACTTTGAGAGGGACCGGTGGAAGGGAAGCGAGAAGAAGGTTGGGGACGCCGTTTGTGGTAGATTGAGGGAGTCGGATGAGGAGTGGGCTGGGTTGCCCGGTCAATGAATCAGGCAGTCCTGCCAGTTAGTATGGATGGATGCCTTTCGGGTTGCAGAGAGAGAGAGAGAGCAGCATGTGGTTGACGATGGCTGTGGTTGGGTGATACACAGGGAGAGCAGGGCCAAGAAACCGAGGTGTGAGAAAGAAGCAGCGTAAGACACAAGCGGTGGATACAGACTACCCACAAAAGCGCGGGATGAAGGGGGTCAATTGGTACGGACCAAGGTATGGTCGCGTGGCTGCGGAGCGCGTCTCTCCCTTCCCCTTCCCCTTCCCCTCCCTCCATGCGGGTGTTGCTGAATGCTAAAAATAGGATATTTTTAGAAACCGCTGCAGCAAGGATGCAGTGGACGACACCGAGGTGACAGGAACGGGGTAGGGATTCCAAGGGAAACAAGCATGCAACAGCCCAATCGGCTTTCGGTCTGCGCCCAGGAACGTCCGTCCTAGCCCTCTAGCGACATGCACGCCGACCTCACACCGTCACAAAAGATGATGCGTGTGTGTGGGTGCGCGCGTGTGTGCGCGTGGGCGAGAGATGACTGCGGCAATGAGGCTCCAAGAGGCTCTTTTCTCTTCGCGGCTGCGCTACGGAGTCAGACATGGCACTCGGCGCGGCGTGATGTGACGTTGAGGACAAGCATTCCAAGCATTTCTTTCGTCCTGCCACCGGCCCCGAATAGATTGGTGTCATGTCGTTGTGAGAAGCCGGCGCTTAACTCAATCATACGGTTAATTTGAGAGGTGGGATGGCGTCGGGGGATGGGACGGGTGAAGGGGCGACTGCGGCGATGTGGGCCACACTTATCTTAAACTTCTCGGATGATTTGGTCCACAGGCCAAAGGAGGCGAGTAATTTTGCCGTAAGCTATCTAGACAAAGGTGCGTCTATGCCGATATGTTGCAGAGAAACCCGCGGCAAGTGCTAATTCGGGCGTTTGGTTAATGGTTCGCGGCAGCCCGATATAGCTGCATGTGGAGAGGATAATCTCATTGGCTCCCGGCCTCTCCTGGGACTCGCCTTTTCGCGTTCGTCGTCTAACAGCTACGGTAGCAGACTTGTCTGGACGGAGAGACAGCGAACCGCGAAGCCAGAGACCGTTTCCAAAGAAGAATTGGGTCGCGGTCGAGAATTGGCAGTTTTGGGGGACATTTAGCCAAAAGCCAAGCCCTATGTCGTCTCGAAGCTTGACAGCCAACTAAGTTGGACGAGCTGCACATGTGCCACACGGGCGGGGCCGATAACGTTTTCTCGAACATCAAGACAGAGGTAGCAGCTCCGGTCCTCAGTTCTCCAGCCCTGTAATCAAAGACAGAGAGAGTGCGATAGTGGGCGTAGGGCATCATCAACGGTGGGGGAGTGATCTAATTCGAGATGATGGGCGACTGGGTTCGTTGGACAGCCGCGGGATGTGCGTAAGGGGGTTTGTGAAGCGAAGCGAAGCGAGAGATCTACGGCTCAGCACCATGGGAGCGGACGGACGTTGTCAAATGGCCGCGGCCGACATGGCAGTTGGGATGCAACCCCGACGGGAATGCTGCATCATCCTAAGAGATGGGTAGGGTTTCTATTGGGCACCCGTCCTGGCGGGGGAATAGTGCGTCGCGAGGGGCCGGTATCTAGCCCTCTTCGCACCATGACCTCAGGTGTGGGAGGAGGTCAGATAGACATCCTGGGGTACCTGGTTGAGAGGCGCTGGTTTGGGGTAGCTGCTAAGTGTCCGTTTGGTGATGGCCTCGCCTCGTCGTCGGCCAGGGGTAGGACACGGTACTTGGACGAAGGGAAGGGTTGTTGAGAGCCAGAAAGAAAGGCGGGAAGGAAGAAAAGGGGGGCGAAACACAACGGGACCGTAACGCAGGAGTCGTCGACGCCAAGATTGCCCTCGAACTCAATTGTCCGACCTGAAATGCGGTACTGAATGGCGGGACCTGATATCGAGAGGGCTGAGTTGGTTTTGCTACAATGGAGAATGGATGGCAGATTGGTTTCCGCCTTGGTAAGGCGGCCTGTGCTCTCGGCGCGCGCTCTCCCCCCTGTGTCCCCTTGGCCCAATGCCCGTGCCTGAATCCGGACTCAAGAGTCCGTTCCTGCGTTCCTGCACCGGCGGCGGCGACGGCGGCGGCGCGGCTGTGGTGGGGATAGAGGCTCGACATGCGGCCCGGGCACGTTGTTTGCTTACTGGGCGACAGCTCCCCCTTTCTCCCTCATGGCCTTACGGCGTTATGCTTTCCTGCTTGGGTGTACAGATTGGGCAGTTGGGTCATCCGACCGACGGGAGAGTTTGGGGTGGGTGGACAATGACCGCGGATGAGTGATTATGATGATGCTCCTAACGTCGTTCAGGGAGGAATGGCAAGGTCCAGGGGGGGGAGGAGCCCGGTACAAAGTTCCGGCGTCGGTCGGGGTCTACTCGACGGTCAAGGTCGAGGCTTGCGGGATGTCAATGCTCAATGCTCTCCGGTTTGATCTGGGCCTGAACGTGGGCCTGGACCTGAGCTGGGCTGGGTGGTATGACGGTGGTGGTGTTGGTCTGGTGCTGGTGCTGGTGTTGGTGCTAGTGGTGGTGGTTTCTCCAGGCTCGAAAATGGGTCGCTTATTGCGCCGGAACCATCCTCGCAGTATCCGCAGTTGTAGAGTCGCGGCGGCCCGCACGCACCTCACGCCGACTAAACGTCAGATGTCTCGACGACACCTGCCACATGTATCTTTTCTGCAGCGTCTCACTAGCGGCAGGACCGTCGCGATGGTGGCCGGTACCTTACTCGGCCTAGCCTAGTACAAGGGGCCCCCCCAGACCCTGAGACAGTGCGCGGGACGCCGGTGGAGATTGCGATCGCACACGGTGCTCACTGGGCGATATCTGGCGGGAGTCTACAGTGTACAGAGTCCGTCTCACGTCTCATCCTCATTCCCTGCCTCTTCAGTCTGTCGTTTCACGAGCGTCCGCAACGGCCACCAGGACCCCCGTCATAAAAACGCTCGCACCAAGAGTCCTCGAGACCTTGCCTTGTCGGTGGTAGCGAGAAAGAAGGTGAGGTGTGCTACGGGCGCAAGCGAGGTGAGGGCAGGACCAACTAGCTGCTACCTACCTGGAGATAGATGAGGATGACTGAGAAGGAGGTGTGGTCCACTCTGCATCTGGTGCACTTCACATGGCAGGGCCTGGAGACAAGAAGAGGGCCGCTGGCCCGCCGTTCTGCTTCTGCTTCTGGACGCGACAGGGTAATTGGAGTATTGCCCCCGGTCCCGTCTTCTTCCTCCTTTCCTTCCCCCTTCCCCTTCTTGCTCGCGTCTCGTCCCTTTCCTTCCCACCCAGTGATTCGTTCACCACCCCCATCCCCTGTCACTTTTTTTTCCCCCAAGCCGTTGGCTTTCTGCTGCTGCTGCTGATGCTGCGCTGCCCCCTCGTGCTGCTCCCGCTTTCCGACTTTCTGTTCCCGCATCCTCACTGGACCATCTCTGGCTACACACTCTCCCTCACCCTCACACTCGCTCTCGCTGCTTGCCTTGCCCTGCCTCGCGACTGGTACCACCTGCATGTACTTGCTTGCCGACTGAGGTGTGTCAACCGTACCTACTGCACCGCGCCGCCGCTGCACTGCACCTAGTGTAAACTGCTGCTCCCCTCCACCACCCACTCACTCCCATCATTATTTTTTTCCCCCTTCCCTCCTTCACTGTCCTGTCTTCCCGCACCCAGAAAACGTGAACACGATCGCGTCTATTATTAGAATCATCCACGCCAGATTCAGCCCCATCAACCTGCACCTCGCAACGCCTGTCCATCCCAGAACCTGTCGCATCTGCACTTGTAATGGGATTAATGTACGTTCTTGATGCGTCCTCTCCGTCTGCTTTCTCCCCCTGCTCCGACAACCTTTGTTTGCATCCGCTTCAAATACCGTTGATCCCGGGATGCGCTGCCCTGCACATGCCCAGTTTGACTGACGCATCACCAGTTCGCACCGACACCCCACGAGACAGGCCATCTAGATAAAAGCGATCAGCCCGCCCCGGCCGAACTTTTGTTTCCACTCGCTCCGTTGATCAGCCAAGCTTGCTCCGACAAGACATATCCAGCTCCATCCCCGAGCTTCGACGAGTCTCCCCGCTCCTCGACACCCTTCCCCTCCCAAGACCAGTCGACGCACCCTCAACCGCAACGACTGAGACCTCGCCGCCGTCGCGCCATCGCCAATCGGCACCCAGGTCGCTCGCCTCGACATCACCATCAGCCCGGTACTGCCGCGCCTCGTCGCCTTACGCGTATCCCTCGACGGCTCGCTAGAGCATCTGGATCAAGATGGGACGCAGAAAGATTGAGATCAAAGCCATCAAGGATGACAGAAACCGCTCTGTGTAAGCTCGCCGCCCCTCGATGACCCTCGCGCCCTCCGGTTCTCGCTGACTCGTCTTGCCTATAGCACCTTTTTGAAGAGAAAGGGTGGTCTGTTCAAGAAGGCGCATGAGCTTTCTGTTCTGTGCTCCGTCGACGTTGCCGTCTTCATCTTCGGCAGCAACAAGAAGCTGTACGAGTACTCTTCCACAGACATGCGGGAGATGATCACCAGATACACATACGTAAGCCCTCCACCTACTCACCAGTCGCAAACGCGGAATCCTGACCCATTGTGCAGCATGGTGGCCCCAACGAGCACAAGGGCCCCTCGGACTTCAACGGCGGCAACGATGAGGACGAAGACGAGGACCCCGAAGGCACCCCGCCGCAGGACGCTCAGATGATCCCTCCTCATTTCCAAGGACAACAGCCTTTCCCTCACATGCGTCACCACACACCGTCGGCGTCTCCTCCTATTCCGAACGGCATGTCCTTTCAACAGCACCCGGGTCATCCAGTGCAACGCGGCCACACGCCGCAGCCTGGCATGGGATCGCGTCCTGGTTCTCGACAAGACATTCGCCGCATAGGGCCGAACATGGGCCCTCAGCCTGTTGGTCCTCCTGGATCTCAGCAACCTCCCGTCAACGGCTTCGCCTACATGCCGAACCCGGCCATCTATAACCCTCAGAACCAACCCAACATGCCGCCAAACATGCCTCATGGGCTCCCACCGCAGCATGGCCCTCAATACCCTCGTACCCGTCCAACCACCACCCCCCGCACATGCAACAGTACATGGAAGACCAGCGCCGCTCCATGCCGCCCAGCTACCCGCAACAGCAGGGCCAGCAAGGGCCTGGGCCTCAAGTTTCTCGGATCTCGCCGTCTCCGCCACAGCCTCCCACTCAGCAACTGCCGCCGCAACAGCCTCAGATCACGCCCCCGCCGCCACAACCCCAGCAGCTCGAGCCTCAGCAACAGCAGCAACAGTCGCCTCAGCCTCAGCAACAGCAACAGCAACAGCCGCAACCCTCGCACTCTCAACAACAGCAGCAACAGTCCCAGGCCCCGCCGCCGCAGTCCCGAGACACAGCGATGCCCGCGCCAATGGAACCGCGATCGGAGCAACAAGAGAGACAGCCGCCACTACTGAACACGGACAGCGCGATTAAGAAGCTACCACAGCGCAAGCAGCACAGCATCTTCACGCCCATCGACGAGAACCGTTCCATCTTATCTCAGCATCTGGCCTCGTTTGCGTCCGAGCAGAGCAGTATCAAGACTGAACCCAATCGCCCCCCGTTCCCTGATCAGAACAGCATCAAGGTTGAGGGCAATCGGTCTCAGTCTGTCGATGTTGGCGCGGTGTCCCGGACCAACGGTTCTACAACATCCCCGCCCCTACCTCCACGGGCCAGCACTCAATCTCTAAACAAAACTCGCAACATCTCCGTATCGTCCATTCCAGAGACAACGTTTACTCCACCGTCTCGCACCAATAGCATGAAGCTTGGAGGCAGTGCGCGGCCACGTTTGAGGGTGGAGATCCCCGACGAACCTTCAGATGGCGGTAGCGCAACTGCCGAGTCAAACTCTCCTCGCAACTCAACCGATACCACATCCCAGACGACTCGGCGCCACGCATCCGATTCGCAGTCTTCAGGCATGGTGCTGCCGCCGCCATCTCCGTCAGCCCAAACACTGTTGTCGGCTGGCGCCACGGGCCCGCCAAACCCGTTTGCTCGTCCACCACCGCAGCAAAACAATAACATGAATATCGACACTCCGGTGTCCGCTCTACCATCCCGATTCCTGAACAACGAGTTTTTACCCAGTCCCAGCAGCTTCTACCCGGAATGGTATTCGCGCGGTGGTAGCGACAGCAACACGCTGCCTAGCCCGTTGAACTTTGCGACTCCCGTTGTCGGCTCAGGCCCCAGTTTCTTGAGAGACGATAACACGAGCACGAAGCGCAAGAGTCCCGAGATCAGCACGAATGGACCACACGAGGGTCCCGAGGTTGGCAATGAGCCCAAGAGGGTGCGGGTCGATTCTTGATACCACTTTTCTTCTTCATTTTCGCCGCTTTGTCTGTACCATTCATCTGCATTCTGGCCTTTTTGGGACCATTTATGGAGTGTAGTTGGTTCTATGATACCTCTTTCCTTTTCACTTCACGGCATTAGCGACACGTAGGATATTTAGTCTACATTCTCTTCTATATCTCCGTGCCGGCGGAGGATTACGCTGCATCGACAGGCGCAAAACGGGTCATGGACGAGAGTACTGCTTTGTTTTTTGTTTTGTTTTTCCCTCTCTTTTTGTTTCGACTTCGGGTTTGATGGAGGACTGCTCTTCAACTTCGAAATATCTCCGGGTTCGGAATGTGCATACGGACATGTGAAATGACTGGAAGCAAGGAAAACTGGCCTGCAGCTAGAGGTGGAGGACCAAAGGGGCGTTTGGTTTCAATCCTGTAGTATACTTGGGCAGTGGCTGGATAGTTTGAATAAGTCGTCGATCTGCATCTTTACGTGCCCGTCTATCGTGAGACATGACTTGCAGATAAGCCAAGGACTTGGCGCCAGTGACTTTGAGATCGCCTTGCGGCGCGGTGTGACTCGCAACTACACGCGCGATGAATTCGTGTTTTGTGATTCAAATCCTTGAACTTGGCGTTGTGGTAGGTGTTGATTTTTTAGGGTCGATGGTTCAGAAAGTTGTGCATCATCATTTTGTTCATTACTGCGGCAGCCATGACCGATCGGGAACCGTCCAACAACACCTACCGAAACCCACATCGGCCATACGGCCCTCATCCCGTTTCACCACTCTGCCGCAGCTAGAGGAAGACATTGTCAACATCACGTATTTGAATTGAAAAGGACGGGTTTCACGCACGAGGTAGCCAGCTGCACACAATGTTCACGCCTGCCGCAAAGCGAAGGCGGGTCGACACCGCCAACGAGACGCTCAGGAAACCCTTCAAGTCGCCTATGGTGCGGGACCGCGAAGAGCAAGTTGCGGGGCCTGCCGCTACCGAAGATACTACAGCGTCATCTCCGCAGCTGAAGCCGAAAGGAGCTACCCGTGCGGGCCCGGATTCGGGTGTAGGCCCGCGTGGCACTACGGCCACCACGAGACCTCGGGGAGTCGGAACCCAGATGACGACGCCGGCGAAGCAGGCGGCCACGCCTACGCGCCGGCCATTCAGCGTGCCAAGACCGCAGCTACACCCCGGGGCGTCCCCTTCACCACTGAGAACAGGTTTTCACGGGGTCGCCAGGCCGGTCACGAAAGGCGGTGTTTCAGTGCCAGGCAGTAAGAGCACGAGGGAGGCCGAGGGTAGGGAGGAGATTCTCCGGCAGGCTGGGCGGATCCGTGGCGGAGGCGAGGGCGAGACGGACGAGGAGCTTCTTGAGTTGATTGAGAAATGGAGGGCGGCGAGCCGGATCGCGGCAGAGGAGGTGTTTGAAGGGTCTCGGGAGAGGGTAGAGGGGATGGGCGGGCTGAAGGCCTGGAGGAGGGCCCGGAGGGAAGATGGGGTCAGGTTTGCGGAGAGGATGAGGGAGGAGGATGGCGAAGGGAGGGGCCGTGGGCATGGGGACGAGGGCGTTGAGGAGTCGTCGCCGGGACATGTGGAAGAGGAGGATGGTCGCGAGGCGCGTGAAGATGACGACGGCGAGGACGAGGCGAGCACTGCAACCCGGCTACGAGGGGAGCGAAGTACTGACGATCAGCAGGAGTTTACCATGGGTACGATGCTCAGAAGTATGAATATCAGCTTCGATATCATTGGGTACGACGAGGACACCGGGTGGTGGAGGGACGGGTGAGCTACGAACGGCCGCCACTTTGAGCGATCGTCAGTCATGGCTCCTGTCGGCATTACGCGCAAGAATCGTAGCCGAGTGCCCGACGCGTTGCGGAAGCACACACACGCCACTCTCGACGTCTGAACGACTCGGGTTTCGGCTCGACCAGCTCGGACTTCCATCGCAGATCAACCGAAGCTGGGAGGGCTTGGGTACGAAAAGGGCAACGACAACGTCTCGTGCGAACTCGTCCCCATGCAGCCCCCTATCATCTTGAGTTTCTTCCAAGTCGAGGGCCATTGGCGGTTCTCGGGCCTTGAACCGAGTTGGTGGCTGAGGTGTTCAAGCATACATCTTAAAGCTGCGTATGGCGGGCAGAAAGCCCAGCCCTACGCCCTAGAGAGAGAAGCAGACTAAACTATATTCTAGGCTTTCTTTTCGGCAAGCTTATATGTCTAATTGTCTGATGTGGTTAAAAGAAGATGGGTGGGTGGACAGGGAGAGGTGTGAAGGGGGAGGAGAAGAAGGAGTTCAGAATTGTGAGGAGTTGACGATGAACAAGGGTCTACCCGACTCCACGACTACAGCCCCATATATCCGTCTCTTGAGATCAAGCTTCGTCTCTACGCTCGTCCCTCACTAAGCCTTACTGTTTCCCAACCTTGCTCAACTATGGAGCCCGGGCCCTGACGTACGCGGTACCTATTGTTGGGTATGAATGGACGGTCAGCCCCTCCAGCGTTGTTCTCGTCTTAGTGAACTATGGTGAACTATGAGCCGGCTGACGAGGACGTGTGGCTGATGCAGATCAATTGATCCGATCTTGCCGTAGAAGGCCAGGGAAAGATGGGCTACTCCGTGATGCACCGTCGAGGCTTGAGTATGCCACGGGCATGGCAGATATGGTTGCTTACGGGTGCTTACCGGCATCCGCGTACGTTAACACCAGTGCTATTACGTGAGGGATTCGGAAGGATCCAGTAAGAGACGGCGAGACAGGAGGGTATTACCATGGTGACGAGGAGAAGGAGGAAGGGAAACCACGACAAGTTTTCTCTGGGCTTGTATTCTTCACTGCCACAACCCGAGCACGAAATGTTTAATGAATCTCGGCTGCCAAAGTGTTTCGGCGAGCCCATTGGATTCGTCGGGCAGGAGAAAAACAAGAGGGGGGATCGACGGGCGAATGCGATAGGGAGCCTCACATAAGTTGCTTCAAAGCGCGCGCGGGGCCAGCACCGCCCAGTCCTCTTCCCGTGCCCCTACCGCGATGAACGGGAAGAGTTGCGGCTGCTTCCAGACAGGCGTGACCAATTTCTTTTGGCGATGGTTGCGGCGTGGGCCCTCAAGCCGCCGGGCCCACGACTCACGGTGGGTGCTGGCAATGTTTGGCCGTTTGTGTTTGCGAGTGTTGTGCTCGTCACGGCCTGCAAGGCTTGTGTGGTGTGTCGTGTGGTCGCCGGTGATGTGTGTGTGTGTGTGTGTGTGTGTGTGTGTGTGTGTGTGTGTGTGTGTGTGTGTGTGTGCTTTCCAGAATGGCCTGCTGAGCCGTCACGTCGTTCGGGACCCGAGAGGGATGAAACGACTCTGATGCTTCAGTGCTGCCGCAGAATTGCACACGAACCGCCGTCGTCACACTCCCCAACGACCTCTCGCTGGACCCTTTCAGCCGATCGGGACCAATGAGGGGGCCCGCTGCCTATGCACCCCAACCTCCAAGACTCCACCCCCTGTGCGCCCGTGGAAAACAGAGTTAGCGATGCCGGCACCCATGTCCGAGCATAACCATAGAGATGATGTGGACACTAGGTGGCTGGCAGGCCTCCCGACCTCTCTGGACGATTCTTCTTAGATTTCCTCTGGTTTCCTGGTCGACTTTTCTCGTTTTGAGTGATTCAAATAAAGCATCCACCCGCTGCGTCTCAAAGTCTTGGCAAAACTAGTAACCGTACACTCTTTTCTCTTTCCACGACTACACCGCTACCCTTGCTTGTCGGTAGTTCGAACAGCAGCTGTGCTTAGTCTTATTTCGGCGTAGTTGATCTGCAGCCTCCAAATACCCTCCCGACGGAACTAAACATAGACGATACAAAGTGCGGCTCCGAACAAGCTCGACTTTCGGCGCGGGAACCGTAGGGAAACGGGGCTGGAATTTAGACACAAAGGGGGAGGAACAGAGAGGCCGAGAACCGCACACATCACGATGGACACCCACTTGATCGCTCGGCAGACTGTCGTCAACCCCAACGAACTCCCACCCGGCTGGGTCATCCAGAACGGGCGGGCGATTCCATGGTGGTACAGTCGGGTAAGTCACATCACCTCACACTCCTTCTCCCCTCACCATGAGACCGCCATGGCTCTAACAGACCTCAACAGACGGGCGTCATCGTCAAGTGGTCCGTCTTCCTGGGCTTCACGACGCTCTTTGCCGCCTTCCTCATCATCGGCTACGCCCACGGCAAGCGCCGCATGAAGAAGGGCCTCCTCCCTCTGGGCTACCACCGCTGGCTCTTCAGCCGCGCCCAGCTCGCCCGCGTCGACAGCCGCTACGCGTGGCCCGCCGCCTCCTACAACACCTACCGCCCAGAGTACTACAACACCCACCCGCAGGCCCAGGCCGGCGGCTACTACGGCATGCAGGGGATGCCGCCGCCGACCTACGACCCCAACGCCGCGAGGCCGCCCATGTACGCGCCGCCCGACGGCGGGTCCAAGGTCGACCCGTCCCAGGAGTTCGGCGTCACGCCCCCCGCAGGCCCGCCGCCGCCGCAGGCTGCCGTTGCCGCGAACCACACCGGGCAGTCTTACCCGTACAGGGCGCAGTGAGCGAGAGGCGCGGGGAGTGGGCGGTGCGTCGTTTTGTTGTTGCGTTTGCGTTTTAAAGCGGGTTTTTGAATAGGGACGTGTTGCTCATTGCCGGTTCAAGATGAGATCCAAGATGAGATGAGGTTGAGGATACATCAAGACACAGATTAGGACGGGAACCGTCAAGACTTGAAGGGGTTCACCGTATAGAGGCTGCAAGGTCTCACATGCATCGAGGCGGGACGTCACATACACCGGGGACTGGATGCCTTGGCTTAAACTCTTGTATATTGTACAACATAGCAATATTCCTTGCCAATACGATTCGAAATGATACCATTAAAACGCCTTGATGGCCCCGGCTAGGAAATGCCGTGGGTCCCTTTGCACCGATTCGTCCCTGTTCGTGGCGGCCGTGGGCATCGTGATAAATATAAGAGATTACTTGCCTTGTTTCTTTCCTCCTCCTAATCCATGTCCATGGCGTCGGGGTCGTAGTCTACAGGAGCCGACGTCTCGGTCGGGGTTGGAGGATCAGGTATGATTGCGTCCACCGGCTGCTGGGGATCGGGGACGAGGGCACCTACGGGCTGCTGAGAGAAGAACGGCGGCGGCATCTGCACCGGCGCGCCTCTGCCCTCACGTTCGAGTCGCTGCCTCTCGCGCATGCGGGCCCGGGACTCGACAATGGCCTTGCGGACGCTGTCTTGCTCGGGTGGGACGGTCAGAGACGTGGGTTCGTTGTACAACACCACCTGCATGCCAGCAAGCTCGCCGTCGTTGTTGGCTAGAATGGAGGGTGGAATGCGCGTGGCGCGCAGGTGCTTCTCAATGTTCGGCAGGAAGACGAGCTTGCCATCGTCGGGCTCGCTCTCGGAAGAGGAGATCTCGTCGTCGATGTTGTAGATGTAGACCTTGTGCTTGGTGTCGTCAAGCTGCATCGCTTCCTCATCGGACGGTGGTGGTTTGCGATCACGACGGCGGCGACGGCTAGTGGGGAGGTGGATGGCGATGAAGCTGTGGGCACAACATTTGGTGTCATGGACGATGGAGCCGGCTCCTCAACTGGGACATAAAGTTTCTGGCCATTCTTCTCTGCATGCAGTGTCAGCATCAAAAAAAAACAAGCCAAGAAAGCTTACTCGTGTTTGGGTCTTACCTAGATTCAACAGACTGAGTCTTTTGGACAAACGTTCGTTGTCTTGGGACTCAGCTTTTCTTTTGCGCCTTAGCTGCCTCGCCTGTTGATGTTGGTGCTGATCCGGCTCCAGCGCGTGGGAGGGAGATTGCGCCCCGTGCAGCAGCATATTTCGGCGACTTTCTGCTGGAACTTTCTCTTGCGCGTCTTGTCTTTCACCCAATCCTTTCCGGCTGCACCCTCCAAGCTTTACTACCAACTCCCTTTTCGCAAGGCTGCGGACCCAACGACGCCAACGACAACAGACAACGACCAAAAACTGAGACGATGGTTAATTAATCGCGACCCCGAAGCGGCCACTAAAATCGCAGTAAAGAGAGACACGACAGGAGCAGCTGAGCAGTAGCAACAGCAGCAGCAGAGTACACAAGGCGCCACCAATCGGAACTGGTAGCCGAGATTGAGAGTGAGGTGGGAAGAGTTGCGGTACGGTTTAATCTCGAGTCGCCGTTTTCGGAAGGGTAGGGAATACCCCGTCGCGGAGTGAAGAACGCAGTCTCAAAGTCAATCTGAAATACAGATGCCGCTGGCTTGGTAACAACAGTCTTTTGCTGCCAAGACACGAAAGATAGCGCGTTTGTTGCTTGCTCGCTTTTCTGCGGCGAAGCGGCGAAGGCAGAGAGGTTCGCTCGAGAACAAGAAGTGAGAAAAGAAGAGGAGAAAGAGGAGACGTTCTGCCCTCTCTGCGCAGTTCAATTCGTCTGGTCCAGGTGGTTGTATTTGAGGGGGAAAGGGAAGTCAGTGGAATGACTAGAGGTGCTTCTGTGCTCGTACGAGGGGTGCGGGCGCGTTCACTGGCGCTCAGCTGTGGCGGATGGCCCTGGTTGGGGAGCTCTGGCGCTTTTGTACTGGCTTTGACTCATTCCTGGCGGGCTTGTAGAAGTTTCTACGAAAGCGCCGGGCCAGAGGACCCCCCGACGCCTCCCCTACCACGTCTGCGTCCGCATCCGCTCCCGCTATCGCTGCCCCTCCTACCCCGAAGCAATGCGAATGCAGCTGCCGCGCTAACGAGCTGCCCACCCCGCCAGAAGAGTCACAGCTGTGCCGACCCTGATAAAACGTCCACCTCCACATCAACAACCATAACCTCTTTCTGCTGGACTCGAGCGTCGGTCGGATCCCAGACAAATACCCTTACGCCGTCTGGACTCATCGCATCGAGTGCTATCTTCCCGCAGAGGCGTTTCCACTCAACTTCGACATTGCCCACTGCAGTCATGGCTGAGCCAAAGTGGCCCGGCGCCGTCGTGCGCAAGACTTTCCTCGAATTCTTTGAGAAGAGGGGCCACACTATCGGTACGATATCACCAACTCTCCCAGCAGCACCACAACCTAGCATTGTTATAGACCTTGCATCTATGGTGCTTCGTCTTGCGGCCGTTCCGTATTCATCCACTTGCATCGTCTCAGTTGGCTGACTTGTCCTGCTTTATCACAGTGCCCTCCTCCTCCGTTGTCCCTCACAATGACCCCACCTTGCTCTTCACCAATGCGGGCATGAACCAATTCAAGCCCATTTTCCTCGGAACGATCTCCAAGGCGGACCCCATGTACCCTCTGAAGCGTGCGACCGACACCCAGAAGTGCATTCGTGCCGGTGGCAAGCACAACGATCTCGACGATGTCGGCAAGGACAGCTACCACCACACCTTCTTCGAGATGTTGGGCAACTGGTCTTTTGGAGACTATTTCAAGAAAGAGGCCATTGAGATGTCTTGGGAACTTTTGACCAAGGTTTACGGCCTGGACCCTTCCCGGCTGTATGTCACCTACTTCGAGGGCAACCCTGACATGGGTCTCGAGCCCGACCTGGAGGCCAAGGGCTTGTGGCAATCTGTTGGTGTCCCCGACGACCACATCCTGCCTGGCAACATGAAGGACAACTTTTGGGAGATGGGTGACCAAGGCCCTTGCGGACCTTGCAGTGAAGTGCACTACGACAAGATTGGCGGCCGCAACGCCTCCGACTTGGTCAACCAGGATGACCCCATGGTCGTTGAGATCTGGAACAACGTTTTCATCCAGTACGACCGCCAGCCCGATAGATCCCTGAAGTCCCTGCCCGCCAAGCACGTCGATACCGGTATGGGCTTTGAGCGTCTTGTGTCTGCTCTCCAGAACACCGTCTCCAACTACGCTACCGATATCTTCACCCCTCTGTTCAAGAGAATAGAGGAGGTCACCGGCGCCAGGCCGTACACTGATAAGTACGGCGCTGATGATGTTGACGGCATTGACACCGCTTACCGTGTCATTGCTGACCACATCCGTCTTTTGACCTTCTCCATGTCCGACGGTGCTGTTCCGAACAACGACGGTCGCGGATACGTTGTGCGCCGAGTCCTGCGTCGCGGTGTTCGTTATGCTCGCAAATACTTTAACGCCGAGATCGGCTCCTTCTTCTCCAAGATTCTTCCTGCTCTTGTGGACCAGATGGGCGAGCAATTCCCCGAAATCGTCAAGAAGCAACAGGATATCAGGGAGATCCTGGACGAGGAAGAAGAGGCCTTTGCCCGTACCCTTGACCGTGGTGAGGCCCAGTTTGAGAAGTACGCCAACGCTGCCATCAAGAAGGGCGAGAAGAAGCTCTCTGGCGCTGAGGTGTGGAGACTTTACGACACCTTTGGATTCCCTGTGGATCTGACCAAGCTGATGGCTGAGGAGCGTAAGCTTGAGATTGACGACGAGGAGGTCAAGGCTGCCCAAGACAAGGCCCGTGAGGCCAGCAAAGTCGTCAAGAACTCTGTCCAGACTTTTGCAAAGCTCAACGTCCACCAAATTGCCGAGCTCGAGCAACAGCTAAACGTTGCGAGAACCGACGATGAGGCCAAGTTCATCAAGGGTGACTCCAAGGCCAAGGTGCAGTTGATCTACGACGGCAAAGGCTTTGTCAAGTCGACCAAGGATATTGCTGAGAACACTCCTCTTGGTCTGTTGCTGGACAAGACCAACTTCTATGCCGAGTCTGGCGGTCAAGTCGCTGATACTGGACGCATTGTCATTGACGATGTTGCCGAGTTCAAGGTCCTGGACGTGCAGAACTACGGAGGTTACATTGTTCACAACGGTTATCTCGAGTACGGCACGTTGTCTTCTGGCAACGAGGTCATCTGCGAGTACGATGAGCTGAGGAGATCCCCCATTCGCAACAACCACACTGGTACTCACATTCTCAACCACTCTCTTCGGGAAGTCCTCGGTGACGACATTAACCAGAAGGGCTCTCTGGTCGACAACGAGAAGTTGCGTTTCGACTTTTCCCACAAGACGGGTGTAACCATTCCTGAGCTGAAGAAGATTGAGGACTTCTCCAACTCTTACATCCGCCAGAACGGCAAGATCTATGCCAAGGAAGTGGATCTTGACCTGGCCAAGGGAATTGAGGGCGTTCGCGCAGTGTTTGGCGAGACATACCCCAACCCCGTCCGTGTTGTGTCCGTCGGTGTTGATGTCGACACCCTGCTTGCCAACCCCAAGAACCCTGAATGGCGCAAGGTCAGCGTCGAGTTCTGCGGCGGTACGCACGTCGAGCAGACCGGTCTGATCAAGGACCTCATCATCGTTGAGGAGAGCGGTATTGCCAAGGGTATCCGCCGCATCATCGCCTACACTGGTGACGCTGCGCATCAAGTGCAGCGTGAGGCCGATGAGTTCTCCAAGCGTCTTGATGCCCTCGAGGGGCTGCCTTTTGGCCCTGAAAAGGAGCAGGAGATCAAGACGACCCAGCACGCTCTCAACCAGCTGACCATCTCCACCCTCACCAAGGAGGACATCAAGAAGCGCTTCGACAAGATTGTCAAGTCTGTTACGGATGAGCAGAAGAAGCGCCAGAAGGCCGAGGCTAAGACTGCGCTCGATACCGTGGTCGCCCACTTCGACAAGAACAAGGACTCCAAGTGGTTCGTCGGCCAGCTCCCTATTTCTGCCAACGCCAAGGCTATTGGTGAGGTTGTCAAGCACTTCCAGTCCAAGGACAAGGAGCGCTCTGTCTACCTCTTTGGTGGAAGCAAGAACGAGGGCTCCGTTGCCCACGGTGTCTATGTTGGAACTGTAAGTTGTCACTGGAAAGTTTGCTGTGAATTGAAGCTAATTCGGCCTCTAGCACCTGTCTTCCCAGGGTGTGACCGCCGAGCAATGGGCCGCTCAGGTCAGTGGAATTGTTGGAGGCAAGTCCGGAGGCAAGGAACCTACTCGTCAAGGACAGGGCACCAATGCCGAGAACTTGGAGGAGGCTGTCGCCACGGCGGAGAAGTGGCTCAAGGAGAAGCTCAACATTTGAGCATGACACGAGATTCCCGCTTGCGTGCTGTAGAAGCATGTCTTGCAAAAAACTATTTACTTTATAACGGGGACTAGATGGACACAAACATGGGCGGTACGTTTACGTTGTGATCTGGGGGGGTGATCGCACAGGAGTAGTTCACCGAGATATCAAAAGCTTGTTCCCCTCACCTTGTTGTGTGTTTTGGAGTAAGATCAATCAGGCAAGGAAAATAAAGTTCACAAAAAAATACAAGCCATTGCGGATGTATTCCGCGGCCTAAGGGGTATATCCTTTCTATGTGTGTTTATACAGTTACCAGCACGCTGGCGTTCTCGTAGTAGCTGAGCAGAGGGTTCTCCCCGCTGCGCGTCTGGGTGTCCTCGAGGAACGCCCATCGCTTCATGAAATCACCATGCGACGTGAGCCTCGTGAGCTTGCCGGTGATCGCCTGGTACATGACTTCCATGGTTTGAAAATCTGTCGGGAACATGATATCAAAGTAGCCTTGGTGGACCTGCGCAGCTGGTCAGCATTTCTCATCCGGGTTAGTAGGACATAATGGCAACTTACCAAGGGCGTAGTCACAGGCACTGTCTTGCGCTCATACCGCGTCTGGACCACGGGCGCATTGAGGCCCCGGATAGCGTCCGGTAGGGAGTGGAAGTCGCTCGTGACGAGGCGGTGGGCGGGGAAGTACTTCTCCAGGACGTCAAAGAACTGCATCAGGCGTGTGGGGATGTACTCGGGCTCCGAGAGGTTCGGCATCAGCGGCATGCGCGACTTGAGGGTGCGCAGCATGCGGTTTGCCGGGTAGGGGGTCGGGTAGCGGCCTCCCGTGGCGGCGTGGCGGACGCGGAGGAAGCGGGCGAGGACAGGGTCGAGGTCCGGGGAGTAGAACTCGTAAAAGTCGTTGTCGGCGTCAATGAGGACAGAGCCCTGGAGGGGCTCCTCGGTGGCGAGGTCGTAGCGCACGCAGTCGTGGGAGAAGTTGTCAAAGACCTCCATGGCGAGGAAGAAGCACGGCGAGGGGACGCGCTCCGACCAGGAGAAGATGGACTTGTTGATGATCTCGACTTTAGAAGCGTGGCCGCGCGAGTCGGCGGTCGAGAGGAGGTGGTGACGCTGCAGCGAGGCGAGGGCCGGGGAGATCTCGATGATGCGGTATTGCGTGCGGGCGTAGACTTGAGGGTCGAGGTCGCGGATGTAGTCGAGGATGTTGAGCATGAGGGTGCCGCGGCCGGCGCCCATCTCGTAGATGATGAGGTCGTGGTAGGGGTACGTTGTCAGGCGGTAGTTGGAGACAAGGTAGCGGCCGATGGCCTCGCCATAGTAGGGCCTGAACAGCTCGGTGGGCGTGTGCCAGAGCGGACGGGCGTCGTTGACCCCCTCCTTGTCGTCAAGCTCGTCCTCGAACTCGGTATACCGTCGGCCCAGCTCGCGGTAGAAGTGCGGCTCGTCGCGGAAGGCGGGGAAGTCGAAGGGCTGACCGGGGAGAAGATGACGGCCTGGGTGGAGAAATAGCCGTAGGCCGGGTTGTAGAGACTGTCCTCGATGAAGTCGCGGGTGAGCATCTTGACCTTGCGCGGGCGGGTCGAGCGGGCGGCCAGATCGCGAGCGCTGAGGATCGGGTAGGTGTCGAACTCGTCAGCGCGGTCACTCGGGAAGAGGGACGTCCGCTGCTGCCACTTTGACTCGTTTGTCTTTTCCTGCCTCTCTGACGACGTCTTTACGGCGTAGTGCCGCCGCTGTCGCGGCGCGGACGGGGCATTGGCACCCGTCGGCCGTGATGCCGTAGCTGCTGCGGCATGGGGGTTGTGATGAGAATGAGGACGATGTTGGCTCAGAGTTGGGAGGGCGGCCGCGGCAGTTGTGCAATGCCGGCGGGATTGGCACGCGGGCCGGCGGAAGAGCTCGCGAAAGAGGCGGGTGACAGCGGGGAGTCCATCCCAGAGGACAAGTTCGGTCAGGAGATCGCAGTACAGAACGGGGGTTTGAAAATCAACGAATGGATCAAAAGCGCAAATCGTCGGTTCCGCGGGTTGGCAAATGTTCGAGCATGGCCCGAGCTCCCTATTTGGAGGTGGACGGGGTAGCTGTTAATCCGCTGCTGGGTGCTCAGCTGGGTCCCTGCCAAGAGGCTCCCAAGGCTCGAGTCCAGAGCCGTAGAAGCACAGCGCATGCTGAGGCTAAATACAGGGGTCCAGAAGAGCTAAAGTGACATCACCCCGTTTAGCGGGCAAATCCCTTGTAAAAAAAGATGGTGGAAATTCATGCGCTCCTCGTCTGTCACTGTTTATGTTTCTTCTCTTAAATTCTCGAGAGCCCTCCGAGATCGCAACGCCTCGTCGGAAATAAACAAACAAAAGGCCACAGGGACTCACGCGGACGATGGAGCACGACACATGACACGGGTAACATGTCTCTGAGCAATCATCCAAAAGCCTATGGCTCGGCCGCCCTGGCACTCGCCTTCGCGGCCGGCATCCTCGTCACCCTGGGCTTCAAAGATTTCTATCCCGATCTCGAGCGCCGCTACCAGCGCCGCCGTACCCGTCGGGCTCCCACCGGCGGTTCATCCTCTACAGACCCTTCCCGGCGGAGCAGTCTCTTCTGGGGACCGCCTGTGCAACTCGAAGACCACGAGACCGCCTCCGAAGCCGAGGAGGCAGCGGCCCTTGCTGAAGGCGCCGCATGGAATCCACCTTTAATCGCAGACGGCGTCGCCGGCGCCATTGGTAACACCCCGCTCATCAAGATCCGCTCCCTCAGCGAAGCGACGGGGCGCGTCATCCTCGCCAAGGCCGAGTTCCTCAACGCCGCGGGCAACACGCCCAAGGACCGCGTTGCTCTGTCCATGATCGAGGCCGCTGAGGCCGCGGGCCAGCTCGTGCCTGGGCGCGGAGACACTATTTACGAAGGTACCGTCGGCAGTACGGGCATCTCGTTGGCGACACTCGCGCGCGCGAGGGCTACCGCGCGCACATCTGCATGCCCAACGACATGGCCATGGAGAAGGTAGATCTGCTCCGCCATCTCGGCGCAACGGTTGAGCGTGTGGATCCGGCGCCGATCGCGTCACCGGAGCACTTCGTCAACCTTGCGAGAAGGCGCGCTGTGGAGCACGCCACCAAGGCTGGTGACGGTAGCGTGGGCTACTTTGCGGACCAGTTCGAGAACCCGGCCAACTTCGCGGCACACTTGCACACCACGGGCCCCGAGATCGTGTACCAAACCAGCGGCAACCTAGCCGCCTTCGTGGCCGGCGCCGGGACTGGCGGTACGATTGCGGGCGTGGCCAAGTACTTGAAGGAGGAAGCCAACTTGCCGGGTCTGCAGGTGATTCTTGCGGATCCCCAGGGCAGCGGGCTGTACAACAAGATCCGACACGGCGTCATGTACTCCAACACGGAGAAGGAGGGGACGCGACGGCGGCAGCAGGTCGACACGATCGTGGAAGGAATCGGCATCAACCGGGTGACGGAGAACTTTGAGGCAGGCAGGGAGCTGATCGACGACGCAATCAAGGTTACGGATGAGCAAGCGTGCCGCATGGCGAGGTGGCTGGTGGAGAACGACGGCATATTTGCAGGCAGCAGCAGTGCCGTCAACTGTGTCGCGGCGGTCGTTGCGGCCACAAGATTGCCCGAGGGCAGCCAAGTCGTTACGATTCTTTGCGACTCGGGCACGAGGCATCTGAGCAAGTTCTGGAAGCATGTGGCGGCGATGGGTTTGGAGGAGGACGAGCACTCGGCCGACCTATTCTCGGTATTGAAAGTTGACCCGGCGAAGCAATGAGATAAAAAACAATGACTTGAAACAATCGATGCCATAAAGGCATGCTGTAATGGCTCAATTGCTCACCCGCCTCAACATCGAATAGGCGGCTACCTCTCACTGGCCAGGCATCTATCGAGACCTCCTTTCTAAAGTGCAGTTCCTTTCTGAAAGAAATCTACTGCAAAGAAGCGGCAAAGGTGCCCGATCTCTTCGTGTCCAGGGTTAAAAAAAAGAATAGTTTAAAAGGAGTAATAAAGAGGTCCCTTCCTCATCCCCAACTCCGTACCAGCCAAACCCGCACCGATTTCGAGTGCTAAATGCAAGACCATCCATCCCGTGCCTCAAGAACGGGGTATAAGCGAAAAATCACGCCATCAGTCGAAAAATGTGAGAACCTCTCCCTCCTAGAATCGCACACTCAAGAGAACTGGAGATTTGTTAGCATATTCAGAACCCCGGTAAAATGCAAACGTGGAGCAAGCTAACCTTCCAGCGATTGCCGCAGACAGTGCACTCGCAGAATGTCGTCATCGGTTCATCAGCACTGCGCGTCTGCGCCTGGCTGTAGCTGACCTTCTTCTGGCCGCACTTGCCGCACTTGAGAGCGTCGCTGATGCTCTTCTCGGCCATGGGGACCTGGGCCTTCTTCATGTTCTCGAGTTGAAGGGCATCCTCCTTCTTCCGCTGCTCCTCCGACTTGAGCTCCTCGTGAGTCATTACGACGAACCGCTCCGGAGCAATCTTGCCCTCCATAACGTTAACACCGAGCTGGCGGTTGCTCTTGACCTTGAGGTTGCTGAACAGTGAGCGCAGTTTCTCACGGTACTCCTTGGTGACACCCTTGTAGTGGCTGAATGCGGCATATTCGACGGCGACAGCCTTGGCAAGAACATCGGTAACGGAGGCGGTAGATCGATAGGCGAGACCGTTGTAAATCAACTCGATGCAGGAATCGCGCGTTTCGTCGCCGGTACGCTTGGTGTCGCAGCCGTCGGACTTGGCACGACGGAGCTCGGGGTTGCCCTTGAAGGGCTGGTTCATCGCGTTTGACGAAGAGGGCTTCGGCGCGGGGGCCTGGGTCGGGGAAGGGGCAGCAGGAGATGACTGCTTCTTGATCTTGCCCTGCTTCTCGGCCTCGACGAGCTTCTTCCATTTGTGGACAAGTTCGGTAGCGGCTCGGGCGATGTCCTTGTTCGAGTTCGATCGAAGCTTGCCGACGAAGACACCAGCTCTGCTGGACTATCCGAGAGCATACAGATCAGTTTTGGTTCGTCTTAATAGGTTTCGTTACAAAGGCAACGTCTGATGAACCAGTGCTGCTCGAACCGCAACATCAATCACGACTTACCCTGAGCATCTCTTCCGTGGGGGCGGCTTCTTTTTTCAGGCGCTCAAGGAGAGCAAGAGCAGTCGCAGGAGGCTCGTTCGCCTGGACGATCTTGTTGAGCTGCTTGATGCAGGACTCAAGCTCACGTTGATCCATGCCTGTCGACATCGCGGGCAGTCGAATTGTTCGAGATTGAGGTGATGGTGAGCAAAGTTCTGGCGCACGCAACGCAGAATCGAATTTTATGAATGCAAAATTATTGAACGGGTGTTGAAGAAAGTGAGGCTACTTAAATTCAGGTCCTTCTTCTAGACCTGACGTGGTGGAAATCGCGCCGGAACTAAGTGGGGCAAAGCCTCAATGTCGTGTGCAACGCTCCCCGGATAGCGGCTTTATGTTTTGCCGAGAGACCGAGCCGATTGTTGACAACAAGGAGCAGCGTGGGGTGTTGCACCTTCCCACCTGCCTTATCGCTCGGTCCATGTGATGACCAGGGGAAGCGAGCTTATCACTGTCGAGTCACGCTGCCACATGGTCCCTGCTGCTGCCAATTCAGCGGATTCAGCGGAGCAAGCTACCCACTAGAAGCTGTCGAGTCCCGCGACAGCTGCTGCGCATGCAAGGGACGCCTACTGGAGCCTATGACGCCAGATGGGGAACGTCGTTGGTGAACGTCTGTGAACTTCCACCATACATCTTAACGAACCTCGATCGTCCTTTGTCTCTGCCTGAACCTGCCCTCAACCGTTGTATCGGTTCCTGTTTTTAGCTCCCGCCCCATGACTCACTAGAAAACATCCGGAAATCTCAACATTGTTTTTGGATACCCTTAAGTATTGAGGCGACCGCATTCCGCGACCCTCTAGTCGACTTCGCCACTATACGCGGTCAGCGCGTCTCGAAAGCATCTCCACCCCGCGCCGCTGTCACAAAGTTGTTGACTTGCCTATGGACCATATTTTTGGCGTCAAGGCAGCTCACATAACTTACTTCTCGGGTTGAATCCAAACAATTATATTCTGAGCCACCTCAAGGCTTCGCCAACACACGTCCATGCACGATGCCTCCGCGACGTCAACAAGATCTCCCGGTTGAGAGCAGTTGGCGCCTGGTCGAGGGTGGCGAGAATGACAGCTTCGACACCTCTATCCTCCCTGACCTCGAGGAAGATGAGGGTTTCCTCTCCACGGACCCTTCGCAGATTCCTTCGCAGTCATTCAGCATCGGCGGCTCACAAGAATCTCATCACAGCGTTCAAGACTTCATGAACAAGGCAGACGATGAACGCGTCATTCTTCGCTCGCCCTTCCAACCCACCGTACGTCGGGATCTCAACCGTTCACCAGACCCGGAGTTTGTCATGCCGTCTATGCGCTTCAGCGCTGCTCCGGGTAGTAGTACTAGCCCTCGACAGGGCAGCGGCCGGTCATCGCGGACTATCCGCCCGGGTGATGAACCCTACCAGCAGCAGGATGTACGGCGCCGTGCAATACGGCAAGCGAGTACCGGAAGCCCCGTGAAGGTGCGGCGCGGCGATTCCAGCAGGGGAAGGGGTTACTACGACGAGACGGCAGAAGAGCAAAAAACGGTAACGGAACGTTTATCAGAGTCCCTGCCAGGCGCGACTTTCAACATCTTAGCCTGGGTTTTCAACGTCATTGGTATGGCCCTTGGCTACGTTCAAAAGCCACTGGCGCTTTGCTTGGCTGTTTGGCTCTTCTTCGGAGCCTCCATTATGCTCCAAAACTTGGTAACCAAGTCAATAACGACGTCTCTCTCGCCGCTTTGTCGCATTCCGGGAGCAGCATATCTGGACCTTCCATTCTGTCCTTCGTTAGCTTCGTCTACCGGCGGTAACCAGGACTCCGGGTCTTCTAATGTCGAGTTTGATGATCTCATGAACGTTCAGTCACAGTTCGAACAGGTCCTCGAACGCAGCGCTGACGGTGTCTCGCTGCCCATGGAAATGAAGCGCTCCGAGTCATCGATCCGCGACCTGCGTACTATGGTTCGCTACTCGGAGTTGCCGCAGCGGGACGAGCTTGTCTACGAGTTCAATGAGTACATCGACACTGCGCGTTTGACGGCTGCCGATCTGCAAAAGTTCAACGTTCATGTCGGATCTGCTGTTGATTCCGTCATCTCCATAAACCGTTGGACATCTCGTTACCTAGACACGCTCTCCGCCTCAGAGACCACCGACGACGGCGTCATCTCCCAGTGGTCCAGCTGGCTCTTCTATCCCTTTACTCCTACTGTAACACCCTTCTCAGAAAGGACCCTTCTCGACAAGTATATTGAACACACTGCAATGGTTTCTGACCGCATCTCATCGCTTATTGTTGAGGCACAAGGGGTCCTGCTCCTCCTTACAAAAGCCGAGGAGCATCTCAACCAAATTTATGAGCTGGTTACTCGTTCGTCAAACTCTGTCAAGTCTCGTCGTGACGAGGTTCTTTGGACGCTGTGGACTCTGGTCGGTGCGAACAACAAACGCCTGCATAACCTTAACGCCCAACTCTCCCTACTTCGACAGGTGGACCGCCAGCGCAGCACGGCAGTCGCCCAGGTCTCGGCGCTCATCGTTGATCTCGAGAAGATCCAGGCAGGTCTGGGCGATCTCCGCGACCGCGTGGCTGCGCCAGAGCTCGTCCGTGACTCTGCCGCCGCAATCCCGCTGACTGTACACATCGAGACCATTGACCGCGGTGTTGAACGGCTCGAGGATGCACGGCAGCGAATCCGCGCCAACGAGAACGATCGTATTCGCGAGGCGCTGGCCAGGGGCGGCACTAAGGAGGACGACAAGCTCATTGACGGCCGGTCGTGAGGAGAATGTTTCCCTGGGATCATTAGCTGAAAGATGGAACGCCAAGACTGAGAGCGGATGAAATTTTTCTAGAAATCGTTTGCGATGCATGAACATTACTTTTCAGACGAGCAGGCGTTTGGCTTGGCGAAACAAATTGGATGAAAGTCGGTATGTTAGATTCGGATGAAACGAAACAGCGATAATAGCGAGAAGATACCATGTATTCAGAAATTCCCATCCATAGTTGTTTTCGCAGGGGAGGCAAATAATTAAACATTGTGGTTGAAAGGCATCTCACGAGCAGAACAGGATGCGGAAATGGTTCATCGTCTTCATTGAGGATGCGCTCGGCCGCGGGGGTCAATAAAGCCCCAGGTCAGGCAGGCAGCTTGCTTCGAGCTCTGCCGTCTAACAGGCGCAAGCCAGTGAGGACAGCAGTCACCACCAAAAAAACTAAACTTTTAATAACACGCGTGGCATCCTCCCAAATCGCCATTTGATGCACGTCCTTTCCCGATAGGGTATATCCAGTCCAAAAGTTGGGACTACAGGCGAAGTCCCATGAAGAATGTTTCCGTGCCAAAATATGAAAGTCCAAGGGCAGTTCCATGCCCACCGAGTCTAACTGTCGTGACTGTGAAGTGAATCTGTCTCCTCATCATCCCGTTGGAGGGTGATAACCAGGGAGTGTCGTTGGTATATATCATCATGTCCCATCATGTTCCTCAAAAATAAAAAATAAAACTGAACCTCAGGCAGTCCTTTTGCCCAACCTCAAAACGCCTTGCCCCATGCGACTCCAAAGTTGATTAAATGCCTGCAACGTTTTCCGATCATGAGAAGCCCGGGAAGACCTTAACTACGTAGCGCTTCCCTACAGTCTCGATTAGTACATCTTCAAAATCCTCATCAAGTTTACACTTACATGCTGGCGACCGTCCATCTGGGTCATCAAAAGGCGTGCCTGCGAGCGCTCTCATCCGCGCCCGTGCTAACGCTGAGGGACTCTTACGCCCTTCTGGCCGTTGATGGCCTTGCTTGGAGTCGTCCGATAAAGGGACGTGTAGCCACAGCCCCCCTACTTTGGAGCGCTTGTTCTGATGAGAGTCCTGAGCTGCCGCAGTTGGCCGAGACGGCTGAGATTGCGACTGCGGTGGTTCTCGATCTTCCGACTGACTGTAGGGTGGGTCCGAATCCTCTTGCTCCTCTCGAGTCGGCTCAAGGGTTCGTGACGAGGGTGCTGCCTCCACGTCCGAGGGGGTTCTAGCGTCGGGTGCCTCTTGACCTGCTTTTGGAGACTTGGAGGGGATGACGGGTGTCATTGGTGTTTCTGTCGGGGACGATGCCGCTTTGTCCGTGCCGAATAGCCGCTTGCCCCAATGTTTGCTTTTCACCTCCGCTTCCTCGTCGTCTGACTCGTCCAATATCACCCTTTCCCTCAAACGTCGGATCGCCCGCTCACGGCGTACCATGCCATTAGTAATTTTTGGACAATAATTGCGTGGCAGCATGCTCCTTTTGCAAATCGGGCATAACGAGCTGTTCATGCCCAGGAATTCGTCGATGCATTCGGGGTGGAAAATGTGACCGCAAGGCAATTCCCGAATGATGGATTCCCTATCCACGTAATTCTCCAAGCAAATATGGCATTGCGGTTGGTAGTTCGTTGCGATGGCACTTGTCGCGCTGTTGATGCTGGCTCTCCTCGCTCGCGATCTGGCTGTGGCGGATTCGGAGACGGTGCGTTGGTCGGCCCGCATGCTCCGCGGTGACCTAAAGGATTTCGGGGGTCTCGTAGTAGAGGGTGTGTTGATTATTTCTGGCTGAAAACTGTACGTGAATAGCGGGAAGCCCTTAACATGGGTGACTGGCACTGTTACGCGTTTGATGCCCATCGCTTCCAAGTCGACCTCTCCGCTCAACACTCTTCTGCGCAGTGATATCCTTCGTCTCCGCTGTACTAGGTGCATTGTGAGTGATAGACAAGCGATGATGAACAACACGACGCCGACGACTGTAAGAATCCAGGTCCACATGGCAGGGACACTGTCACGGTCCCTCACCGTCAACTCGGTCCATATACGAATATAATCGTTGTCGTGGAGGTCGTATGTTTGCGCTATTTCGTCTCCATAAGGAATTTGGGATATGTTGCCGGAGTAGAGGCTAAGTTGGTGCATCATTTTGTTGCCTTCTGCGCCGGGAATGGCGAAAATAGGATATCGGTTCTTGGTGCGCCAAGAATCGCCATCGTCGAGATCCCATATCGGCGAGTCGGCACCTTGGGGTTCTCTTGTCGAATTGTTGGGTCGGTAGAAGACAAAGGCGCGGATGGGATCGAGGCGAGCGGACGCAAGGTAGGCTTTGGTGCAAGTAGCGTTGAACCATGGCGCAAGGGCAATTAAATTGTAGTTGGTAGGAGGCAGTTCCGCCTGAGTGGTAGCATTTCGGGGGATGATGTCGTACTGCTGTTCGTAACATGGGTCGGTTACACTGAGGTCTGGCACGTAGAGCAGGCCTCGAATGATTCCATCCTGTGTTTCGGAATTCGTGGTGCTCAGTGTGGTGAGGTTTGATATAATGGTGTCCTGGTAGGCTAGGGATTTCTGTTTGCTGGGTTAGCCGAGGACTTCGGAGTAAGACAAAGGCGACTAGAAGACCGACCGAGAGGGAAGTAATGTTCTTAATGAGCGTCGATGGGATGGTATTGGCACCTGACCAGACAGGGTTACTGAACAGCAGACTGCATGATGGCTAGTTAGCATCAAACATGCGAGAAACGCGCGGTGTTGAGACAGAGTGCGGGACGGCGGGGCAACGCTTCCAGATGTGCTCATGGAAGCGCTGTGAGATATCGTGACACTGGCCCACGACGGTTCCGGAACAGCGTGACAAGTGATTGAATGGCAGCGCTGGGGAGGAGGGAGATGTGCGCATGGACGATAAGCACGACTAAATGCAGCTTCAACGGCAGCGAAGGCAATGGAGAGATGTTGAGACATACACGACATTTCGAACCTGTTCGAGAGCTGTGAGACGTCAGCGAGAGGTGCCAAGACTGGGGCCTTTTGGTATGTATTGGCCACGACAAAGGGAGAGCTCGCCAAAGGCTGGCTACCTGCGTTGGAAGGAACAGCAGACTATGGCTTTTGCCGCGAATGTTCGAGGGAAAATTGAGGGGGTTCTATATGACTTACACATGCTTCCCTCACATGTTCAGCGAACGGGTTGAGGGCATCGAAACCATCAGCCTTTGGTAGACAGTTCGTGGGTTGGCTGCTCTAGTATGGAGAAAGCAGGAGCGTGGGCACGTCGAGTGAGGAAACGAACGGGCGAGGCGGATACGGCCGGGAATTTGGAGTCGGAATGGACCCAGGCGGCGGTCGGGCTGAAGGGCGGAGGAAAAAGGGAAGTTTGGCGTCTTGAAATGGACTGGATGGAGCCTCGATTTCTGGGTCTCTCACAGGCAGTGTCGAAATGCGGTCCTGGTCGAGGGGTGAAGTTGGTGAGAAAGTTGGCAGAGGTGCGACCAAGAGACAAGCTGAGAAAGAGGGTCGATGAAGGTCAGCGAGCGAGCTGGGGCAGGCGCGATTTTCAATGCCAAGCGGGGTTCAAATCAGGTCGTTCCCAGTGCGCTGCAGGTGCGCCTTTGCACTTGCACGCTGATCAGGTCAATGGGGGGTGTGTGAGAAGCAAAGTCAGGTCGGGGTCCAGGTCCAGGTCCAGGTCCAGGTCCAGGTCCAGGTCCAGGTCCAGGTCCAGGTCCAATGCAGCGCGGGTTGGGGAGCGTGGGTGTGTGGTGTTGGAACTCGGGTGTGTGGGCGGCGGTGGTAGGATGATGGATGAATTTGAACGGATAGACTGGATGAAAGCTGGCCGACGGGACGGATCATGCAACTGCGATAGAGCCGGGAAACAAAGCAATGGGCAGCAGCGCGGGAGCAGGGAGGAAAAGGGCGAGGGAGAAAAGCGTGGAAACAGGTATTCGTAGCGAAAAGGCTGGTAATAAAGTGTTGGCAGCCCGCAGCGCGTCGGGCACTAGCAGGCGTACCAGAAGGTACTTGCAGCGTTCCCCCCATACCCGACCCTGCCTGCCGAACATTATTACACACATAGGTAGTAGGAGTAGTACACGTCGGGGCGAGAGAACAGTTGCACAGCCTCCCTGCCATGGCTGTTCTCGCACTCGTCCTCGTCCTCGTCGTCGCTGTTTCTCGTTGTGCTTTGTCCGTGGCAGCGGAGGAGCAAGTGCCCGGTCAAATTCTCGTGGCCCATCCATCCTTAACACTATGATGACCGTTGCTTCGGTCGGCCATCGTAGATACAGGTCAACCATATGTCCCTCATTCTCTGTTTCCCAACTCCCAAGAGGCTGAGGGCATGAGTACTTTGCCGCGACCAAAGATGGGATTGCTCCATTGTTTGGGTTGCCAGAAAGGTGTGTGGGTCAGATACGGTTTGGGGACTTGAAATTGAGAGAACGAGAGACACAGACGCTGGGAGAATAGGAGCGAACGAGGGGTCTCAGCAAGGGTGCTAGGTGCAAGGCGTGTACAGGTAGTACTACTGTACATATGATGGGTGCAAAGATGCGCCAGCATCTGGTAGGCGGGCGAAGATGGTGGAGTGGGTCCTTCCAGATGGAGGCAGTCCAGAGGTCCCCGGTAGCCAGTGGAAGGCCTTACATCCGTTACTGAGGCAAGTGAGGTAGTCATGGACATGACCGTGACCTCGACAAAGCCAGAGGTGCGCAGCAAAAAAGGAGGGCCCGCTGGGGTGGCAAGCGTGTACCCCAAGGTAGCGGCCAAGTATCCCCGTTTCGTCCAACAGACGTAGGTTTGTTCCTGTCCTGACTTGCTCACCTCAGCCAGATACTCCACTAACAGAGATACCTACCCGCCCGCGTATTGGAGCCGGGCGGGCGACGCATCTACGATTTAATCCATCTTTGGAAGTCGAAAACCTGGCTCTTTGCCAAACCAACAGACACGGGCTGGCTCCTGTCGTCAGTAGCAGTCGATGGTGCACACTTCTGTGGTCCGGATAACGTGCCGGCAGGGAACTAACAGCATTCTCAATCACCAAAACGGCAACAGTTGGGCCCGAGGGAGTCCCCAAGACCTGCATTTCCACCCTGCACCTGCAGTCCCGCATCTGCTTGCGCGACTACAGTACACTACGACCGACAAACCAGGGCCGCTCTCGTCTGCAAGTTAGTCACGCTATTGCCGTTCGTGCCGTTGTCGTTTATTGCGGCATGTGCAGCAACGCTCAAACAAGTCAAACAGTCTCACTACATCTCCCTGTCTTGCCGTGTTATCCTGCACATCGTACGGACAAACGCAGCAGCCCCCAGCACAATCCTCTCCCGGAGACCATCGGATCGCATGTCATCACTGCTAAGCTTTTTGTTGCCTCGAAGCTTGTCTGATCTGTTCAGCGACCTCCCCCGTTCGTCTGTGCCGAGTCCCGTTTCTCGTCCTCGCGACCCGTCAGGTTGACTCGAATCCTTCTTTGCCGAACCGCTCGTACACCTCTACCTGCACCTGGGGTACTCCATTTCGAAAGCTGGGAGGCCGGGGAGGAGGAAAGGACACTCCCACCTTCCTTGTCTTTCCGTCCATCGGCTCCTCGCTCCCGCTAAAACACCCGGCTGGCATCGCCTGCTTTAGCGCGAAGGAGAGAGAGTTTTTACTTGGGCCGCCGCCTGCTCAAGACGTAATGCCGCCCTCGGGGACGGATACCATCTCCCCCTTCCGTTCGGTCACGCCAACACCGTTCTTCGGCCCATCGACTGCAGCAACAATCCAACACGGCATACTTCCAAGAGGAAAGTCTGCTTCCTAGCCTTGCCGCATGGTGTTGTTTCCGTCTGCACCCTCTCGACGGAGTTGCGGTCTCCTACTGCAAGAGGCTCGACTCTCTTCCGCGGCAACTTGTGCCGACAATTCTGGACTTCACTTGCACCGACCGATGTGCTTGACAGCTCGACCAGGTCGCCCGGTCGTTCTTGGCTAATTGTCGCCTGGGCTTCCCAGCAATATGGCACCACTCGCGTGCCTCTCCAGGCGAACAGACCCTCAACGTGCAGACCTTCGCACAAGTGACACATGCTCATCCTGCGTTGTCTCGACCCTCTCCCATATCCTTGCCACACATTGGCAAGCCTTGGGAGGCCTTGGGACATGTCATATGGCAGCGCGATGGCAACTGGCCTTCAGCCGACGATGACATCGTACGAGACGCGCCAATAGACCGTCAACTTGATAAATCGCGACACCAAGCAAACTCGTCGTCGACCTTGTAAGAGGGCGACTGCGGCCTGGGCGCTCACTAGCACGCGGCCGCCAACAGCCTGGACGCACACCCTCAGACCGCCCCTCAACACTCGACTAGTGGAAGCGTACATTGCGCGGCCTGCATATCACGCGCCAGTCGGGTAAGTCAAAGTCCAGTGCCAACACTGAGATGGATACCGGTGCACGGCACCCGGGATTCTACGATGTTTGTCCCGCGGCAACGCAGCCTACGGGCTACGGGGAGGGCTTCTAGCGACTGTACCTCGCCTTCTAGTCTCGATCACCCAGTCGCCTCCCAGGCTTGGCATCCCGTCTTCACGTCTATCAATGTCGACCTCCTCCGGACAGCAAGATGCAGCTTGAGGGACAGCCTGTTGGCGACAGGCTCCTCGTTTTAATACTGCGGTTAGGCAAATATTCGCTACTGCGATGCTACTTTGAGAGCCTTCCCTGGTGTTTAGTTTAGAGCCAACTCGACGCAGAGGCACATGGAGAGTACTGGCGCCGGGTACCCCTCACAACCACGGCGCCCAAGCAGACGTCATTGAAACAACTGGGGCTCCCCCCAGCGTGGTCCACTAGGACAGGGGCTATATCTCACGCTTGCGACGGCAATTTTCTGCTCGATCCTTGCTGACTGACAGAGTCGCAGACTGCCATGTGCTTTGGCGAAACCGATCTGGTCTCGCCGATACTGCAATATGTCTCGAGAGTTCTTAATAATCAGTTGCTCGAACATTGCGGCTTCTTTCAGGCCACCCGAAGATGCCGGACAGCCGCCCTCGTGACTCTTATACTACGCTCGGCATTTCACAGGCTCCCTGGCGCTGTCCCCTTGTCTCACTCGGCAAGTTAAGCCGATAATCATCCCTACGTCATGTGCATGCCTGGCGTCTCATTTGTCAACGCGTCACGCCCAGCTGCGACACAGATACGCCCGACGACGACGGGAACGCAAGAAGGAAAAACCCCGACGGCTTGCGATTATATTGTGTCTGGTTGTACGCCCTCCGGCCGCTGACCAGCTGCCAGCATGGTGAGGTTTGCTCTCAGGGGCTGCGCCCGACAGCAATTTCTTGGGAGGCGGTGTTACACTCAGGTGAATCTCTTGGCCTCCTGTCTTGGCTGTAAGAGCTCTGGGAATTTGCAGTGTCTTGGTCCTCCAAGCATGAGGGTCGCCTTTTACCAAGGCCTGTGGTAGCTTGCCAAGTGCTTCCGGTCAACTTTGTCGAGTAAGGACAACGACGTTTGGAGAAGCCGTCCCAAGTGTTTCGCATTCACGTGCATTGCCATGAAACCCAGGGAGACGGGACTCTACACGCGCCGCTGATTAAATATTTGACAAGCCAAGTCTCTGGGCTCTGTTTCGTGGCAGCGGCTTGTTATCAAGCCTCCTCATCATAGTCGACTCGAGCACTAGGACTTGACGCGAAGTGGCGGAAAGGTTTCTATTCGCGGTCAAGACCTAACATGTTCGAAATAGGGCTTGGCTTTTTGATTCCACAAGGTCCCAGAGAGTGGAAGGCTACGGACGTAAGATGTAGCACCCCAAAGAGCTTGCAGCACACCTTCACATGCGGACGGGAGCCAGCCTCGACAGGAAGAGTGTCGTCTGAGCAGTCTTGAAACTGATGTCTATCTACCCCTGCCGCCTGCAGCCGCTCTTGTTTGTGATCTCCGCCGGGCATGTCACTTGCTTGAAGGACACGGCCGGGTTGTCGGCGCCCTTGAACCAATCGAACCGCCAGTAACACCCGGCCTTGAGTTTCTGCGGGAACGCGTCGCACTCGGAGCGGGAGCTGACGCCGCCGTACCGCTGGCCCCACCCGTTGGCCGGCGCTCCGTACTGGTCCGTACAAGCGTTGAACAGGCCCACGCCACCGCCGGGGATCTGCGGAAGGATGTGGTCAGCTTCTGGTCCCAATACTTGATCTTGTGTGTATTGCACATTGGGTGGTTAAACGCAATGCCCCCCCGCCACGGTTGGCCGCAGTTTCCGGGCTCTTACGGCTTGGCACCAGCTCCGTGCATCAACCACCGCCGTCCGCCCCGCAACTCCGAACGGCGAACGGTGAACGGCAAATATGCAAGTGCAAGACAACAGAAAGCAAACTCACAGCAAGGTCGAAATGATTCTGTCCCAAGTCCCCGCCCGTGTTCGTAGCCTGCACGATCATCTTCTTCCCTGCCACGGGCCCGCTCGTGAACGTGAGCTCATAGCACGCGCAGCACCACTGGCTCTCAGTGCCTCCGGAGATCCTCACGGCCGCCCACCCGTACGCGAGGCTGTCGTTGATGGCCCAGGGCGAGTTGCTGCTGCACATGTACGCGCTTCCTCCAGAATCGCACCCGGAGCGCGTTGCGCCGCCGTCGGAGAGGGGGTTGTCATTGCGGTCGCAGGTCGTCACGGGCCCCGTGGCGAGCTGGCTGGATTTGCCGGGCCAGGCGCAGGAAGGCTTGCAGCAGTCCCAGTAGCGGGTTGTCGAGCCCGTGCCGGACGACTGGGCTGTCGAGAAGGGGAGGAGGGGGAGGAGGAAGAAGGAGAGAAGGGTTTGCTTGGGCTGCATCTTGTAGAAGTATCTGGTTGCCTTTCTCTAGAGGGAAGTGTGATGAGCTGGTTCCTCCGTCCTTGGATCAACGGGGAGTAGATGATGGTTATATGCACTACGCAGCCATCGAACGAAGAGACTGTATCTTCCACATGTAGTCAGTCTTTCCTGCGTGATGGATAGGACCGTGAGGGGGGATCGGTCTACCAAAACCCTGAATGATGGTTTGTTGACGACCAATTTCGTCCCGTCCCACTCGCGTCTTATACCACACCATCACCCTATTCCGGCCATTCTCTCGTCGTTCTGCGGGAGCCAAATATTAAAAAGCAATCACCTGGTTTATCCACGGCCAATTTAGCCGTGCCGAAGAGGTGGGAACCCCCCCCCCTGCTCTTGGCATAGCGCTCCGGAGGGAAGCTGGCGGTTGAGAAGCCTCATCGTTATGCTTGACTGACTGACAGGCTGACAGACAGACGCCTCCCGAGGGGCGCGGCCCAGGCACGCGGGTGCCCTGGCCCCGGGACGCCGAGCCCCTAAAAAGTCCGGCTTGGGAACAAGAAAAGGTTGGATAGAGTGCCTTCCCTCCCCCTCCCTCCGTCGTCCAATATACCAGAAACGACGACACCGCATGCGAGCCCTTCGTACCAGGGAGATGCCGCCGGCTCAAATACACTGAATGGCAAGGACCGACTCGGCGGGAACCTCCCCCGCCACCTCGCGCAACGGCCGCGCGGCCAGCCTCCTCCGAACCAGCTGCTGCAGCCCCGTCGGACCACGTTTCTCTTTTCTCTTCTTCCATCTAGGCAGAGTGAGATTCGGAGGCCGGGTCCGGTGCCCGCTTACGGCAAGTGATCAGCCAGCCCCGGCCTCCCGTCCCGCGGCCTAGACTGCGCACACGACTAGAGTTCATCCGGAAACCTGGAAGACGGCATATAGAGTTCCTCGGGCGTGCAAAAAAGGTGGGTGAGAGGCAGGCACCTTGTTGGCCCAAGCAATCAAATTGACTCGGAATGTGGTTCACCAATGTCGCTTGGAATGTTCGTCACCGAAATCAAGACTTTTCTCGTTATTGCTCTTCATGGACCCTGCCGGTAACCTGTAGCTTTAACCACCCAGCTACACCCTCTGTTCATAAACAACGGAAAAACACCCGCCAGACCGTCTTCGTCTACAAAGCACAGCCGCCAAGCAAAGCCCTGCCCTCCGCCCGGCTCCCACGTAAAAGCACAGAACCATCAAGAGAAACAGCCGAAACGCTCCTACCATCTGCGGTTGTTGTTGTTGTTGTCACCAAAGCTCTCCGCGACCTTGCCAATGAAGTCACCGAAGCCGCCGCCGCCCTCCTCGCGACGCTCGTCATCGTCGTCGTTGCGGCGTCGGCCGCCGTGGTGCTCCTCCTGGCGACCATAGCTGCTCTCGTTGTCATCACGGCGTCCACCGCCGTAGCTCTCCTCCTGACGGCCGTAGCTGCTCTCCTCCTGACGACGACCGCCGCCGCCGTATCCTCCCTCATCCTCGCGACGGCCACCGCCGTAGCTCTGCTCCTGACGGCCGTAGCCACTCTCCTCTTGGCGACCGTAGCTGCTCTGCTCTTGGCGGCCATAGCTGCTCTCGTTGTCGTCCCGGCGTCCGCCGCCGTAGCCGCCGCCATAGCTGCTTTCCTCTTGGCGACGGCCGCCGTAGCCGCCCTCGTTGTCGTCACGGCGACCACCGCTGTAACCGGACTCGGTGTTGCCCTCATATCGGTGGGTCTCAGTGCGCTGTTCGTAACCGCCGCCGTAGGAGGGTCTGGTCTCCGTGGTCTGCTCGTACTCTTGGCCGCTGGTCTGGCGTCCGCCGTGGCTGTCCTCCTGCTCGTATCTGCGGTACTCGGAGCGACCGCCGCCGCCGGGGTACTGGGTCTCGCTGTACTCGGCCTGACCGTACTTGTTGCCGTGGTGGCCGTACTCGGTCGTGGTCTCGGTGTAACCGCCGTCGTCGTCACGGCGGCTGCTGTGCTGAGTCTCCTTCTCGTCCTTCTTGAAGACACCGCCGAGGATGGATCCAATCAGGCCGCCAGCGCCACCGCTGCTCTCCTCCTGCTCCTCCTGGTGCTTGTACTTGGGAACCTTGACTCCGGTCTGCTGCTCGACGAGGCCGGCGATTCCGCCAGAAACACCCTCGAGAATGGCACCAGCAGCCTTGTCGGCAACCTTGTCCTCCCAGGTCGTGGGCTCGCCAAACTGCTTGCGCATGTGAAGCTTGCCGCTGCAGCCGTGACCGTGGCCGGTGTCGTGGACGCCCTCCTTGTGGTTCTCGCCGCGCTCGACGCCCTCGCGGCTCAGCTTGCGGCGGTAGTCGTCCTGCTGGCGCCTGTCCATGGCGTTCCACCACTCCTCGACGAACTGGAAGATCTTCTGACGTCCTTCACGGGCGCCATCCTCGCCCATGTCGCGCTGGGCGGGGTGGTGCATAACGCCAAAGATGATGCGGTTCAGGGTGCGGTTGATATCGACGTTCTCATCATCAATGGCCTCCATAAGCTGGGGGACAACCCAGTGGAGCGTCTTGGCAGCGCAACGGCCGGCGACCTCGTTCAGAATCTGTGGAAACCCTTAGCTCTTATTCTGGTGATCCCGGGGCATTGGTTCTTACGTTGGTGAAGTGGTCCTTGGACAGCATGGAGTGAGTAGGGTCAGTGCTGCGGTCATCCTCGAAGACGATGTGCTGCTCCCTCTCACTGCTCTCAATGATCTCGGCCGAGCCGGTGCGGAGCTCGTTGCGGATCTGGTTGATGACGGGGAGGATGAAGGGGGCGATGACGGAGAAGACAAACTTGGACAGCTGCTCCTCGAGCTGCTCCAGGATCTTGGGCAGGACCGGGATCTTCTCGACGGCCTCGGTGATTCCCTGCAGGATCTCGTCGTGGAACTCGATGGCAGGCATGATCTGCCTAAAGACATCCTGGATGTAGCGAGTGTACTCCTCAGGCTCTCTGGGAGAGACCTGCATGTTCTGGAGCTGCGAGGAGGTGGCGTTGCTCTGGAGCTCGTCCACACGGTTGCTCTGGTGCTTACCGCCGAAGATACCATCGGGAATCATGTCCAAGAGGTTTCGCAGAATGCTAGTGTCGTTGTTCTTGCTCTCCTGGAGGGTACCCTCGAGCTCCTCGATCTCGTTCTGGGTAAGCTTGTCGGAGACTATGATGCTATTAGTCGCCGCGTCATTCAAGCAATTTCATCTTACGCACCTTCACCAGTGACGGAGTGGAGGAAGTCAACACCGCCAAAGGTACCAGTGACAATCGGGTAGACCTCGTCTCTAGCTCCGTTGAGTCTGATCCGAGTGTCACGGCCGACGTGAGGGAACACATCACGCTCGCCCATCTCGATGAGGGAAAGCTCGCAGTAGTTGCTGTGAGCGAAGAAGTCTGCGAGCCACGGCGTTAGCAACATCTCGAAATGATTTAGCCCAAAGCCAAGGTGAGCCTTTTGTGCTCAGGTCTCCGACGTACCCTCCAAGCAGTGCAGACCGGTACCCATGAGACGCATCGCCTCGTAAAGGTCGGCCTGGTTCTTGTTTCGGGAGTATCCTCGAGCGAGCTCGATGCAGCGGGAGAATAGGCTGCGGACGTGGGCGGCGGAAGTCATGATGCCGGCCTGCTCGTTGGCGATGTAGTTCTTCATGCCGGTCTCGCGATCAATGCCGAGCTCGACGTTCTCGTCGACGGGACCTCTCAGGCGACTGTCGTACCGGCGGGCATCTTCGTTGTCGGCGTAGTTCTTGGGGTTGTCGATGTGGTCCTCGGGACGGTAGCAGCCCAGGCGGTCGGCCGTGACCTCGAACTCCTTGGAACCGTAGCCGAAGGTCAGGAAACCCAGGACGCAGAGGAGCAGGCGGATGGCCTCGGCTGAGACGGACTTGACAGTGCCGACGTCGATGGCCTGGGAATAGTCTCGCAGCCAGTTGCCGAAGTAGACACGGGAGACCATCATTTTGCTGAACTTCTTGCCGTTCATGGCGCGAGCCATGGCGAGGGTGAGGAGAGCATCTTCGATGTCACCGTGGCGCCCTGTGCAACCGATGGGTTAGCCGACTTGGTGCGGGTGACAGGTATCATTTGGGGGTAGGCTCACAGTTCTGGCCCTCAACCTTGGAGATGCTGGCAATGTTACCAGCTCCGAAGGCATAGGTTGGCTGGGCAAGGCAGACCAGCACAAGCAGACCGACCAGCAGCGGGTAGGACCTGGCGTCGAGCATGTTGACTTGTACTTCGTATCCTCTCTCTCTTGGTGGTGTGCAGGTATGTTTGTTCGTCGCCGTTCTGTAGAGACAGTTTAGTGACGGGTTGAGGTGAAGTGGGTTTTACGTAGAAGCAAAACAAAGGTATGATGGCGGGAGGGAGGGGAGGTCATAAAATAAAGGAGGAGGATATGACACAAGCAAGGGGTTGCAGAAGGGAAAGGAGGGGCTATGATCAGGGCTGGAGGCGGTGGAGGGGCAACGGGACGGCGTGTCACTGTCTTCTTCCAAGCTTAGGGAGCATGGATGGAACGAGGGGACTGGAACTGGAACGCACCCATTGGCACTTGGAGCTATCAGAAGCCAGAAACACGAGGCAGCTCGAGTGAACAGGAGGGCCGACAATCAAGCGGTTCTGTTGCTTGCTGCCCCTCCCTCCCACCTCCCACCTTGTCCCCGTTCCCAGTTCGCAATATGGTTCTGCGGTGGTCTGTGGTCCAAGCCCCCAAGCGCCATGGCATCATACTACTGCGCGATAGCTGCTGCCAAGAAGCTCCCCCCACCAATGCCAGCCAGCGATGGAGGGGCTTGCGGATGCCGATTGGGAGCTTGAATTAAGAACAGGGGAATGGGTGCCAGTGGCCCAGTAGCGCCGCTGGTTGGGAAAAGGGTCGGGGTACCTGAGAGACGGGTGGGGGACACGTACCAGAACAAAGTATTGGTGACGGGAGATGCAAGGTCGGATGGGGCAGGGGTCTGCATCAAGCTCAACGCAGCTGTGTGGATTCGATCCGGTAGCTGATCGTCGGTCCTTTCGGGGCGCTGGTGCTGCTAAGTGCCCGACGGGCGCGTCCAGGACCTTGGCCAGCTGAAGATCAAATAGAGACGAGTGTCGCCTGTGTAAGGAAGGACGCGGCGCTGTGCTCCAGCAGCGTCTTGGGATATCCGATGTTAGGTCTGACAAGATGAGGTGAAGTGGCGGATTTCAGATGTGCGAGATGAATTGTGCAATGACGCACTTCTCACCGACAATTGGTTTGCAAGCTATGGAATGAGGCGTTGCTTGGGCAGGTGCGGCGGATACGGATACATCGACTGAAGTGGGCAAGCGAAGGCGCGGGCACGTCCAGTGTCCTCCAATCCACTTGGCAACGATTCTCGAGAGGGGTCCGTCTCATAAAGATTTCGCCAAATTAATTTCATTTTTTTGCATTACGGATGATGAGGATACGATAGCATTCCCATCAAGCCTCGGATGAGCACCTCGGTCAATAGCTGACGCGTTGACCGGCGTTCAGAGGAAGCTGAGGCACACACTCGTTGAACTGAAAATAGGCATTGGAGAAACTGGCAATGCCCTCCATCCTCTTCGGATAGTCTACGTACCATGCCATTCTGTTGCGGTGGAGGGGTCGCGGGGCCGGATCCGCTGCCAATGGGCTGCCTCCAGCTGTGAGGCCCTTCCCCCCCTCGCCGAGTTTTGATGGGGGTTCTCGTTTCAAAACGGGATGAGACGGTTGGCGGTCAGGCCAGCTCCCCGGGGGCCACCTTCTCTTGTTTGACGGAAGGTGACTGGACCTCGCATGAGTGGTGAACGTGAGGAGGAGTGAGGGGCAGTGAGGGGCAAAGCAAAAGCTCAGCTTTCGCTGCGGGACAGCGCCGCAGGACAGCTTCCCATGGAGAAAGTCCCCCCATGTCAGACGGCGCCTATCTTCGCGCTCGGCGACGGCGCGTGCTTAGGTAGAGAAGCATCAAGTCGTCGGACTCCATCGCTGTTGAAGCACGAGGCTGCAGCGAACAGACTTGTAGATCCGCGTCTCCAGCCTGTTCACCTCGGCCGAACAGAACAGATCATGCCACAAGGCAGACGATGACGCGAAGTGTTTGTGCATCAGCCACACACCTTGGCTTGGCCGCAAGTGATGGTCTTTTAGCAGTTCGCTCCAAGCCTTGTACTGGGGGAGCATTCTAAGACAGCCAACCGCAGCAAAAGCTCTGAAGACGTTGAACCGTTTTCACCCGGCTTTCAATGGGCGCTTGTCAAGTCGCCCCAGGATGGAGACGACGTGAGACGTGCCCGTTATAGAGGGGCGTTGTGGCTACAGAGTCGCGTTACAATGTTGTTGTGATTAAGCGAGAAACGCGTTGGCGACGGTCGACGTAGCATCCAAACAGTTGCTCTTGTACATCACTCGTTGATACACGACACGTGCTTGGGTTAGTTGTCTACGGCCCTGAATAACGTGAAGTCGTTTCGTTCGAGCTTAGATCTAGTCGTACGGTCAGAGATCTCTGGCACCTGCCCATCCAGAACCCCGAATATGGGCTTCATCGTGTGCTACGGCCAAGGCCGGGATCCGTGTGTGACTCGACGAGTGAATTGCACTGGGACTTCCGACGGAAAGGATTCGATGAGCAGAGTTCACGCAGTTCACCGTTTTGATGTTGCCTGTTCAGTCGTCTCCCATGCTCACTGGCAGCCGGCTCGGTGAGGTAGACTTGGAAAAGAACATTTCGGTGAGCACACGGTGTCTTCGGCCAAGAAGACGCGTTACTGCAATTGCACCATCAGACGTCCATTTCGGGCGTGAATTTGTATTCCTGCTTGCTGCAGTGTGGACAGTTTCACGAGCGTCATGAGTGTGCATGGGTGTCCATTATATACGAACGCGACTTGGGCTGCCATATCGTGGCTTTGTCACGGTTGATGGAGCCAGGCATTCGGAACATTTCCCGGCGTTGACGAGATGGACAAACAACAATGGCAGACGAGGTATCGTGGAAACTCTTAGCTGTTGTCTGGGAGGCACTCGGGTACAGATACCTAAATACAACCACCGGATGTCACACAGCTGCCTCTGGATTCTGCCAAGCATGGGAAGTAGGAGGGGATGCTCGATAAGGTGGAAGGCAGCAAACAGTATCACAGTCATGTAGGTATTCGGCCAAGTCACAACCTGGTCGCCAGTGTTGGCAGCTGTGGCGAACGGGATTTCAGTGCGCAGCATCAAGCAGTCGTCGTGGCGACGGCGGCGACGACAAGTGAAGAGTGAGCGCGTTCCAAGTGCCCGTTCCATTCTGCCACTGAACCATGCCTCGCCGTGGTTAACGTCCGTAGCATGGCGCTCGTCGTTCAAGCGCCAGACTTCAACGAGCTGCTGTCATGGAACAAATCGAACGAGGGGGTCCAAGGCCGCCGCTGCGTGCTGGCTCACTTGTTCCGGAGGCGCAGCCCTGTTGTGGCAGGGTCCCGGTTTCTGGAGTGCCGTGCTATGTGTCCTGGAAGACAGTTGACGACAGCATCAATAGTGGCAGCGAATTGCCGATAGCAGGAAATGCCAGAGCTGACGGCGGATGATTGAGACGCTGGAAGGGGACAGCCCCAAGCCCAAAAGAGGAGTCGCGAACACTGGCTTGCGGATGGGTAGAAGGTAGAAGGAAAGCGCTGGACTCGGGGGCCAAAGGGAGACACCTGCTGCCGTGGGTAAGGGGAGTGGAATGCTCGCATGTGAGGAGTGTCGCCAAATGCTGCAGTTGGCCATTGAGAACGAGGGCTACAGAGAGAGCGCAAGAGCATTGCGTGAAATGGGCTCAGTGGTTTTCGGACTGGGCAGTGCTGTTGCGGATGGGAATGGCGGCACTTGGGCTGCTCGCTGCTCGGGGTTCTGCTGGGTAGAGCTAGCTGGGCACGCACAAGAGGAACAAGTTCCTCAGTTCCTGGGGCGGTCCATGGGCGAACCCCGCCCACGAGGCCACCGACTTCCATCAGCCCAGAGCCCGCCGATGAGCAACGCTGCTGCATCATCGGGGTGGACAAGACAGTCGCGGCCAAACTCTCAGTAGCCTCAGCGGTGGATGGGCCCTGATACGAATGCGCTTGGCCGAAGGTACCCGCGGTTTTCGGTGGACGGGAAGGCAGAGCGCCTCGGCTGGAGCTGGGTCCAGCTCTCAGTGTCGCGAGAGAGAGCGCGAGAGGGCCACTGCCATGGGGGAAATCGGCAACGGGCGGCCTGGACAGACCAGATCAGCCAGCGTCGTCAGAAGTCGAGCTGCGCTGGCTGCGATAACGGGGCCTGGGTGCTCTGAAGTTGGCGGGAAACTGAGGAACAACAGGTAAAGCAGTGGGGAAGGGCCTCAGAATGTGGCCGCTGTCGGCCGCTGTCGGGGGTGGTGCTCAGCAGTGTCCCGCCAGTCCCAGGTTTCAGGCAGACACAGGCGGGGATAGGCACCCAACCTCGCAGAGGTCTTGCTGCTTTAATGCCTAGGCGGTGGGCGGGCTGGGAGCTGTCGAGGACGGAGAGAGAGAAGGGGATGGGGGGAAATTGGTCGTGGTCTCTTTTGGGGGGGGGGGGGGCAGTGCAGTCTCCTCAGTCGGGTGCCCATGCCCCCCTCCCCCCGGTCATTGTTGTTTGTGCTCGGGTGTGTCGTGTTTTTTTCTTTCTGGTTCAGGTCGCGGCAGCCGGAAGCCACACAGGCGGGAGGAAAAGGTGCCCCCCGTCGCAGGGCGCTCATTGGGCGACCAGGCCACGACCGCTAATGGGACGTGTGGTGGTGCAGCACCGGAAAATGTGGGCGCCGCCATAAAAAAAAAATACAGCAAAAGATGAGGGAGAAAAAAGCATCCCGTCACCATTGTCCCCTGCCCCCACTGAAAGTCCAGTGCAGGTATCGCCAGAGCATCAGAATGGGAACCAGCGCGCTGACGGGCGCATTATGGGCATCTCAGCGTCCGCAACGGCCACGAACAAAGGATGCACGCGCTCGGAATGGCTGCCAGTTCCCAGAAATGAACAGAAAACCATACGACCTCTCCCAAGAAACACGAGGAATCGTCGGCCGAATATGGCACTTGCAATAGCAGAGTACAGCAAAAAGACAAGAGACACAAGACGAGGCTCGGGGACTTGGGTCCTAGGCGGCAATGGGCACCAAGTACGCGGAAGCCGAGGAGAACGCGAAGGTACGGGGTACCTACTCCAGGTACCTTTTTTTCGGCAAGGTAATGGAAGACGGCGTGCAGAGGTGGAAAAGCTTGCAGCACTGGGCCTTGCCTGGGTCCTCATTGTGCTATGCTCCTGGGGTGGCATTCTCCTCTCTGTGTGTGTGTGTGTGTGTGTGTGTCTGGAGAACGTGGCCTTAAAATGTCCCTGTTGTGTTCCATTTAGTGCCAATGGGCTGGGCGAGCAGAAGCTATCCGGTTATGCCCAAAAAGGTGGATGTTTGGTTATGGAGCATTGTGTCCAGTGGAAAGGCTCTGAAGGCACTGACAGCAAAGGCCGCCGTCGCGATCACCGTTCCTGCCGTTGCTCGCTGGCGGGTGGAGAGCGCTTGCTGTTTTCGCAGGGGGTGAAAAGGACGATGCTGAGGGGCACAACAATTGCTGCTGCTGGGGCGGGTTTAGTTGGACAAGACCGATCGGGCGAGGCTCGAGGCAATTTTTTTTTACTGATTAGCAGCACTGAGGTGGATGCGTCCTCTTGGGGGGTTGCAGGGGTGTCTGGCACTTTTTACGTGTCGCATGATGTGATTGACCTGGAGTGAGAGAGGATTGGGAACGAAGGTTTTGTATTGGGTGGCACCAGTAAAGACAGAAAAGACAATGGACGGGGGGGACTGAGAAGCAGCTTGGAGCTGGGGGGGGCAAGCACCGGGACGCCTGGGAGGATCAAATAGAGCGAGAGAGAGCGAGAGAGAGAGAGAGAGGGAAGGGGGAGGAGCTGGGCTAAGGTGAGGCCCGGTGGTGAGGTACTTTGTTACTGGAGCCCTGGGCGCGCAACTGAGGGAGTGACTGAGTGACTGAGCGAACAGGCCCCAAAGTCGTCCAGAATTTTTGGGGCGGGCACCTCGCACCTGCCCGAATTTTTTTTCTCCCCTCCCCTTCCCTTTCTCACTCGACCCCCCCAGAAAAGGTAGACAGGTGCCAGATCACTCCCAAACCCCTCCCGCCCGGCCTGCACTACATATTCGGCTCAGGCCCTCCCCCAACCTCCCAATCTTTTCCCTCTTTTCCCCCATTTCTTCACTTTCTCAGGCACCAAACCCCCCCAACCCAACCCAACCCAACCGCCTTTCTTCCATCGTCGCGCCTCAAAGCAGCACCTTGGTTTTACAGCGCCCACTGGCACTAAAATCCCACGCCGTCAACCACAACCTCCAAAATCACCATCACAATGCCCCGTCCCTCGAAGAAGGCCGCCGCCGAGGCCCCCAAGCCTCCCGTCGCTGCCGTTCCCGTCGCGCCCGCTCAGCCCGTGCAGCCCCTCCAGATCCCCCAGAGACACATTGATGTCGAGGGTTTCATTCGCGTCCGCGACTCGGTAAGAACACCACCACTCTCTTCCATCCTCGCTGCAACTCGACCTCGCGTCGCTTTGTTGTTCCCAACACCCTCCCCCCCGCTCTACCACCGCGACCACGCACGGGTCACATACGTCCGGAGTCGAGCCCGCACGCCAGCTCCAGCATTGGTCCTACGCGTGCCTCGGCTTCCAGCAACTCCATCGCCCCAACATCGTCAACACTGCATCAGCATAAGCTGGCTCATTGTTTTCGCGTGTGCGTGTGCTTGATAACCGTTTTGGCTGCTGGCCACCCTGATTGCCAAGCGAGCATGTTCTGATCAGCCCTGTTTGCCGCGATAACTCATTGCAAATGCAAGCACGCTGCACTTGACTGGGCTGGGCGTCTTGTTTACACCAACTCAATGTGAACGCGCGTTTGCCTCGGAGCTGTGTCCCACAAGAGCTTCAGCTCAGTTGAGTCAGGCAGCTACACACTTTCACTTCACCTGCACTTCACCCATCATTGATACAACACACTCGCGATATGAACAAGACAGTGTGCTAACAGCCTCCCAGGTCCACCAGCGTCTCATCACCATCCTGGAGTTGATCAAGAACTTCTCCGAGGACTACTACCGCCAGACTAGCCTTCTTCTCGGCGAGTCTGCTAATGACGGCATCCCGGGCATCGACCACCCCCTGGTCAACCTTGAGCACGCTGTCGCTCAGAACATTGCTCCCCTTGCCCTGGGTCTCCCCGCCGGCGCTCCCTACCACCCTGCGCCTGTTGAGGAGAAGAAGGAGCGCAAGAAGCGCACCCACGACCCCAATGCTCCCAAGCGCCCCTTGACCCCCTACTTCCTCTACATGCAGACTGCCCGCCCCATCATTGCCCTTGACCTCGGTGACGCTGCCCCCAAGGGTGCCGTTCAGGAGGAGGGTCAGCGCCGCTGGAAGGCCATGAACCCCGCCGAGAAGGCTGGCTGGAATAATGCCTACCAGTACAACCTCCGCCTTTATCAGGCCCGTGTCCACGCCTACAAGCAGGGCGGCAACATGGAGGCCAGGCTCATGGACGATGACGCCGCCCTCAAGTACGCCGAGGAGCACAACATCCAGATAAACCCTGTTGATGTTGTCCCGGACGTTGAGGATGCCATCGCCGAGCAGCTGAACCAGGCCAACACCGTCGATGCCCCCGGCGAAGACGAGGATGAAGAGGAGGTTCCCGCCCCCGTCAAGACACCCAAGAAGCCCGCCTCCACCCGCAAGCGCAAGACTGCCACTCCCGCTGCTGAGACCGAGGCCAAGACCACCGGCACTCCCGCAAGCCCTGACAAGAAGCGCCGCCGCACATCCACCAAGGTTGCCGACGCTGCTGAACCAGCTGAGCCCGCGAAGAAGAGCAGAGCCAAGAAGGCCAAGGCTTGATTGCTTCACTTCTGGCTCTCTTAATCTCTTCTTTTTCTTTCTGGGTTTCTGGGTTTTTGCAAAGATGATACCTCATTGCGCGGCTAGTTGTCGTCGGACCCCCTGGCTGGCCTGAGTATTGGCGCAGATGTACCAAGGAGGCGCTGGACTAGGGGAGGGGAAGGGAAAAGGACCACATCTACTTCAGTCCTTCCCGGTCGCTTGCGTGCGGTGTGTATGATTTCACAAGGCGTGGTTACGGAGGGGTTCAACGGACATGTGCGAAAGGAATACAAAACGCCCTGCTGGAGGCGGGCGGTATGGATCCATGGCTTCGGTTTGGGTTGGCTTATATGCTGTCTCTTTCGTCCTGTATGTATAACGATGGACATGAATCAAAAATCTTGATCATTACTCGGGCGTTCCGCTTTGGTGTGTGTGTGTGTATAATGTTTCGCGCAAGACCTTTGACTAAAAGCTGAATACTGACGGTTAAGCTTGTCAGCCAACCTTGACTTCATATTCAAAAGATGGTTGATTACAGTATTCGAACGTGCGATAATCAGGAGCGGAGCCAGTCTCAGTGGCAGCCTTTTTACGGAAAGTTGATCTGTACCGACACATCACAGTCTCAGCACCTGTAGGACGAATATCAAAAGCATGCCGACTTCGCGATTGATGGATCTGGGTCTTTTGCTGACAGGCCACAGAGAGTGTGGCAAACACGGCGGCGGCCAAGCTTTCTGCGATTTGGTAATGAAACAACGCTGTATTGCTTTTTGAGTGAATCATAGCTTTCTCATGTGTCATTAGTACCCCATCATATCCCAGCTCCCGGATGCCGCTCGCTACGCTGTGCAATGCTTCCCCTCACTGCTCGCACCTCAACCCGCCTTCTTTCCTCATCAATTACGTCTCTCTCCTTTTCGCCAAACACACCACACACACACACACACACACACACACACACAGTCTCTCTCTCTCTCTCTCTCTCCCTCACTTAATACACGTAAAACGCCTGCGTCAACGGCAGCGTCTCGGCTGGCGCCGCCTCGCACACGACGCCGTCGGCCTCGACGACGTAGCTCTCCGGGTCGACGCGCATCTTCGGCATGCTGTCGTTGAACCGCATGTCCTTCTTTCCAACGGTGCGGCAGCCCTTGACGGCTTCGACGCGTTTCCGGAGCCCGTAGGACGCGATGGCGCCGGAGCTGATGGAGCCCTCCGAGACGAACAGCACCGACGACGCGGGGACGAGGGGCGCGAACATGGGCCGCGCGATAATGGGCTGGACCGTGGGGATCGATGCGTTGGGGTCGCCCTGTGAGGGTTCGTCAGCATCGCGGCCGATGAGGGCCGAGAGGGTAAGTTGAGAGAAAGGGGGGGGGGACTAACCATTTGTGCCGAAGCGATGAGGCCGCTCTTGATGACCAACGTTGGCTTTGTGCCGAACCAGGCCGGATCCCAGACAACCAAGTCCGCGAGCTTCCCGACCTCGATGCTCCCCACGAGGTGCCCGAAGCCCTGCGCGACAGCAGGGTTGATGGTGTACTTGGACACATACCGCTTGACGCGGAAGTTGTCGGCGCCCGTTCCCTCGTCCTCAGCCAGGAACCCGCGCTGCACCTTGTTCTTGTGCGCCGTGTTCCAGGTGCGGAGGATGACCTCGCCGCAACGGCCCATGGCCTGTGAGTCGGACGACATCATGCTGATGGCGCCCAGGTCGTGGAGCACATCCTCGGCGGCGATGGTCTCGGCGCGGATGCGCGACTCGGCGAAGGCCACGTCCTCGGGGATGTTCTTGGACAAGTGGTGGCACACCATGAGCATGTCGAGGTGCTCGTCCAGCGTGTTGCGCGTGTAGGGGCGGGTGGGGTTCGTGGACGAGGGGAGCACGTTGGGGTGCTCGACGACGGAGATGATGTCCGGCGCGTGGCCGCCTCCGGCGCCCTCGGTGTGGTAGGTGTGGATGGTGCGGCCGGCGAAGGCGTTGATGGTAGACTCGACGAAGCCAGACTCGTTGAGCGTGTCAGTGTGAATCAGACATTGCACGTCGAGCTCGTCGCACACGCTGAGGCACGAGTCAATGGCCGCGGGCGTGGTGCCCCAGTCCTCGTGGAGCTTGAGGCCGCAGGCGCCGGCGAGGACCTGTTCGCGCAGGGCCTCGGGTGCCGAGTCGTTGCCCTTGCCGGTAATACCGATGTTCAAGGGCAGCGAGTCGCAGGCCTGGAGCATCTCGCGCATGTAGTTCTTGCCGGGAGTGCAGGTCGTTGCGGACGTGCCGGCGCTAAGGGGGTGTGGGGTGTTAGTCGATGTGTGCGGTGCGCTCGCCGAACAGGGGGTTGGGATCTCACCTAGGACCAGTGCCACCGCCCAGCATCGTGGTGATGCCCGACGCGACGGCCTCGTTCGCCTGCTGAGGGCAGATGAAGTGGATGTGAGAGTCGACGCCGCCGGCCGTGATGATCTTACCCTCGCCGGCCACGACGTCCGTGCAGCTGCCGACAACCATGTTAGGCGTCACGCCGTCCATGACGTCCGGGTTACCCGCCTTTCCGATCCCTACAATCATACCGTCCTTGACGCCAATGTCGGCCTTGTAGATGCCCGTCCAGTCAACGACGAGCGCGTTGGTGACGACCATGTCCAAGGACTCGGCGTCCGGCCGCCCCGTCGCCTGGCCCATACCCTCTCTCAGCGTCTTCCCGCCGCCGAACTTGCACTCGTCGCCGTACACGGTGAAGTCCTTCTCGACCTTGATCCACAGGTCGGTGCTCCCCAGGCGGACGAGGTCGTCGACGGTGGGGCCGAACATGGTCACGTACGCCGCGCGCTCCATCTGGTACGCCTCGGCGAAGTCCATGACGGCCTCGGGCTCCGGCGCGTGCGCGAAGCCGGCCAGCTGGAGCTTCTCGACAATCTCGCCCGCGCGCCACAGCTCGACGCCGCCCGAGGCGAGCCGGTTGCCGCCGCGGATGACCCTGTTACCGCCAATCTCGACGAGGGTCACCGTCTTGACGTCGCCGGGCTCGAAGCGCACCGACGTGCCGGCGGGGATGTCGAGGCGGTAGCCGTACGACTTCTCCCGGTCGAACTCGAGCTGCGGGTTCGTCTCGATGAAGTGGTAGTGCGAGCCGACCTGGACGGGGCGGTCGCCCCTGCTCTTCACCCTGAGGCGGATGCGCTTCCGCGTGCCGTTGAGCGCCACCTTGCGGACGGCGGTGACGACGGCGCCGGGGGCCCGCTTGGGCTCGTAGGCGGCGACCTCGGGCATGGCGAAGAGGTCGTTGCTCGGCACGGGGAGGAAGCTGCCGTACAGGGCGCGGGCGAGATCCCCGTCATCCGTGGCGATGGGGTTGTGGACCGTCACGAGGTAGGTCCCCGAGGGGAAAGTACCCTCGACCTGGATCTCATGGAGGGTGCTGCACACGGAAGGGAGCACATGCCGCCGGCCCAGCATGGTGGCGCCCAGGCTCATGAGGTCGGCGACGGTGTGGTTGCCATCGCGGATGAGCTCTTGCAAGTTGCTTGCGATCAATGCCTTTGGGGTGTGAGTGTTAGTGCACGCGGACGTGGACGGCGGCGGTGAGGCCGTAAAAGGGGGGTTCCGTACCGTTGCTTCGGAGTGGTTCAACTTGACGCCCCGGGCGAGCCGCCGCTGCGCTATGGAGCCCAGTTGCGAGATGACGAGCTTATCGAGCTGTAATCACGATGTCCCGCGTTAACACGGCCGTTGCGGTTCAACCAATCTTTGCCAAGGCGACAGGGATGTGTAAGAGTGTGCACCTCGGGCGCAAGGGCAGTACAGACCTCTTTTGGTACGAGATGCATCCTGGCGGGAACGTGTAAACCTCTCAAGCCAGAGTCCTCTCAGCGAGCGTTGTAAGTATGTTGGTGAGAAGAGAAATTAGAGATTAGAAGGGTTTTAGGGAGGTCCTTTGCCGGCGCCGGCACAGGAATCAGAGACACCTGGGTCCTGATAGTGAGCGGCCGTTGAGCGCGCGCCCGCGCCCACCCCCTCGGGCCTGGACCGGCGGCCAGTAAAAAAAAAAGGTGGGATGATGATAAGGTGCTGGTTCCTCGGATGGGTAAAGGCTTGATTGGCCCTGGACTACCCCGCACAGGGAAGGTCCTTGAGCCAGGCAGCTCAGGGACTGCCAAACCACCAATGCAAGCCTCTCGTCTGTCTAATAGGCATTACGTCCAATCTAGGCGATAAGCTAGAGCGATCTGTCAATTCCGTGCTGTTCCCACCGAGCCCGCGGTGAGCCCGCAGAGCCCTCTTGGGGGCTGCTTCTCCGTACTTTCCCCAACATCCGGGATACATGGTTAGCACCCGGCCCCAGTGGTCGACATTCTTCCCCTCCTCGGCTCACGCCGAACTCCATGATTCAGGAACCGCTCATTTTGTAGCTGTGCCCTTCCATCAGCCTGAACCGTGTCTGTCAGCCGACGAGGCAGTAGTAAGGATGGCAGGATGTTGGCCACATTTGACAACGTACGCCGGCGTAGCGACCCTTAACCATCGAAGGCAATTCCAGTCCAAGCTAACATCAGTATGGGGGCCGTTGTGGCTCTATAAAGTACCGAGACTGAGCAGAACGGAGAACGGCGCTGTTGAGTAGACTTCACCGGGAAACCTATCCTGTACACTAGAGGAGAACGGCGTGAAAAGGTCAAGTTCAACATGACGGGGCGTCCTCCAGGTGGTGTTTCTTCGTCGCTTACGGTAAGGGTTCGGTTGAAAATCTTTGGACGATTCCGTAACCACGAAGTGGCAGTAGCATGTAAAGCCTCCCTGTTACAGAGTCATTGGTTCCCTTGGGAGAACCCCCATTCTGTAACGGTCTTTGAACAAGCCGAGCTGCTTAGGAGGTGCTGCGAATATACATGATTGAGGCGTAGGCCGTATTTCCGTTTCGTCAAGGTCAGCCTATTGCCAGAGAGACGTCTTTCAAGGCGTGACTAGACCACTATGGGCTTTAGGCTTATGCTGGTGTTGCATTGGCAAGTCACGTAGCCCAGCACAACCCTGTTCCCGCACGCTTCGGAAAGTGATCTGCTTGATCCCAGACGTACACTGATCCCCCGTGTACAATGGCCTGTCGCCCGTCTATCGAGCCCAAAGTGCACAGGTTTAGGTACAGGTGCTGGAAAACATTACTGTTTAGCTGTGCTTCAAAGTGATAGCTCTACATACACTGCTCACGCGTAAGTAGATGCCGACATATCATCAGTCAACATCACCACTTACTCTCATAACCGCTTGTTCCTCGACAAGATTCATGGCCGTTCTCTGGTTCGAAAGACAACCAAGCGAATGAAAGTCCTGTGTATTATAAAGTGCGTTGAACTGAGACCTTACTAGGACGCACTGCCAGTTATTGGTGATTCTTTATAGACAACCCTACCTGAGCCGTCTCCGCGGAAACCTCGACTCAAGAAGGTACCGCACCTGTCACACATGCCAGCGGCATACATGCGAACCAGTCGGCAGTTCTACGTGTGAATAAACTCATGTCGCACATACTAAACCAACGCAAGCTAGAGCATGTGAAAAACAGGCACGCCGCCCTCCAAAGGACTCTGTCGTCGACCAAGAGCATCCTCATATGACGACCAGGCACGAGATTGCTGGCGGGAACCGAATCAATAACAACGAGGCATATGCTCTCAGTGTCCTGGAGATCAGAGCTTCTTGCGCTCGAGGAGGAGAAGAGGCTGAACTTGGGCGAGATACGGAGTATGTTGGTCAGTATGTAATACTTTCGCCCGCTGACAGCTCGCGCGGGCCGGTCGTTGATGTCGCCGTTCGCAACGATACGCTTTATAACGGCGATTCCAGACCATCTAAACATGTCCTTGAGGTTTCCATGGATATGCTTCTCACTGAGGGTGTTTTTGAAGAGAACGGTATGAATATGAGATGATCAAGGACGCCAACGACGGGTTGGGGGGCGACAGGGGCCGCCAGTACGGTGAAGTGAAATTAAGGAATCCCTCGGCGAGAGCCGACTGGCTCAAGTTAGCTGAAGGCTGATGCGACCACGCAGTAGAAGGTCTTTGATGAAATGGAGGCCAAGTTGCTGTGCGGCCGGAGCGCGGCGCTGTTTAGAGTTATCAGTTGCCTCGGAGCCTTATACTGTCCCAGGCCTTTGAGAAGACACACCCTAATCCAGAGTAAATCATGCATGAGCGAGCTGATATGCGGCCCTGGAGAAAAGTATTTCAAAAAAAAAATTGGTATCTCGGTTCTTCATTGACACAACCTAGCGGTGGCCTAACCACCTATCAAGTTCACGGTTAAGGCCTATTGACAACCAAGTGTCTATCATGTCCCCAACGCCGTCTGCCGAGCCGAGCCTCAATTCGAATGCCGCCCCAAAAGCCCACCTTCCAGAACCCAAAGACCAAACCAAAAAACAAAAACAAAAAGACTCGTGCCAGTGCTAGTCATAACGTACATCACAATCGCCCGTTTTCTCGGACACCATCTGCTGCTCACTCCTCCTCGACTTCCTCGTCCCATTGTGACTTTTCCCTCTTCATCAGGTCCGACATGACGTTTGCCCTAAAGATGGAAGAGTCGGGATCCGAACTGCGTGGGACCTTGCCCAAGCTCTCGTCGTCGAAAACGGATCCTATCGTGTCGATCCAGCGCTTGCGACGCTCCATTAGGGTCTTGGTCATGTCGCCAATGCCCGGTCTGGCCATACCAGCCGCGCCGCCAACAGCATGACTGCCACCTCCAGCCCCGCCAGGACGCTTGTTCTTCTTGCTCTTGCCCATTGTGCGCGTCCGCTTGAGGTATGCAGCCTGTACCTGAGTGTCGAGGTCCTCGAGAATCGTCTGGTACTCTTGATGCGCCATACGCTCCTTGACGAGTTCTGTAAGCCGAGACTTGCGTGCGCCATTGATGAGCATCTGTTCACGCAAGCGACCTTGCAGCAGACGCAACCTGGCTGCCACTTCGTCGTCGAATGCGCCGTCGTACTCGCTCTCGAAATTGCCTTCCTGAGGAAGGAAGCCGATGTGTCTCAGTTCCTGCTTGATCCGCTCGTCGACTTGTGTGTACTCCAGCTTGGGGTGTGAAGCCTTCTTCCATGCCTCCGAGTTCGACTCCGGCATGAACGCTGCAGGAGGGACTGGCTGCGCCTTATCATCGCTGAAACTCTGTTGTGCATCTCCATTCTCCCCATTCACACTTCCGCCGTTCATGGCGGTGTCTCCGTTGGTGACGCCGTTGGCGCCCTTGTCCTCGTCCGCCTGGGGCCGGTTCTCTGGCCGCATGGCTTGCATTAAGCGCGACAGTAACGGTCCGACCGATAACTTGTCTGTCTCAGCGACCTCGTCGTCCATGTTGTCAATCGCACCACGGGGTTGGTTGGGTGCCAATTGTTCGCGGGCGTTCTGGGGTTTGTCGAGAGCCATGGCGCCATCCTCTTCTGCCCAAATCTCGGTATAATGCTTCTTACCCCTCTTGGGCATGTGGAAAGGTGTGACGCGATCGCCACGCTCTCGAAGGAACGCCAGGTCTTCCTCAGCAAACGGGCGGAAGTACGGTTCCATGTATGTCGAAAAGGTCGAAAAGCTGATCTGATTTGTGGGCTTGGCACTGCTAAAGTCCTTGTCGGGAGGGTCGCCAGCGATGAGATCGGCCAGGTCGGTCCTGGGGAAGACGGCGACCGAGTAAATCTCCCTCAACTCTTCATCGGACATGCCAGGGTGCGTTTCGCGAATTTCGTAGACGGTCGGGTCAGGGAAGGTGGATGGGTCATCGCCGAAGGTGTGCGCAGCAGGTTGCGCCTTTTTGGGCGGCGCGCCCTCGTCTTCTGAGCTCTCCTCTTCATCCTCGTCGTTGTCTTCTTTTTTAGTCTTCTCGTCGACTTCCATTGCTGATGGTGTTGCAGGCGCGACGGGTGACAGGGAAGAACTGGCCGAGTCGCGCGAAAGCTTTCGTGGTTTAGTGGATTCCCTAAGCGGGGATGATCGTTCTGTGGTAGCGGGTAAGGTCAGTACTCGAAGCAAGGTGAATACAACGAACTACTCGTGGTGACGAGGCGAGCTCCCGAGGAGCTTTCCACGACCCACGAACGATCCAAGACGAAAAAAAAAAAGTGAAATAAGACTAAGCCGCACAGGGCCGAAGAAAGCTTGGTGGTGACCTACCAATTCCCCCTTCCTGGGGCGGTGCCAGGGTATCAGCCGCCTTTCTCTTCTTCTTGTTGGTCTTGCTAGTCTTCTTGCTATCCCCCTCGGCCTTTCCGGCGGCGTCGGTGCCCTCTTCGACGTCGTTGATGTATTGCTTGCGCGTACTGGCCAGTATCCGCATGCCCCTATCGCAGAAGTTGCTGCGTCTGTCGATGGTTTCCTGTAGACGCTGGAGGCGTGCGATCATGCCGTCAAGGCTCTTGGAATCGGGCATGACGGCGTTGGACGCGCTCTGGTCGACTAGGTCGTCATAATTGAGGTTTCGAAACTGCTCGACGCGCAACTCGAGATACTCGGTATCAACGGCTTCGATGGGGGGCAAGCTGGCGGACGGGACGACGGAGCTGGGAGTCGTGTTGCGACTCCGCTGTCGCATAGCACCGGGCCCGGCCTTCTTGCCGGTGCCCTTTTGGCTCGCAGCGGGCGGCATCGCGAGCTGCCTGTGGTCCGTGTTTTCAGTTGTAACCGGTATCTTGATGAGATTGAAACATGCGTGTCGTCGTTGTCGAGGGCTGCGATGGATTGGGATATGTCAGGTTGTAGGTTGGACACTTGATGTCGAGCGTCAACTGGCAGTCGGCATCGCGCCGCCCTGCACGCCAAACCTGCTTACTGGATTGGTCGCTGGTCGCGGAAGTATGGGTCGAACCGCCCCAGCTTGTCCTGTGCTGCACGCACCCTGGGGTCGCCGCGCCAGTCTGGGGGATGTACATTACGTGTGGAAGGTACTCCAGCTGCCACAGAGAGGGTAATTAGCACTTCAAAGCCCGCGCCCAGTCAGTGGACTTTTGGCTGCCCCAGATGAACAGTGCAGCTCGGCTTCTCCCGCTATCTGAACGAGGTCTTGCAAGTGCCAGCACTGGAGCTGTGAATTATGGGGGCTCTGCCGAGAAGCTCTTGCAAACTGCTTGCTGGACCGAAGAAATATCACTCTACGTCCTAGGCTGCGGAATCTTACTTGCAAGAATTCTTCCTGCATCGCCTCCAAGGAGCTGGGGCTAGTTGTTCTGCGTGATCCACTGCTCATGGGAAGCGACCCATCCCAGTGAATTATCATTCATTGCTGCTCAAGTTTTCACTGCTCAGTTATTTGTAAACGAATAGTTGATATTCTAGCGACGAGAATCCGCCGGTTTTGGAAGACCATGATTCGTAACAACAGGGTTTTTGCAACTTCTCGAGAATGCTGCTAGCAACGCGATGCCGCAAGACATTAACAAGAGAACGACGGTGGGACAGTCACCGCCTACCAGGAGCTTTTCGAGATGAGCCACGAGGAAGCCGCCGCTAAACTCAACGCCCATCAGGTAGACCTGGGGGAGCATACGGGGAAGCAAACCTATTGGCAGTACAATGTTGAACGAAAGCAAAGGTTCGGGCAAGTTTCTTGCACAGCTCGAAGGTCTATTGATACTTGGAGACGGTTACGAGTATGGTCCGCCTTGTGCCCCGCCCCGGACCGTAATCAGCACCGATGAGCAAGGCTCCACCGCCGTCTTCTGCCGAATCGACGGGCCAACCCGGAAAGCCATCCTCGTTCACTTCGAAAGCAGAACGGAGGCTCATGCCGCCCAGTCGTCATTCAAGTCACCCAGACAGAGAAGGAACTTTCCAACATTTCATTTGCATCCAGCGTTGGCATCGAATCTACTCGACCATAGTTCAGAGCCATCGACAACAGTATCACTTTTGCACCGGCTCTAAATGAGTACCCGGCCTAGTACTTTGTCTACGGTATGCCAGCAGACCTTACGGAATTAAATTTACCCTTGACATGGGCAATGAGCCACAATACCGCCCCCGTGTGAGCGATGGTAGATGCTGAAGCACAAGTAATATTATGGCAGTGGTACGAGGCAAGGCATACCGCATCGATAACAAGAAACCGGAGGACCAAGTTGGGATCAGAAGCAAGTAAAGAACAGCGAAAGATGGAGTGTAATTCAACCACGTCCATGTTTATATATAGCTTCGTTAATTGTTCAATGCCGCCCCTACGAAAGTGTGTCCACAAGGGACAGTTGCTCGAAGTCTAACATTTAGTAGTGTTCATCAGCCTGTTAGTTATTCCCTATGTGCACTACTTGCTGTACGTATCTCTGAACAGTCTTCAGCGTGATGCAGTGTCGAAAATCTGCTGGCGATTGTTGGAGTCCGCAGAAATCGGCCACATTGCTTCAGTTTCGACTCTATCCCGCACCTCATCCAACCATTTAACCGTCTTACCAGGCGACGATGAATTTATCCTTTGAACTGGATATCCGAAAACGTTCCGGCTATCCAATTACAAGGCCTAAATTATAGGTGATTACCTCGCGAAGCTCCATTACCTTCAAATCGATGCTTGGATACTCCCAATTCATGCACGGGCAGGCGCCCATCTTGGCAGTGATCCTTCGGGGAGAATGGCACACGACGATCCTTCTTGAGCGAGTGTACAAAGAAAGGCTGCCTCCTGACAGGAAAGTCAGAAATTGCCCAGGATACCCATTGTCTGTCGTCGACTATACAACTCCCGGCCAAACTTGGCTGCCGCGTCTTCTCTCCTTGTGCCCATAGACTGGGCCTCAAATGAGAAGAGGCCAGGAGGGGAAACCAGGAGGGGAGCCGCGAAACTGGCCACCTCAACGCGCTTTTGGCGATCGTCTACAACGGTATCCACCAGAGATTGCTCCCTCCAGAAGATGGCAATCTGTCTAATGCTATCGAGCTCTTGTGGTGCTGTCAATGGGGGCCATGTGCCCCAGGCCCCGTCTCTCATTGGCATCATGCCTGAGCGACCCGACCCCGGACAGCTTGCACTCTGCATTCACTGATGTGCGGCGCTACGTCTTGCATGGTAACAAGCAACGACCCAGTCTAGCTCAAACGGACGAGCTGCCACCTGTCCGCTGGGAAGCTACACTACGATACCAGTCCGGGAAGCGGGCGGCCACACTTGGAGACCTTGCTGCTTCCATCCAGTCTGGAGGTACGAGCCCCCCTTGTGGCTGACTTGGCCTTTAAAAACAGCCAACCTCCCGAGTACCGTTGGCGACATGGGATGTTCGATCCTTTGTGCAGTTGACGCGGTTTACATAGACACCGTTCACGTAGCATATCTTCTCATACACACGCTGAAGCTTCGACGTGGGGGAAGCTTGAGATCAGAACAGCGGTCACCTGCGGTGCGCGCAAGCAATGCCCAGTACCCCACGGGCTCGGAAGAAAGAAACCTGGTGTGCCTCGCAGCTTCCCGTGCCTTTAGGCTCACAGAGGATTGGCGCAAGGCACGTTGGCCCATACGCTCCCGATTTACCAGCGCAAACGGTTGACAACCAGATGGTCGCCCATGTGCTCTGGTCATTGGTCGACACGAGTTGGCCCACATGGGCTGGCATGGGCAATCCGTGTTCACCTCACCCACGCTCCCACGCTAAAGCTCGATAACGACCTGGCGGGGTTGGCCCAATTGCTCTCACAGTCTCGGTGGGGTTATTCTTCAGGGTCCTGGTCCGCCCAGGGTTGTCTCAACTGCGCGTCTACCCTCAAGCATTGCGGTTACCATCCGATGACAGCATATCTATCGTCCCCTTACTTTCTGCTCAGCCCGTCTGCGTATTCGATACATCGATACTACGCGGGCCGCTGCCATCTACACCATGTAGACGTTACAAGATCTCGGGTCGAGTGACCCCGGAAAACAACGCAGTCGTTGCAGTCGGAAAGCCTATATATCACTGGTGGTGTTGCTCACGTTGCGCTGGTTTCCTTCTGGTCTCCCCTTTCTGCGTCCTCGTACTCACCCCCTTTGTACTCAATTCAACCTGCAAAAGCACCGGAACCGCTTCAACGCACCTTCTCTGCGCCCAGAGCAATGAGAGAATACCATGGCTTCTCTTGGTGGTAACATTTTACCCCTCGAACTCGACCTCAAAACAACGTTTGCTGGACTCAGCGCAGTAGCCATCAGCGGCCTGCTCTTTTCCAAGCTCCTTTCCAAGGATGATGCGGAGAGAAACGGAAGCGAGGCCCCTGGCCTCCTGAAGTCTTTCCTGCTCTTCTTCTACTCCTGCTTCATCAAGCCGCACAGTGGCGACAAGAAGGGCAACCAACAGGATGCCCTTGAAAGCTTCTACAAGAAGCAAGCCGGCGCCTATGATGCAACCAGGAAGGTCCTCCTGCAAGGCAGAGAGGACATGCTCGCGCTTGTCGCAGCACAACTGAAGGCCAAAGAACCCAAGAAGGGTGACAAGGCCAAGCGGATCTGGGTTGATGTGAGTTGGCCTCCTTGTCCTCGTGCCCTTCGACCACAGCTAACATGATCAAGGTTGGTGGCGGAACGGGTTGGAACATCGAGGCCATGTCTAGCTTCGTCAATGTTCCCGAGTTCTTCTCCAGCGTATACCTTGTTGACTTCTCTCCGTCCCTCTGCGAAGTTGCCCGACAGCGCTTTCAACGCCTTGGCTGGAATAATGTCAAGGTTGTGTGCGAGGACGCAAGGAAGTTCCGCCTCGAGGATTATGAAAATGATCTTCCGAGCAACCGCCTTTCTCCCCGCTCGCCAGTTCTGAGCTACTTCTCTCAAAAGCGCGCCGAACACGGCCGTGCGGACCTCATCACCATGTCGTACAGTTTGTCCATGATTGTAAGTATCAGATGGCAATTCGACCTGACTGTCGCTGACCAGAGTCCTGTTAGCCTGATTACTACTCAGTCATCGAGTCGCTCACTCCACTCTTGTCTCCTGATGGTGTGATGGGAGTGGTAGACTTTTACGTTCAATCCAAGACCGACTTCTCCTTCCGCAACTTCACAGGTGGACTTGTTGGACGCCATGTCAACTGGTTCTTGAGAACTTTTTGGCGCGCATGGTTCGACCTGGACCGCGTAGGTCTCGAGGCCAGTCGTCGGGACTACCTTGAGTACAAGTTTGGTACGGTTCTCAACATCAACGCCCGCAACTATTCTCTTGGTCGCATTCCATACTACGTCTGGGTCGGCTGCCACAAGAAGCCGTTCTCCTCTACGAGTCTGCCCCACGAAATCATTGAGAAGATCGATGCGCTTGCCACCGAATCTCCTTACCTGTTTCCTGCCAACCAGGGTGATGCCCTCACTCGTGCAATCGAGAAATCAGCGCCCGAGATCCGCTCCAAGGCCTTCTTGGCAGCGATTCAGAACCTGTCTGCGAACCTGCCACTGCCCTCGTTCTTCTACCAGAACCACCACTGGCGCATCTACTACGACGATCAGCTCCAGAAGCACACCCAGTTCAACGATGAGTACATCTACGCCTTCACTTGGGAAGACTCGCAGGTGGACGAGTGCCTCCTCAGGCTCGGCTCGGACGACGTCGTGCTGGCCATCACCAGCGCCGGAGACAACATCCTCTCTTATGCCATGCAAAGCCCGGCCAGAATCCATGCGGTCGACTTGAACCCCACGCAGAACCATCTCCTCGAGCTCAAGGTTGCATCCTACACTGCCCTCCCCTACGAGGATTTCTGGAAGCTGTTTGGAGAGGGTAAGCACCCTGACTTCCGCTCGCTGCTCCTCACAAAGCTCTCTCCCCACCTCTCCAGCCGCGCATTCCAGTATTGGCTCAAGAACGTTCACGTCTTCTCCAACTCCAAGGGCTATGGCCTCTACGACACCGGTGGTTCCCGTCATGCCATCCGCGTCTTCCGCTGGATCTCTCGCATCTTTGGCTGCCGCGCCGCCGTCAAGGAGTTCCTCTCCACCAAGACCCTCAACGAGCAGCGCGAGGTCTGGCGCAACAAGATTCGCCCTGCGCTGCTCTCAAAGCTTGTTTGCAAACTCGTCGTCAGCCAGGAGAGCTTCCTCTGGGCCGCTCTCGGTGTCCCCAAGAACCAGCTTGCCATGATCGAGAACGATCACGCCGAGAGCGAGGCCGTCAAGGGGCCAGCCCCGACGGCTCGCAAGGTCCGTTCGCACGCCATCTGGCGTTACATGGTGGACACCCTCGACCCTGTCGCTGAGCAGACTCATGTTGCCGTCAACAACCCGTACTACCATGTTTGCATGACTGGCGACTTCACCAAGCGCTGCCATCCCGACTACCTCTCTGAGAAGGCTCACGCCAAGCTTTCCCGCCCCAACGCCTTTGATGGCCTGCGCATCCACACGGACGAGATCGACGAGGTCATCAACCGCATCACCCCCGGCACGTTGACCGTCGCCGTTATCATGGACAGCATGGACTGGTTCGACCCGGGCTCCCCGGCCGCCGCTGCGCAGATCACGAAGCTCAACCGCGCCCTCAAGATGGGCGGCCGAGTGCTTCTTCGCTCATCGGCGCTGAGCCCGTGGTACATCAAGGTCTTCGAGGCGCACGGCTTCTCTCCCAAGAGAGTTGGCGCTCGTATTGACGGGGCCTGCATTGATCGCGTGAACATGTATGCGTCGTGCTGGATCAACACCAAAATTGAGAACCTTCCCCCGCCGACCCCTGAGATGGACCGCATGGGCGGTTCCGAAATCACCAGCTTCTCCTTGTCGAATTAAACTAGTGCTAAAGTCTCAATGGTTGGCTGTGCAATGGGAGTCTAAGCTGGGTGTTGCTTGCTTAGAATGATTGATGGTTCCTCATTTCATATCATGTCACGAAGCTCGAAATGAATTTGCTTTTCAACGTTCAAGAATACGACTTCATAATAAATCCCCATATAAACTCAGCCCAACGGCCAATGTGGTATTCAGCCACCCTACTCGATCGTTCCGCTTGACGTACTAGTCCCATGGCAAGAAGAGGCAATAGCCAAATAAGTGAAATGTATTCTAAACGCCAAAAACCGGCTTATCGGATGGTGGATGAATTTCACATAAAATATCTCATGAGACTGGACAAAGTCTCTTGAAATCCAACGATAAGTTGCTTGGAATTGAATGAACTCTAACGAAATTGAACTCAAGCTCCTCCAGTTAAAGGCCTCTGATAAGACCAGAGTAAGCGTGCCACGCCGAGTTCGTTGACAAAGAATCCAATTTTACCTAGTCTGGTGATTGTACACTGGCCATTCCAATTCTAAACCGTGGCGCCCCTGAATCACACATACAATACGCCGATACCAGCGTCTTTATTAACTCTGGTCCTCAGCAAAGCACCCCTCCCGTTGCACCCTTTCGCCACCCCACATTGGTGGTGGGCTACGGTCCAAGGACTGCTTCGAACAGCAGCCTTTCCAGGTGCCAGCGCCCCCTGACGACGAAACAATCCCTCTCCTCCTTACGCTTTCCAGAGACGCGCGACGGCCTCCGTAACACCAACGTCGCTGGTCTCGAACTCGTACAGGCCGAGGCCGACGAGGGCGGTGGCCAGGTTCAGGCCCCACATGGTGGCCTTGCGCGACTTGGGGTAGTGCTTGGTAGGAACGTAGTCGATGATGATGTTCTGGAAGCCGGTGTGGGAGTGGATGAGGATCATGGCGCAGAGGATGGCGTCGGTGGTCGGGTTGAGGGAGCCGGCGGCGAAGGGGGCGATGGTGACGGGGACCAGGCCGGCAGCGAGGATGCGGTCGAAGGTCCAGTGGTAGGAGCCGTGAGCGGGACTCGGGGGAGGAACGGGGGCAGGCTTGTTGACTAGAGATCACGGGTTAGGTTCGTGTTCGCACTTTTTGACGTGGGCTTTCATGGTGTTGTCGTACCTCCACCGTCAATGACCTCTGTAACGGCAAAGTTAGCAATTGCTCGTTTCAACCCTTTTGTGATAGAGACGTACGAGGTCCGACGGGCAGCAGTTCCCTCTTGGCTGTGGTGTGGAAGGCCGCAGCTCTCGTCGAGTTCTTGACAAAGGCGGAGCGGATCGGGGCGGCCTGGGCCATACGGGCCGCCATGGCGGTTTGCCGAAGCAGGGAGGGTCGCACAATCGAAGCCATGGTGATCGCTGGGGTTCGCGGGGCAGGTTCAATTGGGAGGTAAGTCGCGGGAGAGGGGTCGGAGTCGTTGCTTGGAGGTTTGGGCTGGAGAAGAGGTTCCAAGTGCCGGAATCGATGATGTCCACTTAGCCGAGGGTATCAGACTAACTGGGCAAGGTACTTGGGTGTCTGACATTCGAAGTGATGTGATTGGCCGGCTGCGTTCCGACTTCTCCACGTGATTCTACGATCGAGCAGCAGCCGGTCATCGGCGCAACATAGATGCGAGCCATGTCTTATCGAGAATCCGATAAGGGAAATTTTTGGAGCTCGAGAGGGTCCATTTGCGCGACAGCTTTGGGCTGGGGGCGTTGTGTCAGTCATTCTGCGTCGAGTGCAGGGTTGATCTTCAGCATCCGAGTTCCCCAACATTGGACTTTTTCTTCTTAGTCGTTCCTTTTCAATGTGTTGATACGGCTGAGGATCTTTCATCAAAGGCACACAGATAACCCGCCATGTCGTCGACGTTGGTGTCCCGCCTCCCTGAGCTGCGGCGGAACATTTGCAGACGATGCGCCGGGCTCCCGGTGATCCAATTGCAGCAGAACCGGCCGAGATGGATATCGCAAAAGGTCGTGGAGAAGCGCCGGACGGGAGAGGAGGAATGGGCGAAGCGCGCCGAGGCTATCGAGCAGGGAGACCTTCAAAACATTTGGGACATCTTTGAGGAACGAGGCTATATCAAGGACGTCGCAGGGTGAGCCTTCGCAGTGCCATCCCCGTCGCCCCTCGAGGCAGAGTTGCTGACCCGACTACTACAGACGCACACCACAAGTAAAAGAACTCCTGCGAACCAAACGAATAGGTGCATACGTTGGAGTCGATCCAACAGCAGCGTCCCTCCACGTCGGCCACCTACTCCCCTTCATGCCCCTTTTCTGGATGTACCTCCACGGCTACACGGCCGTGTCCTTGGTCGGCGGCGCAACGGGCAGAATAGGCGACCCGACGGACCGTTTGAAGACCCGCGAGGTCATGGCGAACAGCGAGGTGTCGATGAACATCACAAAGATCCACTACCAGCTAAAGAAGATTTGGGCCAACGTCGAGGCGCTCGGGCGCAAGTACGGCACGGAGCCGGATTGGGCGGCCAAGAGGCATCTCGTCAACAACAACATGTGGTGGCAGGGCCTGCCGCTGTACGACGTCATGAAGAGGCTCGGTCGTTACATGCGGATAGGGCCTATGCTCGGCCGCGATACGTGAGTTTTCCTCGGACACCCCCCCCTATTCATCGGCTACATCGCTGACCGTACGAACAGCGTCAAGAACAAGATGGAGAAAGGCGACGGCATGTCCCTCGCGGAGTTCATCTACCCACTGATGCAAGGTTGGGACTTCTGGCACCTGTACTCCAAATTGGGCGTCCAGATGCAGATCGGAGGCTCGGACCAGTTCGGCAACATCGTGACAGGCATCGAGGCCGTCAAGACGATCCGATCCTCGGAGGAGAACCCCAACATGAGAATGCCCGAGACCTGGAAGGACGACCCCATCGGGTTCACCGTGCCCCTCCTGACGGACAACGCCGGCGTCAAGTTTGGCAAGAGTGCAGGTAACGCCGTCTGGCTCGACCCCTTCATGACCAGCGCCTTTGATCTGTACGGGTACTTCGCCAGACGGTCCGATAACGAGGTCGAGAAGCTGCTCAAGCTGTTTACTTTCCTGCCCACTGCCAACATTGAGAAGTTGATGGTCGAACATGCCCAGGACCCGCCCAAGAGGGTTGCCCAGCACACCCTCGCCTTCGAGGTCCTGTCACTGGTTCACGGCGTCGACGTTGCCATCCGGGAGCAGCAGCAGCACCAGTTCATGTACAGCAAGGGCGGCAACGCCGCGCAAATTGCTGGCGCCGTCAGCACTCCGGGGGCGGAACAGGATCCCCTGGCCCCCTACAAGGCCGTCGAGGGCCGCCCCACGACCCTGAACAACGCCCCCAAGATGGACATGCAGCTCCCCGAGAACCTCATCTACAACCAGGGCATCGCGCGCATCCTCTACGCTGCGGGCCTGGCGTCGTCCGTCAGCGAGGGCCACCGCATCGCCCGCGCCCAGGGCGCCTACGTCGCCGCGGCGCCGGGCAAGGACATGCGCGGCCTCGTCCCGGGAAACCTCGACTGGACGCCCGTCAAGCTCTGGTACCCCCAGGACGTGCCCAAGTTCCTCATTGACGGGCGCGTGCTCATCATCCGCAAGGGCAAGCACAACGTGCGCATCATCGAGGTCGTCAGCGACAAGGAGTGGCAGGAGAGCGGCAAGGCGTACCCCGGCGAGCCGTACAAGGGCAAGACGCGCGTGCTGATGCAGCAGCTCAAGGAGATGGCCGCCGCCGAAGGCCGCAAGCTGTCGCGCCGCGAGCTCGAGCAGATGGTCAAGGAGAAGCTGGCCGCCGAGGAGGAAGAGGTTACCGTCGCCAACAACCCGGACATCAAGTTCCCCAAGAAGAGCGAGCGGCAGCAGGCGTTCGAGGGGGGTCAAAAGTCGCAGTAGGTAACGCGGCAGGGACCTCCGTTCGTGAAAAGAGTAGACGTATCACGCGATACCATGTACAAACATCTGTACAATGATCTGTATACTACCTTTAAAAAACAATGTAAAACACCTTTCTCATCATGACACCGCCTGCAACTGCCACCCATGTCTGCCATCCTCCCTTCCCGCGCTTCGTCAGCGATAAAACACCGTCAGGTCACCGCTCGGCACCGGCAGGCTCTTGAGCTTGTCCATGATCTCCCCGTCCGTGAGGTTCTTCTCCGTGATGATCTGGTCGAACGAGTGGCACCCGTCCGTGTACTGCTGCAGCGGATCGCCGCCGGCCTTGGGCCTCGCCTGGCCCGTCGCCAGCGCCGCCAGGTACTGCTTCGAGACGACGTACTTGTGCACGCGGTACAGACACCCCTTGATGACGCCAAACTGCACGAGCCTCCTCACGTCGACGTACCGCAGCACGTCGAACCCGGCCTCCTGGTGCCCGCGCAGCCACTCCATGACGCTCTTGCCTACGCAGAAGCTCGTCATCAGCTTGATGAGCATGAAGTTGCTCACGCGCTGGCGGGCGTGGATGCACACGTAGGCCGCGCACTCGTCGACGATGCCGTCGCGGTCGGCGACGAAGTCGTGGATGCCCGGGCGGGGCGCGTAGCAGGAACCGAAGAAGAACATGTCCAGCAGCAGCACGGTGTCGTAGTAGAGCAGGTGGCGCAGGGCGAGCGTGGCGAGGTCGAGGGAGACGTCGGCGAGCCAGGCGATGCGGCGCACGTCGTTGACGCCGTCAATGTGTGCGACGACCTTTTGCATCGTCAGGTCCCACGTCTGGTCGACGATCTCGGCGAACTTCATCTTGGCGACGGGAACGTGCCAGCCTCGGACCTGGGGCGGGCTGGCGTGGTGCGGGAAGAGCTTCATGTTGATCGTGTTTGCTTCGTCTTCGGTCCCGTCAGGAGAGATGGCCCGAAGGCGAGGGGGAGGGGGTAACGTGGACTCACCGACGGGAATCATGCACTCGCCGTAGTTGTTCAGGTCCTCCTTTACAATCTCCAACAGGCTCTCAATCGGCCTCCTGTCCCCTCCGCCGTTCCCACCACCATCCTCCTGGCTGAGGTACTCGTTCTGCTTCTCCATCTCTTTGAAGGTGACGGCCAACCGCCTCACGACGGGCTCGTACTGCGCTAGATCCGCGTCGGCGTCTAGGACGAGTCCGAAGTTGAAAATGAACTCGTTGCGCTGGTACTTTTGGTGCGGGATCAGCACGGGGAAGCCCAGAACGGCGTACTTGCCCTCCGGGTCCTGCAACGTCATGTACCGGTTGAAGAAGGCCTTGCGAGGCACAATGTACTCCTGCATCACGTCCCAGTCGATCAGCGGCGGCTTCGTCGTCGCCGCGCCGGGAACGGCCGTGATGCAGCCCGGCGGCGACTGGGCCACAATGTGTGGGCCTGTGAATGGCGGTTAGTGATGAGGCAGGTTGGTGGGAGGGGGTGAGATGAGATGAGATGCCTTCGGTGCGAGTGCAGTGGGAAGGCCTGCTTGTTACTTACCCTCCTTGGGGAAGAACCTAGCATAGAAGATGCCTTGGATCATGACGGCTACATCTTATTCGAACAGGTAGTTGCGGTGAGTGCGCTGGCGGGATCAAATCATCGACGAGGGGGGTGTAGAAGGTCGACGGTGAATTGAGGTGGTGAGTTTTGGAGACATTTGCGGTGCACGTTTTCCGGCCTGGTCTCATCGCCCCATCCAAACCATATCACATAGGAGGTAGCATGGCATCTTAACAAACCGCGGCCAACACATTGGAGCCCTCTAAGAAGATGAAAATCTATAACACCATTCTTGTACTTCGATTCAAGTTAAATTTTGCACACCGGATAGCCAGTAGCAGTAACAAAAGCACGAGACTGCTCATTGATAATACGCCTTAAAGCAGTTGCACGCGCTGGTGTCATAAATATCGTGCCTGGTCATTTTTCCTATCACCTCGAAAACTGCCAGAACCAAGTTCAGGGCCAACTAAGTATGGTATGTGCTTCTTCCCGCAATCAGTCCATCAGCCATTAATCGTGCGCCCTCACAAGACGCAAATCATCTCCGTCTTCCGTGTCATGCCTTAAAATCATAATCAGCCGCTGAGAAGATGCTCGATGGCGCCTTGCACGCTACCACCACTACGGCGCAGGGCAGCCACGTTTCTATCAAAGTCGAAAAAGCCCATGTCGTTGAGCTGGCGCAATTGCTCAGCATAGCGCTCTTCGGGAGGGCGGTTGTCCGGGGGAGCAGGAGAGCCTCCACCAGGGGCACCGGCGCCGCCAGCACCGAGACCCCACATGTTCATCATTTGCTGCATCATCTCTGGGTTGATCTGACCGAAGGGAGAAGCAAACGGGTTAGCCGGGGCCTGACCTTGACCCTGGCCCGGGGTCTGTCCCTGAGCCGCGTAGGGGGGCGGAGCAAACAGGGCAGCGAAGGGGTTGGCCGGAGGCGGGCTTGATGCAGCGTTTGCGCCCTGCTCGCCCGTTGCCGCTCCTGTCGTCCCAGAAGCCCCCGCACCTGCCGGAGTCTGCGCGTTACCGCCGGTCGCCGCGCCCGCACCAGGAGTGGCGCCGGGTTGCTGAGGCGCAAAAGGGCTCCCCGGGCCAAACAGCGCACCAAGATCGCCCAATCCTTCCATGCCGCCGAAACCCGGCATACCTGGAAGACCCCCGGGGAAACCGAACGGGGATGCGTTATTGGCGTTGGCGCCGGCGCCGGCGGCCGCGGCTTCAGCGGGTGTGGTGTCGGTTGCGCCAGGCGCCGGGAACGCAGCGTTGCCGCCTCCTCCGGCCATGTTGCGCTGCATTCTCATGACGTTGCGGAGCATGTCCGGGTTGGTCATCATCTGGCGCATGAAAGGCGACTGAATGATCTCCCGGGCGTTGGGCACATTGCGCAAGTGAGGGTTGCTCTGGATCATGTAGTTGATAAAGTCTGGGTTGTCGAGAGCGGCGTTCATGGTCTGGAGCATGGAAGGGTCGGAAAGCATCTGGGCGAGCTGATCGTCGGACGGCGGGGCACCCATCTGCAGCACGCAAGGTTAGCTTATGCCATACGGTATACGGTGATCGCTACCGTCTCGCGGTTACTTACGCCTCCGTCAGCTCCAAAGGTCTCGCGACTGGGCAGGTTAATGTGTCCGGCGTATCTGGCTCCGGTCAGGCCAGCAAGGATGTTGTTTGCGGTGCCAGCAGCCATGTTGGAAGGTACAGCGGGGGCAGCGGGTGTCGAGGCAGCAGCGGCGGGTTGAGGTGCCGGGTTGCTGGCGGCGCTCTTGACCATGTGAATGGTGTTGTTGGGCTTGATCTTGTAGGTGCCGAGGGTGTCGTCATTCTTCATGACGCGGCCAGAGTAGATAAGACGTTGGCGCTCGACAGGAACGTTTTCGAAATCTTCGCCGGCCAGCTTGGTCTTGAGTTCCAACACGGTGGCAGACTCGGCCATGGTGATGGTGTGGTTGCTATCCTGGCCAGTCTTCACCTTGAAGGTGACCTGGGCATCGCCGGCGCCCTCTGTGTTGTCGGCCATGACCTCGTTTGGTATGTGTATGCGATCGATGGAGGCGGGGTGCTATGTATGAGGCAAACGTGGTAGGTGTCGTAATGCGACGGTGGATGCGATAACGTCAAGAGCCTGGAGACGGCTCACGGATGCAGAGGAGAAGGAAGAAGGCGAGAGATGTAGGTGAGGAAAAGAAGTTGTTGGGATTCGGGAACGGGACGACGGAATGCGAGATCAAACCAGGGTCAGGTCGAGGTCAATCAGGCAGGTAGAATAAGGTAGGTGGCCAGTCGGTAGCTGCGGTTGGAGTCGCAGGATTGGATGCCAGTCGTTGGTGACGGTGGGCTCCAATGATGGAGTCGGGGAGGGGCAACTGAGGTGTACATAGTAAACTGGCGTCGGATGAGCGAGATCCTGCTATTGTTACCCGTACCTAGTGTACTGGTGCTGGATGCTACCGCTGTGCGGTGACTTGGAGGCGACGGGAACCGCTCGAGTTAGGTACCCTTTGCCGCAGCGCGCTAACGCTGGTGGGGGCGGGAGGGGCAAGGGTTGCTCAGCTGCTGAAAGGTTGCGCAATGGAACTTCAAGGCGCTGTCCACGTTGCGCAACTGTGTGTGCACTGCACACAGACCAGAGTTCAGTTACAATGACCTTGGCCAATACGTTGTCCCAAGGGACATGCAGCATTCAGTTCGTTATCATCACTCTAAATGTGCTTCTCTCCCAACGTCTTGTCCATAGCATCGAGGCTCGGAACAGGTACACAACGGGTTCGAGGGTCCATCCCAAACAGGCAGCGAGCACCCCGGCTCCAATGTAAAGTAGCCTCAGGTCACAGTCACAGTCATGTCTTCTATCGCTGTCCATGGCCTTCGATTTCGAGATCGGGTTTCTGATGCACCCCTAGCGCCAGAACATCGCGCGAGCGACCTAGTCGTTGATTTTATGGGTAAGGCTATCTTGCCATGAGGACAGACTCATCCGCAGGAAACGCGATGACACACCAGCCACATTCACGTGAACTCCGGCGAGTCTTGCAATTATCAGACAGCAACAAAGCTGATTATGGCCAAGATGTCGTTTGGCGAACCATGAAGCTAGGCTCAACGCATGCTTCAAAAATGTGGTTTAGCAGCTACAAGTAGGCATTTCAATGGCAGAAATCAACCACCACCAGCCACTGATCAACCAGTTCGTCGGTCGGCGTCCCTTTTGCCACGCACGCCACAGCTGTCGCGGGAATGACGACAGCAGCAGCAACCCCCGAGGCAGGGACTCTGACAACTAGGGCGCTCGGGCCAGTGTCGTTCACCGGCTGGCCCCTCCACATCCCCGGAAACCACCCACCGAGAAACCCCCCAAAAAACCAGCCAACGAGGGGCCGCCAATGTGCCTCGGCTCCCCCCTCCTCGGCGCCCCCAAGACCCCCGGTCCGGGGTAGCAACGCGCAGAGAAGCTCAAGTCTAACGACATCTGTAGCTCCTAGTCTCAACTTTGGGAGCTCCTACAAACTCACTGCTGACATCTCCATACCAGCTGGGTCATTCACGTCCATCTTTCTCATTCAATACAGGCTGTTCATCTTCGTACGTTGAGGCTTAGGCTGTTTCATCTAGAAACTTGTACATTCAAGGTGGCAACATTGTCACGATGCGCGGCATCCAGATCAAGGAGTATGTCAAGGTGAGCTTAATCGAAATCGCAGTCTTTCTCACCAGTGGCCTAAAGCTGAATCCCAAAAGTCTCCCAAGGAGCTCCGCGTGACGGACCTCCCGGACCCCGTCCCCAAGAAGGACGATGAGTATCTCATCCAAGTACACGCCACGGCTGCAAACTTCTTTGACATTCTCCAAATCCAAGGCAAATATCAAACGCAGCCCCGTGAGTTCCTAGTGCCTCTCACCTCTGTCACACAATCACTGGCTATTCAGCTAACAGCCGCCCAGCATTCCCCTGGATCTCTGGTGCCGAATTCGCCGGTACAGTCCTCCAAGCGCCTTCGTCCAACCCCAAATACCCCGTTGGCGCCCGCGTCTTCGGCGCAACTCAGGGTGCCTTCGCCACGAAATGCCTTGCCCGCGAGCGGGAGCTTCTTCCTATCCCTGAAGGCTGGTCCTACCAGGCGGCCGCTGGCCTCTTTGTCACAGCGCCCACGTCCTATGGCGCCCTCGTCGTCCGCGCGGGCATAAAGCCTGGCGACATCGTCCTCGTCCACGCCGCTGCCGGCGGCGTTGGCCTCGCCGCCGTGCAGGTCGCGAAGGCATTCGGTGCTACCGTCATCGCGACGGCCTCGACACCCCGCAAGCTCGAGGTCGCAAAGGCGTTTGGCGCGGACCATGTCGTCGACTACCGCGAGGCCGACTGGCCCGCCAAGGTCAAGGCGCTGACTCCCAAGGGCAGGGGCGTGGACATCGTCTACGACCCCGTGGGCATGGTCGATGCTAGCACAAAGTGCACGGCGTGGAACGGGCGCATCCTCATCATCGGCTTCGCCGCCGGCAAGATTGAAAAGGTCGCCATGAACAAGGTCCTCCTCAAGAACATCAGCCTCGTGGGCATCTTTTGGGGCCAGTATGCCGTCAAGGAGAAGGAGACGGTCGTCGAGGTATGGAAGGGCATCATGAAGCTTGTCGCCGAGGGCAAGCTGCGCGGGACCGAGTTCACCGACGAAGAGTTCGTCGGACTTGAGCGCGTCCCCGACGCGCTGATAGCCCTGGGAAGCCGGGGCACCTGGGGCAAGGTGGTTGTCAAGATCCCCAGGACAGTCAGAGCAAGCTGTAAAGAACAAAAGAACCAGTTTTAGCGACTATAGCAATGCCATTAGAAAGCAAGTTCTTCCTCACAACTCAACGTTCAGCCTCACCGCGGTAGCACTGATTAAACTGTTCTTCAGATTCTCATTTTGATTCACATTCACCATTACCTGACGAAGGGCCACGCGCCTCTATCCCACAGCTTTGTCATGAAGTCATAATAGTTCCGCCCCTGACCTGTGAAGGTCAAATCACAATCAGCCCAATCGTCGGCAATATTGCATCTTACGCCCCCGTCACTTGCGTCAATGACCAGAACTTCTGCAACACATCCTTGTCCACGTTAATGGCCCACTCCTGCTCAAACTGCTGCTCGCCGCCAGAACGCTGGACTACCTCCTGCAGTCTCTCCTTCACGAAATGCATGGCGTTGACCGTATGAATTGGGTCCTTCTGGCCGAACTCCGTCTCCTTGATGCTTTTGGGAGTGTCGTAGTCGGTAGGCTCAAGTTCTTGCCAAATAAGCGAGTCGGTACCGTCTGTCGTCCCGTCCTGGAGCTCGGCAATGGTGCCTGTCCAGAGAGTGAAGTAGTCCTGAAGCTTGGCGAGGGCCAGGTTCTGCATCGGTTGCGGAAGCTCCAAAAGACGCGTTAGGGCAAGGAGGGACAGCTTCTGCCTAGGAAGATGGTCCAAGCCGTCAAGGTGGGCGAACCACTCGCCGCTGAGCCAGCCCCAAACACCCTCTAGAGGGCCGAAAGAGGTAAGCATTGTAACAAATAGGGCCGGGTCAGCGATGACTAGCCGGGAAAGGATTGCGAAGTAATCACGTTCTGTGATCGTATTGAGCTTGCTGACCTTTTTGTTCGGTCCGGTTGTTTGGTTAGCCTCCCAAGCATCATGGAGAGCCTCCATGATCTTCCCAAGGAACCCAATCTCCAGGAGGTCCTGGAAAATCACTTGCGTGCCGCCAAGCTCAGAGGCGGCCCGGATCAGGTACTCTATACATACTGTGCCGAGTCTGACCTGCTCTCGGCTTCTGGAGTCTAGAACGCCTGACAATGCTTGTAGAAAAGGGCGCCGTAACCTGTCCTCCATGACGGTCTGGGTTCCGAGGAGGATATACGACTCAACCACAGAGAGTGCTTGTGCTGCGGTCTCCGTCTGATATTCCAGAAGGGGAAGAGACAGCTCCGCGATGCTCGTAATCTCGGCAGATAAGGGTGGGTTGCTTTGCATGAGAACAGAGTTCCACAGCTCCAAAGCCTCATCGATGAGGTATGTGTGTAGGTCAGAGCCAGGTTTGGCGGCTTCTGACAGCAACGGAACCATCAAATGCTGATACCTCTGGGAGTCGCTGCCCATGGACATTACCAAGGCAGCAAAGATGGCGATGATGGCTTGCTTGATCATGTATTCCTCTGTTCCAGAATTTTCCCAGATACCGGGCAGACTCGACATGATGTAGTCTGCGAACTGAGAGACATAGTTCTCTAATCTTGTGACCAAGATTCGCATAGACTCCAGAACAGCGAGCTTCGTCTCGTCAACGTCAACATTCTGGATGAGCTGGAGAAGCTCATTGAGCACATCAGCTGCATACGGCAGGAAGGCCTCTGCACTGAAAGCAAGCTCGTCCACGATCCATCTCAGCTGACGTGCAGCAGTGATTCTGACAACAATATCGTTGGTTGGGTCGGCGGGATTAAGAAAGTGTCGGAACATTTCATAGATGAGTGGTCTGCTGTTGTCAGCGATCTTGACAGTGACCCATTGGCTGACCATGATTGCGATGCGTCTGCGGAGGACTTTGTATAGGGGCCCTTGCTGCTGTGCATCTTGGAGAACAGTCGAGACCAATAGACTGTCAAAGTCGAACGCGTTTGATACATTCGGAGCGGCCAAACCCATAGCCGTATACACTGCCTCCTTGGTAGCAATATCTGACTGTGCGTTGGTCGCAATCTGGAAGTACGAAAGCAGGGGGGGTATCATGAGTTGCTTGAAGTTGACAAGTAAATCCAGAAACAGCTTTTCGGCACAGGGACGGACTTCCCATTCGTAGGCATTACCCTCGCTCTGTTCTTGTTGCTCCCACTCCTCGGGATCTTCCTCCCAGGCGTCTAAATCAGCCTTTCGGAAAACGAAAAGATGTGTGATGATCGTATTAGCCATCTGCACTACAAACTCGTCGTTGAGGAGTTCTTGCTTGATGAGCGCGACAGCGTCGTTCTCGTCCTTCTTGGCTTCCGCACTCCGGTACTTGAAAGTCTGCTTGGGATAGAAGGCAATTCTTAGGCACGCTCTCATCAAGAGCAGGCCCCGTAATGCCAGCCTCTCCAGCAAAGGTCCCTCGACCTTTGACTTTGACTCTGACGGACCCGAATCACCGGAGGACTGCCGAATGCCACCCGACTTCTCAAAAACCTCCGCAAACTTTGCCACCAGATCCCAGTACGCGTGTACCAGGGGCAAAGAGTTTGGCAGAACCGCGAAGCTCGCGGGGTGCGCCTCGGACATGTCGATGTGGAGCTTCGTAAACTGCAAGAGGTGCTTTCCCACCGTATCTTGATAGGGCGCGGGTACAGGAGAGTCGTGGCTGACAAAGCCGAGAAACTGCCCGAAGTGATTCTGAGATACAGTCCAGAATTGTTCAACCGTCTTGTCGTTGTGGGGAGCCTCATAGCCTACCACGACCAGTCGCCGAATTGTCTTGAGGGCAATGAGACTGTTAAGCATAGCCGTGTCGGCGGTATCCTCATCGCCGCGGCCGTTCGTAAGAAACTCAACCCAGACTGCTGACTTCTCGGTGTAGATCTCTCCTAGTAAGTATACCATCTCGGGGGTGACGGATTGGAGGGCCGTTTGGGACCGTCGGAGGCGAGCAGTGCCAAGCTCCTTCACAACTCGAAGGAGGATCTGCAGAGCACCATGGAGGTGCTGCTGATTGCCGTTTTTGGACGATCTCACGAGCCCAATGATTTGTGATAGGGCATCCGGCCAGTGTTGCGGATAGTCAATCCTAATGACTTTGGCGGTGACTAAGGAGTTGTGCAATGAAAGACCCGTCTCCTCCTCTTCAAGCGTGCCCTGGAACAAGCGCTGCCGGACAACATTCTTCTCATCTGGGTCCAGCCCACCTTTTACATGGGGAAGTAACCGCCAGTACTTGTCGATTCCGTTCTTGAGCTGGATCACGGCGAGGAATCGAATCTCGCGGGGGAGGGACTTGTCGAGGAAGACGGTCTAGAGACAGGACATTAGTACACCACTGGGGTCATCGCATACCCAAGGGCTAACGACATACCTGGAGCGACGAAAAATAACCCTTTTCAGTCTCCCATGACGAAAGCTGCTGCCCAGCGGCCTGTCTACGCGCGTAGTCGGTCGAGGTAGTCGCGGATTCGAGAACGCGGCAGAGCTCCTGCAAGCTGAGGGGGTTGGCGTCGCCAGGTACCTCGATGGCGAAGCTCATCTTGTGGTCTTCTTGGTGAGCGACCAAGGCGTCGATACCCAAGTCGTTTGGTCCAAGGAGATTGGTCAGGGTGTGTATGGTCAAGGGTTGGACTAGGAATAAGGAGTCGCGTATTCGAGAAAGGCGGGAGGATCGAAGAAGTCGTCGGAATTTTAGACAAGCCAGGTCTTATCGCTCTGGCGGGGCACTGGCGTACTGTGTATAGGGCGGTCATCGCGGGGTAGTGGGGCGCTGAAGAAGCATGGGCACTGCAACGGGCTGTTAGCGGTTGGAAAGCTTTGGGCTCCTCGTGCCTGCTTCAGTTGCTCTGCCATAATGTCAAACTCTCCTATATTCGGAGAGAAAGCGACTAACTTAGCCTTAGTGCGTATTATATCTCTTCCGTTGTAGTTTCAATGCAATACTGCGCATAACTAACTAGGTAGGAGCGAGTTAACGGTTGATGTCGTGTTCAATTTCGACACTCGAGCAAACATGGCTGGGCAACGACTTCTGCCTCCTTGACTTCGTGTTCTGATATGTTTATACTCCTACTGGACGAGAGCTCATCGACGGTGACATTCAGAAGCACGGAAACCGTTTCTGAAATATAACTTGATTTATTCTTATTCCCAGTCTTCACCTGAAGAGTTCTTACGTTGTTTGTTCACACCTTTGGCAAGTAGCAATTGTGAACTCTGACGTCAATGCGCTTTGGCGCTTCCTTGGTGTTATGCTTGGTACCAATATCTTCAATTACACATGTACAAGGAGCTTCTTCATGATATCCCCATGTCCTGACTCTTCGACCAATTCGATGAGGCCATGTCATGTTTCTAATCCCGCGATACCGATATTCCAGTGAAACATCTCTTCCGTTGTCCTGGGGTCGGGGAAGGGAAACATGTCAGGATTGTGAATGTTCCCAGATGATGCCATATCTTGAATGAAAGCATCCAGGCTCGGGTCGTACTCAGGTATGGTGTTGCGATGATACGTGGTGTTCACATGTCTCAACACATCGCTAACCTCATGACCAATGTTTCTGGCAACAGGCCACATCTCGCTGGCTACCTTCAGCACACCTAACAGAAGATCAAGCTTCTCTCTTAAAGCTGGTGACTCAGCTCCTCCGTATATTCTTGCATTGAGCAAGGGAAGAGCCGCCCGTTGCAAGCCGATGATGCACGCTGGGCTGTACCGCGCCGGTGGAAGCGAGAATTTAAAGAGGCCAATGGTGGAAAGGCCTGCCTGGAGAGCGGTTGAACATTTAAGCCACGGATGGGATGTGTTAAAGGATCGTGGTGTCGTTGCCAAGGAGGATTCGCCAGTCTTGAAGAGCGGGCCAAGTGCAAGGAGATCTCTGATGCCGAACCCTGAGGCTCCCAATGGTACCTGCATCTTGATCCTCAGGCTATAGTGCCGTCAGCAAGACGAATCTTTGGGCGAACAATCAGCTATTAAGAACATACCTGTGCGCATATGCCATTGCGTGGAAGAGAATCATGTCGACCGTGCCTCCCGAATCCACCAACTCCTGCTTCCACTTAGGCAAAGTAATTAGCCAGCTCACGATTCCGGAGTCGGCTCTGTCAATGGTGCTGGACAGTAGTCCAGGTGGCAGTGTTGGCATCGGCAGGATCAACTCTCCGCACAGGCGGCACAGGTCGATCAGGTAGGTCCAAGACGAGTAGCTTTTGTCACTCATCAGATCTCTAGCACCGTATTCTTTCAATGAGAAAGAAGGTGGTATTTCCTAGTGATATGTCAGCTCAGAGCTCGGCGTAAGATTCGTCCAAGGTAAATGAGGATTCACATACCCCTGATTGATACTCCCACTCTTCGCAGGGAAGTTCTGTAGTTGCAACAACACCAAACAATGTAAACGTTGGCGAGTTCTCGCGCATCGCTCGCATGTTGCCGTGCCAGTAGAGTGCCCAGTACGTCCTCCTAAAACTCTCCGCCATAAATGGGTCAGACTCCGTATCTGCAAATGCCTTTTCTTGCATCCCGAGATCGAGAGCCATCTGAGTGGCAGTATCCATCCATCCGGCACTCAAGTCCATCCGGCTCTCCCCTAATGCCGCAACGCTAAGAACGAGAAGCCCTTGAATTGTCCAGCACGTCATCGGCAACCCACCGCTGGCCAAGCTAAACGCTTTCTCTCGCAGCTCTTCCGAGGAAATGGCCCGGGAGAAAAGAGATCCAACGTACGCGATACAACTTGCCAGGAAGTGGAAAGGCTCGGGATCGGAGCGAATCCGATGCAAGAGCTGGCTCTTAGGAAGTAGCCACGGATGTGCGTCGTGAAAGTTTGTAAAGTAGAGATCGAAGAGAAGGGAAGTCGGCGAAGCCATTCTTGGATCTGAGAGCTGTGGGTTCCTGATCAGAGACCACCCTCCTGGTAGTGTGTCGACCACATTGATGGGGATCTCAAGGCTCGCTAACTCGGGAGAAGGAAAGGAAACTGGCGACTCCGTAGAATTTGAGGGAGGACCAATAGGATCGTTGATGAGGCTGCGTTTCTTGGCATCTCGAATTCCACGCCGGGATTTGGCATAGTAGCAGGTCTTTTCTTCCAGACGACATCTGAGGCATGCTGGCAGCACAGAGTCGCACTTGACGTGTTTCGATCGACAGGGCACACAGGCAAGAGACGCCCGTATGGTGGCTTTTGACCTAGTGGCTCCGGCACGTTGCTGTGCGTCTCCCAGGTCACTGGCTTCTCCGGGGCTGGAAGTTGATTCGGACACCATGGCGAGTTGCATTAGTCTTGGTTCGAGGCCAACGTCGGCTGCAGTCGAAACTTTGAGGCATCTGTCGCAAGGTCTCTCCCCGGGTTCGGCCTGTGATGTTTATGTAAACCTGCACTTGAACCAAACGACGGTGATTAGTATTCAAAGAATGTCAACCCTGTCAATACCTCTCAATAAACTGGATGCCTAAATATCACGTTCACATCCCGTAAACCCAAACGGGCAAGAGATGCAGTGACGCAGAAGCATGACAGATCAAGTGGAAACGACATGACAGAAAACGGTTGCATTGGTCTCATTGTCTAAGCCCCGCCACTCTGCTAGTCTCCGCGATTCCTTGCCTCTTGGCCGGTCTTGAAGCCAACAAGCACGATATGGAGCAAGAAGGGACTTCTTAGTGGACAATCGAAAAATAGAAGCATCTTGGTAAGCACTGCTGTAAAGGCATGGGTGGGGGCCAGGTTGCGTCAAGACCATGTTGAGCAACCCCTCTTTGTCGGACCATTGGGCAAAGGATGGTTAGGGTGTATACTGTCGCCAAGGGGAGGGTTGCTATCATGTAAGTGTAGCGGTTCCTAATACGGCTGATGCAGGTCGCCTTGTCTGGGCCTCCAGCTTTTCCCATCAGCCTCAGGTTAGGGTTGTAATGCTCCGGTTCCGATGGGAGGCAATAGCAGACTCTCGTTGAGTCCAGGGTGGACTTGTAGGAGTGGCGAGCTGCTACCTAACGGTCTATTGTGCATTTGGTTCTGCCGCCGTTCGATATTGGTTGTTGCCAACAAACCAGAGGTCAAATTCTCTATACGATACGAGTGTTGTGATTGGTGCAAAGAGCGCATCAGGGCTGCTGGGCTCCTCATCCATGGCTGGCCAAAGCAGGATACAGAGTGTCGGAGTCTCACGGAGTACATTCGGAAAACATGCATAACTCACCGTTCTGTTGGTCGCCAGTGTGCTTGTTGTTGATGAGTAACGTTACCCTAATATTGGGCGAAGATGACACCGGGAGGCAGGGAGAACTACAGTATGCGTCACTGGCTTCGCTCAAGTCCGTCGGTCAGACTAACACTGTCCATATTTAAGCAATGATGTTGATGGGCGTGCGGCAGACCGCAAGAGACAACTAGAAGCAGGCCTGACAAAGCATAGCTCTGGGACGCATCTCCAGCATTTCCGACCTGTGGAACCGAGAAGATGAGGAGATGTTAGCGCTAGTGGACATAAGCTTGACTTGCTTTTGCAGCCGCATGACCGCATCTTGGCCAATCGTGTGGAAGACCGCCTTGATGCCTTCTCTCAGCACACCTGGAGATCGTGAACCGGTCGACAGATTGAGCAAGGCCCGCCCACCGTTCTGGGTCTAGTGGCGTATTCTCGGCGAATAGGAGACCGGGCATGTCCGTTGGCATTCTTTATGGGAGCCCGGAATGATGGCATGGCAGACGGATAGAAGCAGTAGCGGCAATTGCGGCTACACGCAAGCAGGGGTAGCGCTTGAGGTTGGTTCATCTTAAACTGTTAACCTTCAGCCCTGATGTTACACAAGGGTTTATTTGGGTTGGTTACACGCCGTCTGATGTAAGCCTGTTCTCTGCAGGGAGTCTACAAAGCCAGCGGCCTGACAGATGTAAGGTGGTTTGTAAGATCATATTTGACATGCCCAAAGTAGAGTTGCTTTGGTAACAAAGTCGGGTTTGTGCTGGTGTTTTAAGACAGGGAGGTGGCCCGCGCGCCCCGGTACGTCAGATGCTCCGCCAGCCGGCCTCTCGGCCCATGTGGTCAGACCACTACCGCCAATCCTCAGCCGCCGCCCGCGGCAGTAGACCTGCACCAGGTGCTGGCATGGCGGACCTCGGCTCTTCCATCACCCACTTTCTGCCCCTACCAAACCGTACCTTATCATTAACCAACTGGGGAAGAGGTGTGATGCACATCGATTTGCACCTCACCACCACATCCCACCCCTCAATGTCGCCCAGATGACATCGACCAACTTTGCGCAAGCGCAGCAGCGCCTCGCAGCCCGACGACAAGCCCGCGAAGCCGATAACGCGGCCCGCATCGCCGCGCAACGACAAACATCACGAGCCCGTGCCCAGATCGATCGTTTGCCGTTCCCCTTCAGTCGCCTTGGCTTGGCCTGGGACTCGATATCATCTCAGGATGGGACCCGTCCCGCATTCCGGGTTGGCCAGGTCGACGCGGAACTGCTGGATGACGAGCTGTTGGAACTCCTCCGCGGCCAGGTTGGTGATGCGCTCAAATACTTCGCCGGCGGCCACCTGAAAGACGACTGGTCCGCCGAAATCCTTCTGGCACTCCGCGCCATACTTTTCAAGTTGACTGTGTGGGATAACGATGCGACCTACGGCGCGGCTCTACAGAATCTGAAGTATACGGATGCGCGCAAGAACGGCTCGGTTCTGGTTGCGCCGTCCAAGTGGCAGAAGTCCTTGTACGGGTTGGTCACTGTCTTTGGGAAATACGGCTGGGAGAAGTGGGAGAACTGGCTCCTTGAACACGATGACGGATATAGCGACGAACCCGACCCTCGTCTTCAACAACTGTCAAGAATCACCTCTCGAATAACAACGCTGCATGCCGGCGCAGCCTTTGTTTCTTTCCTCGTCTTTCTTCTGCGAGGACGTTATCGCACCCTGTTGGATAGGGTCTTGCGGATGCGCCTGGCTCCCCCCACTAGCCAGGTGAGCCGAGAGGTATCCTTTGAGTACCTCAATCGGCAGCTTGTGTGGCACGCCTTTACGGAATTCTTGCTCTTCATATTGCCACTCGTCGGCATCAACCGGTGGAGAAGATGGATCTCTCGTACATGGCGCAAGACGAAAGAGATTATCACCACAAAGGGAGATGAAGACAAGACGGCAAATGGCGAGTTCGGCTTCTTGCCTGAGCGCACCTGCGCCATCTGCTACCAGGACCAGAACGCACTTGCGAGTACAGAAACCGAGATCATGGCTGCGGCAGCATCGAGCGGAGTCATTGGCTCAGCCCAGACTGATATTACCAATCCATACGAGACCATTCCTTGCGGGTGTGTGTACTGCTTTGTCTGCCTTGCAACCCGTCTCGAGAGAGAAGAGGGCGAAGGCTGGACGTGTCTAAGATGCGGTGAGCTTGTAAAAGAATGCAAGCCGTGGAGCGGTGACGTTCTAGAGCCACCCAAGAAGTCACCCACTGCAAAGGTCGTTGCCTTTTCTGAAGATGCCAAGGATGTCGAGAGTGATGTCGAGGCGAAGGGCGAGGCTGATGTTGAAGCCGACGCCGAAGTTGACAATGAGTTTGTCGACGTGCCTCAGGACAAAGACTACTCTACAGACGATACCAACACTGGCGATTCCGAGGGTTTCGAGGAAACCATGGATCAGGAGGAATGAAATCATGTTAGACCACGACGCTGTACACTATTATGGGGGTTTGGCATCAAAACGAAGGATTTCTACGCGGCATCTAGAAAGCATGGATTTCGGCTCGCCACAAGCAAGCGATCAACATTCATACAGGGGAGTTTGGGGGCTCGGTTAAAGGGATGAACGCCATCATACTAGTATTCCAATGTGAACAACTTACCACAACGGCTTGCGTATAATGAGCGACATTCTCTTTGTTCCTTTATGCTAATCTCTCGAAACTCATGCGGCATCCCGGGTCGTAAGACATCGGGGCAGAACGTGGCCGATGCCCCCGCTGCCAACACACCCCATACCCGCCCAAAGCGCGCTAGCGCCCGCTGCGTCAAGGGGTCAGATCCGCCGTGTCCGCCGAAATTTCAGGGACCGTCCCAGGCACACGGCGGCCTTAGCGTCATAAGCCACTGAAATCCCAATTTACACTGGATGACCGTCCAGGATTCCTTCACCTTACACCACGAGCTTCGACACCCAAACATTCCAACCCCAGACCCGCGCACGCCGTCACCCGTATAAGCAACAAAGCAGCTCGAGATAAGATACGACTTGGACCCGGCGCATCGCGATCAACTTGTCGAGGACACAAACGCGTCGAACGGCTTAATACACGAAAGCTTTCGAGAGTCCCCGTTCAGTACAAAAACCAAAACAACGCCATCCCCCATGTCGCGAAGATAAGCGAACCTTGCCGAACACTCGAGTTTTGAAGCAATGCCGAGCTTCTTCCAATTCACACAAGGCAACGAGTCCAGAACCCGCCTCACGAGCGACGCCTCCCCTCTGCTTGGCCGCTTCCGCGCCGTTCCTCAGCAAAATGACGTCCCCGGTCGCCGACGGCGCTCCAGCACTCTAGGCCTCTTCACGTCCAACAACCGCGGAAGCGTCTACGTCGGCTATGGGGCTCTGCTTTCTGCTTCGGGTCCCGAAAGCTATGGTAATGACGGCACAAGGAGCAATTGGGAGGACTTAAGCGCATGGCAGAGGACGTGGCGTAAGATCTCCGATGTTTGGGTAGAGCCGAAGCAGAGTGCTGTCAAGGGGGTCGTCGATGTTTGGTGGAGTCGATATGGGGTGCTGGTGTTGATGCCCGCTGCTCTGGTATGTTGACAGCTCGACACTTAGCAAACAGAAGATGGGACGAAAGTATGGCTAACATTGGAGGAACGCAGGCCATTGCGTGGTGCGCCATACCGTTTCCCAAATACTCATTTCCCGACGAAGATGACGACGACCAAGATGATCTCGGCCCAGGGTCCGGGCGTAAGATACCTGGCCACGGCGAAGCAAGAGTGCAGATTAATTTTTGGTTCTTCCTCTTCGTATACTACGCGTTCTACAACGTGACGGCCCTGATATGGATCACCAAGGTCTTCAACTTATACAGCTTGAATTGGTACGTACATCTCATCTCTCATATCCATACATGCCGCAGGCTCTAAACGACTTACACGCACGCAGGTGGCCGCAATCACTTGGGTTCCCCGTCACCATGTCGCTCATTGCGCTGGTCTCTATAGCGGTTCCGATCCCAATTTACCTTAGCCCGGAGACACGCTTCCTCACTGTGCACAACACGGCATGGATTTCCTGGACCTTTATCGTCATGGCCATGCCCGTCATGACCGCCTTCTGCATCCTCCTTACCTCGGAGCGGCACCTCAAGCTGCGTCAGTCGCTCTCCGAGACGCAGCGCATCTTCACGTCGTCCTGGTGGACAGGCGAGGCCGAAGGGAGCATTCCCAGGCGCGCTAACCGCCGCCGGCCGAACCTCAGCGTCGACTCCTTCGACCCGGACAACACCCTCCAGGTCGCTGCCGAACAGTCTCGGCATATGGGCGGCGTTAGGATGCGCCGCAGATGGTTGCCTGCCAGCTTTGTACGGTTCATCTGGTTTTGTCTGGCCCTTTTTGTTGGTCTGATGGCGTACGTAATAGGAGAGGCCTACGCTGAGATATACTTGCGGACGCTCCCTCACAACAACTTGGAGACCATTGTATATGTTTATAGCTGGATCATCACTGTCCACCTACTCGATGCCCTAACTGCTTGGCTGCTAGGTATTCGTGAGGGCGAAAGAGTCGGCAGCTACCCCCTGAGTTGGGTCTTCAAGCTGTGAGCCATCCTTTCTTGCACAAATCTGAGGCTACGAGAGCGCTGCTAACATCACGATCTAGGTATTTCATGCTCACCTACCAAACCTACGTCCGCGCCCTTTACGCCCGCCTCCGCTCCCCGGAACAATTCATCTACCTTCAGATCCTCTCCAGCAGCACCCTCATTATCCTCACTCCGCTCACAATGTCCCGCCTCTACCACCGCATTTTACTCGCCCTTAACATCACGGACCAGTCCTACGCCTCTTACCAGAAGGTTTGCACCCGAAACGTCTTCATCCGCTTCCTGGCCGAGAACGTCTCAATGGTCGCCTTTCTCGGCAGCATTCTCGTCCTGCACTTTGGCCCGAACAAGGACGTCTACCCCTACTTCGCCTTCGACATGAAAGAAAAGGGCGACGACTACGACTTCAACCTTACCTTCCGGGCCTCCTCCGTCACCTGGGCCTGTGAGCTCGTCGCGTCCGTCTGCGTTCGCGCGCTCATCCGTTGGATCTTTGGCGTCGATGTTGGCATGGAGGGCAAGCTCGACCTTGCCGTTTGGCCCGAGCTGCTGCCGACCAGCGTGGCTGTCATGTTCCACGTTCTGCAAAACATGTTCTTCTCCATCATCCGACTGCAATTCCACTAAACAGACAAACAAACGAGCCATCACCCACCTGGTCCGACACGCCCATCATTCCTCGGCACATTCAAGCCGACATTGCCTAATCTTATCACCAATCCTGCCAACTTGTTTTCCTCAAGGCGTTATCCCAAGATCGGTATTCGCTTCACTTGCGGAAGAGCACACCCCCTTCTCTTCGGTGTCGCACGACATCCTAGCCACCTCTCCGTCTCTCTTCGAGATCACCGATAAGAGAAACATCAAAAGCTCTTGTGGATGGTGCCATTCCCTTCTTGTCTCTCTCTCAGCGGATTGTGTCTTTTGTTTTGTTTTTTACGCGCACGCAACTGTTCTCTTGGCAAGTTGTCGCGGAAGACTAAAGGAAAAAAAAGAAAGATACCCCCCTTTTTTTGGCTCACGTTTCCCACGTTTATTTAGATTAGATACCAAACGCTCCCAAAGACCCCTTCTTAGCATGACGTACGAAGAAACCTGCCTCGTCATTACTGAGGCAGATGATAATTACATAGAATTAATGATAACTGAGTTGAACGCAACTTGCTGTTCCTCTTGACATATGGCGCGTTCTGATGGCGAGATTCTTGGCAAACGCATATGATCAACGGGCGCTGCCTGCTTCGTACTGTTGTAATAACAAGACGACGTCGGGGGCGGACACCAAGCCCCCCCCCCCCCAGTAATGACGGAAGTGTTCGGCATACGTTGACTTGTCACCCGAATATCAGCTCTCAGTTGTCTAGATTTGGGGCCGTTGACTGATCCGGCCGTCTGCATAATGCTGTCCTACCCCCCCATCCGTCCCGAACCATAACAGCCATGACACCCTCTGGACGCAACAGGGCTGGTCCGACGGCTCGGTCAAGCTATGGTGCGGCTCGGACTGGGAAGCAGGATATATAGGTCGCTGAGCGTTCCGGCGGATTTGCAGATCGGCATCAATCAACGACCGCGGGGCATCACTTCCAGCCCAGCCGGAGCCTTTTACCTAGCGACATGCAGGCTTTGTGTGATTCTGTATCCGTCTGTGGATGGGAACTGTTGTGATAAGCAGGCAGTAGCAGCCAAAGCTGCCGAACTCCAGACAACAAACTGGGTTGATGTGACTCGATGCAGCCAACTAAACAGCTTAGAGGCCAGGCCGCTCGTTGCCAACTGGCACGCATAGGACGCCGACCCGGTGGCCCTCTGACTGCATCCCCCCCCCCCAAAAAAAAAAGTTGAGCAACGTCAGCATATAGTTACCCACAGTTGCATGTTGCTAAGAGATTTTCCTTCTTCAGACCGCGAGCCAATGACGCCGCGCGCGAACAGTAGCGGTGAAGGATGGGGGGTTGCTCAACGTCGGTCATTGAAACTGACTCATTGCATCGACTATCTGCTTAGCGGCGTCGGAGGCACGGCATATCTGAACGTCCTGGGCCGCCCAACCAGGAAATTACCGAGCCCGTTACTTGCGTAGAGCGCCTGGCCAGAAAGTTCGCTCCCCGGACGGGTGCGTCGACGATCCCGTTCCCACCTGTGCCGGAGCGTTGTGAACGCCGCTAATGCACCCATTCTCGAAAGTCGTCGTCGCTGATCTCGGACATGTGTCTTGCTCCAATGCCGGTTGCACGGTTCCGCGGCTTGCATAGAAGGGGATATCTCGAAGGTTCAGACTCGGGCTAGCTCATACCCCATTGCGAGGAACCGTGATGACTCCGAGCTTACGGAGCAGGGCTCACTGTTTCACTGAGAATGGCAGTTGTGTGTACAATCGAGTGAGTCTGGACAGCCCCCCGAAAGGTAAGCTTGCACGTCCAGGACAGCAAGGTACCGCGGCAAGGCTCTCCGTCCGAGCCGCCCGATGGAATCGCGCATTGAAACCGACCGCATGTGGGGAGGGGTCGCGTCTCGTCCTTGGCTTCGACGGGGTCTCGGCCGTGAAATTCGATGACACCAAAAAATTCAAGACGGCTTCAGCCACTCAGCAAAGATACTAGTGAGTAATACTACCTGGGAAAGCGACGGGCGGGAAGACTTCCGGGGTCCAGCAAGCGGCCTGTGACATAACCCGGGTTCGCATATCAATGGAACAGGGCGGGTGTAGGGCCGTTACTTGCCAGTTCTCATATGGCATCCGTATCGGAATTAGGCGGCCGTGGTGATGCGGTGGAGACGAAGACGGGACTGGTTTGAAAGGGTATACCTAGGCTCTGTGGTTATAACGGAGGAGCGGCTTTCGCGATCTAGACCTGATCAGCTAGGCACACTGTTCACAAGCTTGATCCGGAATGATGGATGAGCACATGGAGAGGCTGACGGAGAACGTGGCCGTGAGAGCCTGGGTCCCAGGATGGACCGTTGGTGGCAAGCCAGAAATAGTCCATGGTTCCAGGATAACGGTTAGAGAGGATCGGATAGGATGGTGTCGAAGCATTGGGACGGAATCTGAATTATGGGGCCGCCGAGAACAAAGCCGCTGCCCATGGATGGGCACAGTACTTTGTAGCAGACACCCACTTGTATTGGCTCCAGCTATCGGTCCATGGGGGTCTCGATGTGTCGGAGATGGCATTGGCGCGACATGGGGTCTAGAATGTGGTGTGGTAGTGGGATGAGTCGATGTGACTGATGTGAGGGCTGATATGAGCCCGCGGCTGGGTGAAAGAGGAATCCCGTATGAGACGGCTTTTTCGTATCGAGGCGCGGGGGGGCGGCAGACCGTTCACAACGGGAGTCCGAGTTCTGATTCGATAAAATCCCTGGCCGTGACTCAATGCGAAATGATGGGAGGATGATGGAACAGTGGTTCGCCTGTAGCTCTGGAGTCTGCTTGCCGGCTCGAGAACGACGGCATGGTGGAAGGCGAGACGTTTCGACGGGATGAGCAGGGTGGGATTCCGATTTGATCATGGACGGAATGGAACAACAACTGTAGGACTCTTCTGCTGTTGACGGCTGATGGCTGAGGGGCGAAGGGAACGTGCAACAGTGCCAGGCAGAAAGGTCCTGGTAAGGTAGGCTTGGCTAAGAGACGGAAGCCCTCATACTGTATGTAGTATTGGACCCCCAAACACACGCATGACTGTGCACCTACCTAGCTGGAGCACTTACATATATGACGGGTAACAGGGCTTCTGCGATGCTGCTTTGGTGGATTCGATGGTTCCGGGTTGGCCCTGTTTGAGCTTTGCTGGATCTGGGCATGCTGCCCGACACGGAGGCGTCATGGCATCATGGCACGGAAACGATAGGTAGGAAGCCGTATCCGTAGACGAGAATCAATGTTTGTCTTGACAGCAGTACTGTGCTTGGCGACGTCGTTGAACGCTAACGATCCAGCAATTCACAGCCAAGACGTTGGGTCGGCTTCGCTGTCCCCGTAATTGGCCCCTGATTAAATCAGAATATGCATGGGCTGAATGCATCTAGAAGCGGAATAGGAGGAGGTGGCGTTCTAGAGATGTGAAGCGGAGGAGGGAAGATGGACGTCTCTTGTCGCATTGAACTTCCCTTCCCCTGTGGTTGAGGTGAGGACTTGACAGGCTTGAAGGGATGAGGTACCTTGCCTAGAGAAACAGCAATTATTGGCCAACTTCAGCTTTCGATTGCTGCTTCGCTGGAGACTTGAGACACAAACGCCTTGTTCTTGTCTCCAGAACGAGATGGGACACAACATCGCCCTCAATAGTAAATGGGGGGAAATAGGGAAGCAGCGAAGGCGGTACGTTCGTCTTCTGGGCCTTTTGGGCAAGAAACACTCCTCTTCTCTGTCTGCCCATCAACATGGTCCCATTATTCTCCACGATGATTTCGCCGCACCATCTGAACCTCCCCTCTCACTCCCCAACATCACTATCGTTCTGGCCATCTTATGTCGTGCATACCATACAGCACACACGGGCCACGGCAACTTCGGACGTTTGAAACAAAACTGACTTGTTTTCAGTCTCATCGGGCTATCGGAACACCAAAATGAGGACGCCATCTCAGTCTCCCCCTCCAACGTAAGGGGTCACTGAGGTGAAGACCCAGATCAACATCCGCACCACCCGCGTCGCCAGCACCAGGCCACCGCCAACGGTATTGCCATAGCGCAAGCTACCTACGACTCAGCCCATCAACAACTTTATTCAAGCAACCTGCCTGGCCTACCATGCCCCTTCCCTGCCCTATCCATACAGGGAGTCGAGTGGTGTCACGACCTAGCACGATTGTACTAATACATGTACATGCAGGATACTTGTGTGCTGCACCACATCAGCCATCGCTGCAATATCATTCATCAGCGTCGGACAGGGAAAACGGCAAGGCCCCTGGTTCGAGTCTAACCCGCCTCCAGGCCTAAGGAGCACTTTGTGCTTCGGAGCAAACCACATTCACGACAAAGGTTCTTGTCTACCTGTAGCCGAAGCTGTTTTCCCCGCGGCGCTTGGTGAAGCTGCACCCCCGAGACTGCATCATCACCTGCCTGAACTCTACATGTACCATGTGTTCCACCAACATTTTAAAAGACAGCAACGAAGAGGCCGATTGCTTCGAAGCTCATGGAGCGGTGACAAGCGAGTAACGAACCTCTGGTCATCCCATGTATAACGGTCTGGGGGGTGCCATTTCAACATTCTCCGGCTTGCTCGCATTGTGCTGGGCTGTCTGATGAGCGTGAGACAGAGGACAGCTTGTATCCCGGTCCCTCTCTCGGAGAGGGTGGCATGGTGGGGTAGTGCCTCTCTGCTCCCTGGTCCGTTTGTCCAAGGTGCCCTGCCTTCCGATATGGAGGGGTCGTTGTCGCATTGGAGGGGTACTTTGGCTCAGACCGGCCGGGAGACGTGCCACCTGCGCCGTTGCCGGCTTACCATTTGCTATTACAGGCAGATACGATATCGCGCGACATGCAAGACGCTGGGCGCGAGAAGCAGGCCGGATGACGGAGGAGAGAGCGAAAGAGAAGAAGAGGGAGAGGAAGCGCTCGAAGCCTAGCTTGAATGGCGTTGAGAAGTCTGCCGGTCCTTGCTCCGAGTCCGTTCTTGTGTCTTAACACGTAATGATAGCCCAAAGTTGGGCGGCAATCAAAGGGCATCAAGGGAGTATTCGGGAGAAGCAGAGGAAAAGCAAGCAAAGATAATGGACGAGCAGCATCCTATCTGGGCACATCCCGAAGCGCTTTCCATTCGAGCCTTTCCTATCATGCCTTGCGACCGGCTCGGCCATGTCCCCTCATCGCTGTCATTTTCGCGGCGGACCACCCATCAAATCGACCTGCCCACTTCGCACCACACGTAGTGATACCCTGCCCGTATCACAACTCTCCACTCCCTAATTGATGGCGCGCGTTCACTCTCACCACTTTTTTTTCCTTTTTTTTTTTTTTTCCCTCTCTCTCCCTCCCTGCCTCCCGCCTCTGCAACCTAGCTTCATGATCCTGGACCGCATCCTTTCTGCGCGCCATATGCCAGCCTGCTTTCGTGCTTTTGCCTTGTCTCACCCTCCACTCCGGCGAGCCGAGCTGGACTAGCCTTCCATTCTAACTCCCTCGGTCGTTCCTTGCACACCTCAATCTTAACGGGACACACACCTCCCTCCCCGAGGCCCCCCCTCGGTCAGAGTAAGGGACCGGTACCTAGTAACTCCGTAGTTGTAGCAGAACACAATACAAACCGCACGTACCTTTAGCACCTTGTCTACCGCCAACCTTAGTTAGCTAACCAGTTGTCGCGTCCCACACCCCTCCTCTCTCACTCACACACACTCACGCTCTCTCGACTCTCCCGGGATTCGACCCCAAAATTTTCTTCTGCCAACTTAGATACATACTCACATTACCATTTTTCAACCCTCCCAGAAGGCCTTCTTAACCCTCCTCTCCCTCCCCCCTTCTCTCTTCACAATGTCCACCGAACAAGTTCCCGTTTCAAACGACGCCTCTCAGGCACCAATCAACCCTCTAGCAGCCCATCCCGTCAACCCTCAAGATGCCCAGGGACGACAGCCCGCCTCCTCCGCCGCCGCCTCCTCCGAACTCGCCAGTGGGAAGATGAAGCTCAAGGGCGCTCTGCGTCACTTTGCTGACTTCCCCATCAAGGGCATCGACTTTGTCGACATCATGCCCCTCTTCCTCGACCCCACTGTCCACCAGGCTCTCGGCGAGGTCCTCGAATTGCAGGTCAAGGAGGGTTTCGCAACCCTCCCCGATGTCATTGTCGGCCTTGATGCCCGCGGTTTCCTCTTCGGTCCCGGCATGGCCCTCCGTCTCGGTACCGGCTTCGCCCCGGTGCGCAAGCAGGGCAAGCTGCCCGGCCCGTGCGTTACCGCCGAGTACATGAAGGAGTACGGCTCCGACTTCTTCCAGATGCAGGAGGACGCTATCAAGCCCGGCCAGAAGGTCCTGATTGTTGACGACATCATTGCTACCGGTAAGCTTGAGGACTAGACCAGCCTCTCGGTGCCTCCCGCACCGATATTTCCCTAGCCCCACTAACAGTAACTAGGCGGCTCCGCAAAGGCGGCGGCAGACCTCGTCAAGAAGCTCGGCGGCGACATCATCGGCTACCTCTTCATCCTCGAGATCCCCGGCTTGAACGGCCGCGAGAAGCTGGGCGACACCAAGACCGTCATCCTCCTCGAAGACGCATAAATCGAGTTCTGTTCGGAAGGCGGCTCTGTCGGCCCTACACACACGCCCGACCAACCGCACCCACCGTTGATAGACAGGGCTGGCGTCTCTGTTCAACCTGGCAACGACCTGACGGGTTCGAGAGTATATAGATACCAAACGCGGAATGACTCGGCCTCGGATTTCTAAGGGGTGGATCGCCTGAAACTTGACTCCATTTCGGCTCCTTTCCACAAGGAGGACACGCGCGAGAGTCAACACCGCGCCGGCGTTACGGAATACAAAAAAAAGTTGGATGGCATACTGATTGATAAAGACAACATATAGATGATGAGATGAGAAGAGCTCGGATTCGACAACCGAGTCGAGCCAATTTGCGTAACACGGGTTCTTAACAACTCGGGCGCACTGAATACAAAGAAGTTAAAGACCGGTGTCCCGGATTGCCGATGCGATTTCGTCTCTGTTTTCAAATGCAACCGGTCTGAAAGGCAGTGTTGTTAGGCACAAATGCTTCACATGCGTGTTTAAGACATTGCGGCAGCCTGTCCGCTGCATATGCTGTGTAAGTCTGTGGTGCTTTCGGCACCCGGGGGCTGCTGGGGTATCCGATGGATTAGTGTTGTAGTCGTGAGAGTGGTCCCAGATGGGAGGCGACGACGGCTTTAAGGGAGTTTAAGGCATCAAAGTTGATCGGATCATGGCTATCTCTGCTCAGGGTAGGCTGTGTTGGCACTCACTCGTGACAACCTCAGCAGATCTAGCAGTACCCCGCCGGGTTTACACTTATCCAGCGTAGAACCAGAGGACCACATAATGGGTTTGTACCTAGCTTCACTACGTGAGGTTTCTCTTGTGTTCGTAGGACAAAACTTCTCCCACGAGCTGCATGTTGTTTGATGCGTGGATAAAACGTTCTTAATGCCTTCTAACTCCGTAAGTGGCGATTTTGTGCATCTCGGTGTTTACCCATGTGTGATGTTCGAAACAATGGAATTAAGAGAAAAGCTGGTTGGGCGAGCACCATTCGGGATCGTCACCCCGGATCTACAAAGGATACCACCCAGCCAGGACAGCTGAAGACAACACAACCTGACCACAAAACAAACAAAGTGCTCAACAAAGATGGTCTAAATCTGGAAGGGTTCTGGAGGGGAAGCTACGAAGGCGTGATGACCCCATGATGTCATGGCTGCTTACTGTCCCTTGATTCTACTTGTGACGACCCCGCCTTCTTCTGCTGACAAAGAATGGCCTGTCGACCGTGGAGCATCACCGAATACGGGTAGCAGTGCTCTCAGGGATAGGGGGAAATGGGCTATTTGCAGTTGAATTAATAAGCTTTAGGAGCTCTTTGGAGATCTGGATGCTCATTAAGGCGGGGGGGTTCTGGCATATATAAACAACATACACTTGGACATCTCGTTCGTTGAGTAGACATGTAAAAGACCATTTCAAGCTACTTATCGAAACCCCAGCAGAGCAATACATTCACATAATTCAACATGACCCTAAAGATCTTTCTGTGAGTCTTTCAACTTTGTGGTATGAGGCCATAGCTAATAAGAATCGCAGTACGGGTGTCACCGGTATGGAATGCCAATTACTTACTACTTGTCCATCCCTCTCCATTAGCCGAAGCTCACCTTGTATGGAAAACAGGTTACATCGGCGGAGACGCCTTCTACGCTCTCTTCGATAAGCACCCAGAGTATGAGTACTCCCTGCTCGTCCGCAACGAGGAGCGCGCCGCCCCTGTGAAGAAGGCGTACCCCAAGGTTCGAATCGTGATCGGGACCTTACATGACGCCGATGTTATTGAGAAGGAAGCCGCAGCTGCTGATGTTGTTGTCCGTACGTTTACACCCTGTGCCGTCCCTGAAGCACTCTAGGAAAGCTAGGTTTGCACCAAAGACTTGGTGCTTTCAAGAGGCTCTGGAAGATCAGTGACAGCTAACGTCCAGATCCGCTTAGACACCGCCGACTCCGCGGACGATGAGCCCTCGGCGAAATCCATCGCAAAAGGCCTAGCCGCGGGCCACTCGCCCGACCAGCCGGGCTTCTGGATTCACGTCTCGGGCACCGGCATGCTGCAATGGGTGAGACCGTTACCCCTCTACATCCTCCCCCTTTTCTCAAAGGCAGCGCCTCTAACACCCACGTCTCCAGTACGACAGCAAGCACAACCGCTACGGCGAGGCCCCTCTTCCGGACCAGGACTATCACGACATCCGCGACATTGACCGCATCCTCAACTTCCCGGACGAGGCCCTCCACCGCAACGTGGACAAGGTTGTGCTCGCCGCAAACTCCCCCGCCGTGCGCGTCGCCATCGTCGCCCCGCCCACCATCTACAGCTCCGGCCGCGGCCCGGTGAACCAGCGCTCGATTCAGGTGCCCGCGCTCGCACAGGCCGCCCTCGAAAAGGGCTTCGCGCCCATCATCGCGCCGGGCAAGACGGAGTGGGACAATGTCCATGTGCACGACCTCTCGCGGCTCTTCGTGACGCTTGTCGAGGCTACCCGGGACGGGTCCAAGAATGCCGACCCGGAGGTGTTTGGACCCAAGGCGTATTACTTTGTCGAGAGCGGCACGCATGCCTGGAGCGATGTTGCCAAGTGGGTCGCCGAAGAGGCTTACAAGCAGGGATACCTGCCAGCGCCGCTCACAAAGGAGGTGACGATGAAGGAGGCGCTGCAGAGCGACGGGGTTGCGAACAACAGCTGGGGCCTGAACTCCAAGAGCAAAGCGGAGAGGGCACGGAAGTACCTGGGATGGGAGGCCAAGGAGAAGAGTCTGCGGGAGGATATTCCCGAGCTCATCTCTCTGGAGGCGAAGAGGTTGGGCTTGCAGCCGCAGGAGAAGAAGCACTAGGGCAGTCTTTTGACAATGACTCCCGAAGGAAGTTTATCTGTGAATTGTATCGTAACAAAAAAATTGTAGCCGTGGATCATATTGGTGGTCTCGCCCTTGAGGCGAGTCCCATAAATATTAGTCTAAACCAGCAGCTCCATATGCCGGGTTTCTATGCGTATACCGGCTGTTCATGGTCAATCGCAAAGATGACCGTCATCTCAACCTCGTTGCTCCACCCAGGGTGCAGACCCATTTCCTGCCACGCCCTCTCAATATCAATCTCGACAACAGAGTCGTGGTCCTTGCTGATGGATACCGTGTGGACGGGGATCACCTGGTTCTGGATGGTGACGAGGAAGTCGTCCTCTATCGTCAACTCTGGCAGCTTGGAGATGTAGATGCCTTTTTACACCATGTTAGCACATTGCCTTTACGCAAGGAATGTCAGTGTTCCTACCGAGGATGCCGAGCGCCTTGAGGCGAGTCTTGAGCTCGACCTTCCCGTCATGCCGCAACATGAAATCGCTGTTGAGGATGGCAGCCGCGCCTGTCATCTTGCCCACCAGGCCCAGATTGGCAGTCCATACCTTGCCCTTCACCTCGCTGTCAAAGCTGGAGAGCGGATAAGCGGTGAAGATGTCGTACCCGCGAACATCCAGGGACACTGTCAGAGAGGACCCAGCAGAGCCGGGGGAGACGGGCGGGCTAACTTTCCCGGTGGAGTGGGCCCGAACAATGTAGCGCATGGAGGGCAACACTCCGGAGAAGGAGGTGAAGGGGATGATCTCCGTCAGAAGCCGGGCTGAGATGTTGAACACGCCGAGAATCGGGGTGCCCGTGACGGCGGCGCCGTGGTAGCTTCCAATTTTGAGCAAACCGTCATCGTCGTATCCTGTGTAAGGGTCAATGGTCTTCCCAACCACGCTGGGCCGGAAGATGACAGTCTTCCCGCGGATCGTCGGGCCCGTCATCTGCTTGATCAGATCAAGGCTGTGCTGCCCGGGGACGTCGGTGATGTAGATCGGCCCTCCGCTGACGCAACGCGCTGCGGCGTGGAAGCCCGAGTAGTCGTGCACGGTCTGGAACATGTCCCAGTCGGGCAGGATGTTGAGGTGCTGCGTGAGCAGGCTGTTGTGCGCGTTGGTCCATACATGCCAGGGGTGCGAGGCGGGGATCTCGGGGAAGAAGTCGTCCGAGTTGCGGCAGAGGATGGCGGGCCGGTTGCGCGGCATCTGGTTGTAGAACATGATCTGCGGTGTCTGCGACATGCAGGATATAGTCTTGATGCTAAAGTGCCGCAGCGAAGATATCGTCCACGCGTCTAGGTAGGCATCTATCAGCTCGCGACGGGCACTCGCCGAGACCCATGTATCGGTCATGAACTGGGCGTCCGTCTTGACGCCGTCAATGCCACAGTCGACAAGGAATTTGTAAAAGTCGTTATAGAACCGGTCCACGTCCTCTTTGGCCACGACGGTCATTTTGCCTCCAAGGGGCAGGTTCCGCCTCTCGGCGTCTTCTCGAACAACATCTATTGTTTTGTATTGTTGTGCAATCTTGCCGTCAGGTGAGATGCCCGCCCAATAGCCTGACGCTGTCAGTCTTGCTTGCTCGATGAGTTGGGTTTTGGAAACAAACCTAAAAGAGCATGCCATACGGCAATGTGTTGAATGTGTGGGTGCTTCTGCCGGATGTGCGAAACCGTAGCTTTCAAGCCCTTGGGGAACGCCTTTGGCTCCGCCTCGAACTCGACCCAGCCATGCTGAAACTGCCCATGTCCTTTGTAGTCGATGGTTTGCCAATTGTCGTCAATAATAAGACTAGTGACTTTGATGTTGTTCTCTGCGAGCTTGTCGACAGCATCAAACACTTTTTCGTCTGTAAGACGCTGTCCGAGAGCGTTCCAAGTGCCTAGTTGTTCACATTAGCCAAGACCGGTCTGAGGTGATTGAGTGGATATGTGTAAAGGCATGCAACTTACAGTAACCCAATCCGTCATACCAGTTCTCCATCCATTCCGGCTTTACGCCTTCCTCAAGAGCCTTCAGTTCCGCCAATAGCTCGTTGCTTGCTTTCTTCTCTTGAAGAATATAGTTTCGAGCCTGGTACATGACAGCAGCATTGGCACTCTCAAAGTTGTCTCCTGTAGCGGCCAAAACAATTGCTGGTTCTGAGTTTGTGCCATCGTTGCGAGCCTGCATGGTGTAAGCGTGTGTGGCTGGCAATCATCGAGTGATCCATCACGTACATGAACAGACAGTTGCCCAGACTCGTTGTTGCGGAACACAGAGAGAACGTTATTGACGCCACTGACGGCCAGAAAGACCAAGTGCTTGCCCTCCGGGCTTAAGAACGAACAGAGTACACCGTCTTTGTCCAGCTGGAACGAATCTCTTCCATGCCGAGGAGCCAGCCAAGGTGACCAAATACGAATGAGGGCAAACCATCTATGAATGTTAGTACGAACAAGACAACGCAGGTGGAGGCACGATCGGGACAAGTGTCCGTCCAGTGCCAACGGCAAGCATAGGCGTAGGGCAATGGTGGCTTACCTTAGGAAGCCTCCCCATGGTACGCCCAAAGGGATATTGGCAAGCTTCGACTCGTCCCCTTCAACACCGTCTACGGCCGCCTTCAACGACCACAAACGAGTTCCAGGGCACTGGCTCATCAAGGACTTCACTTCCCAGGCACCGTTCAGACCCGGAATGAGATCGTCGAAGCGCTTGGAAACGGTCTCAAGAACAGGCCTCGCATTCAGAACGACTGTTGCATCGCCAACTCCAAGTTCGTCACGAGTCCACCTCCATGGTTCACTGTCGTTGTGTCGAAATTTAAGTGTGAATTGGAACAATTTGTTGAACGTAACTGAAGCGGAGAAGAAAAGCCGTTGGACATGGACCGGGACTGTCTGCAGGGTCGTCGGAGCGTTTTCGTCGGGGACACGGGAGAGAGCAGTCTCGGCCCACTCAGCTCCGTCACTTGAATGCCAGAGAGCAACCTCCCAGGGCTCACTTGCGCGCGAAGCAGGTATCTCGAGAACTGCAGTCACTGTGAGACGTCCGTTTAAGACCTGCGTATACTGGCCCAACGGAGGGTAACTTTGAATGATGGCTTTCATTGCGTCAGTAACGGGTTCTGGGGCTGGCTTCTGCTTTGAGATGAAGACAGCTTGGAAGACGTCGGCAAAGTTGTAGTTGTCTGATGGCATCTTGATGTCATACGAGTACACAATACGGCTTCCAAGTGTTAAAGGGATAAGGATGTAAAACTGTCTAAGTAGAGACCAGAGCAGTGAGGGGTTTCTGTTCAATGGCTAAAGTTGGAATACAGTAATACACTCTGGACCATGCAGAAGCTTGGAGACATCTGCAGTCGAAGTCAAAAAGGCAGTCCTGTGACCTGGTGCTGCACTAACAGCTCAACACCGTCCGCACCTATGGATGCCTCAGCTGCACGAATGGGACTTGATGCAACAGCGGCTGTCGCCTGGGCACGGGCAGGATCCGCTTAATTGGCCAATTGGCATCAGCGGCCAGGATGGAAGAAAGATGATTCATCGATGCTGGGGAGTGACGACCACCCAGCGACCCACGGGATTTGCAGGTACATTGAAGGTCAACCAAAGGCAGCAAAAAAGAGTTGGCAGCACCGCTCGTTACCATCGTCAAATTTGTCCCGGTGCATGTCACAGTTGACATTGAGGGGCGCATGGAGGAAATCAATGACTGAATAATAAATTGAACAGGTGGATGGATCTGGAGTGGTGCCAGATGCCGGGGCCGCAGATTAGTTACGTACCGACTCTGATTGGCTCCAATTGCTGGGCCGGGGCATTCCGGAAGCCGACTTAGCGCCTCGAATTCAAGGCACACACAGCCTTTCGAAAGAGCGAAAGCTTTCTGAGCCGAAACCTCATCGAAAGATTTCATCAAACACCTCATACTACTCCCTATCCTCCACAACTCCGCCATGGCGTCCCGGAGACTAGCTTTGAACCTCTCGCAGGGGCTGCGAAGCCGGGCTGCTCTTTCCAGAGCGAGCCCAATTACCCGGGGCTTCGCCACGCCTTCCAACTCCCCCTTCGGCAAGACTCAGACGACGACGTTGAAGAATGGACTGACGGTACGCAATTCCATCCGCCCACCCGCTCCCTGCGGCTCAATTGGCCTTGAAAAACGCGCCGCGAATCGGATCTGACTCTCAATCTCTAGGTCGCTACCGACTACTCGCCGTTCGCCCAGACCTCGACTGTTGGCGTGTGGATTGATGCCGGCTCAAGGGCTGAGACCGACGAGACCAATGGCACCGCCCACTTCCTCGAGCACCTTGCCTTCAAGGTAGGCCACGACGCGACGACAACGCGATGACGAACATGCCGTTGACCGGATTTTTAGGGTACCACAAACCGGACGCAGCAGCAGCTCGAGCTTGAGATTGAGAACATGGGTGGCCACCTGAACGCCTACACCTCGGTTCGTTCCCGTCGACCGAAACCATCAAAATTTCCTCCCATTGACACTTGTGCAGCGCGAAAACACCGTCTACTTCGCCAAGGCCTTCAACTCCGATGTTCCCCAGACCGTCGACATCCTTGCCGATATCCTCCAGAACTCCAAGCTCGAGGAGTCTGCCATCGAGCGTGAGCGCGATGTCATCCTCCGCGAGTCCGAGGAGGTCGAGAAGCAGATGGAGGAGGTTGTCTTCGACCACCTTCACGCCACCGCCTTCCAGCACCAGCCCCTTGGCCGCACCATCCTCGGTCCCCGCGAGAACATTCGTGACATCACCCGCACCGAGCTCACCAACTACATCAAGAACAACTACACTGCCGACCGCATGGTTCTCGTTGGCGCTGGTGGCATCCCCCACGAGAAGCTCGTCGAGCTCGCCGAGAAGAACTTCAGCGGCCTGCCCACCACCGGACCCAACACCCAGGCCTACCAGCTGTCCAAGCAGAAGGCCGACTTCATTGGCTCTGATGTCCGTGTTCGCGACGACAACATCCCCACTGCCAACATCGCCATCGCTGTTGAGGGTGTCAGCTGGAACGACGACGACTACTACACTGCCCTTGTTGCCCAGGCTATCGTCGGCAACTACGACAAGGCCATTGGTAACGCTCCCCACCAGGGCAGCAAGCTGAGCGGCTTCGTCCACAAGCACGATATCGCCAACAGCTTCATGAGCTTCTCCACCAGCTACAGCGACACCGGGTAAGCCGTGACCACCCAACATCACAGACGCGTGCTAACATGTGATAGTCTCTGGGGTATCTACCTCGTCACCGACAAGCACGACCGCATCGACGACCTCGTCTACTTCGCTCAGCGCGAGTGGATGCGCCTGTCCCGCAACGTCAGCGAGGCCGAGACCGAGCGTGCCAAGGCCCAGCTCAAGGCTTCCATCCTCCTCTCCCTTGACGGCACCACCGCCATCGCTGAGGACATTGGCCGCCAGCTCATCACCACCGGCCGCCGCGCCAGCCCCGCCGAGATCGAGCGCACCATCGACGCCATCACCGAGAAGGATGTTATGGACTTTGCCAGCAGGAAGCTTTGGGACCAGGACATTGCCATCTCCGCTGTTGGAAGCATTGAGGGTCTCTTCGACTACTCCAGACTCAGGGCCACTATGAAGCCCAAGTACTAAATGGGGTGTTGGTGATTTTCGGGGAGATTAGGGTATAGAGTGTATGAGATACCGTTACAGGCTAGTGTATCATAAAGACTTCCCTTGTTCATATGTCTGTGACAACCGCAAGCTTAGCACCTGACGACCTAATTTTACTTTGTACTTTTGGAAGCAAGCTGACCTTAACCACTTGTCCTTCGACCGTTTGCAATATGTTACTAGGTGCTGAATCTTCCGCTTCTCCTGGCTACAACTACTTTAGACGTGAGGTTCTCATTCCTTCATCACGGCCTGCCCTTTGGTTCAGCTGACTGCATTCGTCACGCGCATCCGCACCTTTCTAACTGGAGACGAGGGGAGTAAACCATGATTTCCAGACTAATCGTCTTTGTCCAATAAGACAAAGCGTTTTTCACTATATATCCAATGATACTTTTGGTATAACTACATAAAATCATGACCCCCATGCCTCACCCACAACCAGCCAACTTTTGTTCTCATTTTTGCTTGTGACATGTCTCCCCAGTCAACCTTTACTTGCGGTTCATGTGGTCGATGCGGATCTCCACGGCTCTGCGGTGGGCTTCAAGTTGCTCCGTCTTGGCGAGCTGCATGACGGCTTCGCCGACGTTGCGCAGGCCCTCGGCCGTCAGGTTGGAGCTGGTGATGTGCTTGACGAAGGAGGCGAGGTTGACGCCCGAGTACTGCTTGGCGTATCCGTACGTGGCTGTGGCTTCGGTCAGAGATTGTCCGACATTATCGATGGGGGATGTAAGAGAAGAAATAAACTTACGCAAAGAGTGGTTGACACCGGCAGAGTAGTCGCCGACACTTTCGGGCGTCCACTCGCCGATGAAGACGGAGCCGGCGTTCATGACCTTCTCCGTTACCTTCTCGGCGTCCTTGATCTGGAGGATCAAGTGCTCGGGGGCGTAGTCGTTGCTGATGCGCATGGCCTCGTCGACGGTCTTGACCTGGATGGTGACAGAGTGGGCGATGGCGCCGCGGACGATATCGACACGGGGCAGAGCCATGGCCTGGTTGTGCAGCTCGTCCTCAATTGCCTGCAGTTGCTGCTCGGTGAGGTCGATGGCGATGAGAACGACCTGGCTGTCGACACCGTGCTCGGCCTGGGACAGCAGGTCCGAGGCGACGAAGGCAGGGTTGGCGTCCTTGTCAGCGATGACGAGAACCTCGGAGGGACCGGCAGGCATGTCGATGCTGACACCAGCATTGGTGTCGTTGCTAACGAACATCTTGGCCGCAGTGACAAATTGGTTTCCAGGGCCGAGGATCTTGTCGACCTTTGTCACGCTCTCGGTGCCATAGGCCATGGCGGCGACGGCCTGAGCGCCGCCAGCGAGGACGATACTCTCAGCGCCGACCTTGTGAGCGACGTAGACGATCTCCGGGGTGAGGCTGCCATCCGCGCGAGGCGGCGAGGCAAATACGATCTTCTGGCAGCCGGCGACCATGGCGGGGACTCCGAGCATGAGGGCTGTGGAGGGGAGGACGGCAGTGCCGCCGGGGACGTAAAGGCCGACGCGCTCAATGGGACGGGAGAAACGGCTGCAGACAACTCCGGGCATGGTCTCCACCTGCAAAGGCTTGTCCTCCTTCTGGGCGGCGTGGAACTTGCGGATGTTCTCAAAGGAGATGTCAATTGCCTTGGTCGACTCAGGGGACAGTTGCATGGCCTCCTTGGGGAAGGGGGCCTTGAGAACAGGGGAGGTAAGAGACGTGGCCTTCTCGAACTTGTGGGTGTAGGACAGGACGGCCTTGTCGCCTCCGTTCCGGACCTCGTCGATGATGGGCTTGACGATGTTCAGGATAGCGTCGGGAGACTTTTGTGACGGGCGCTTTAGCACCTCGTCGATCTCGGCAGCGGAAGACTTGGTCAAGTCGTAGCGGCGCATCGTGATTCGGTCAGACTTCTCATCCTTTGACGCGGGCGCCGGTGCGGGCGCCGCTGCAGGGGCAGGTGCCGAAGAGGTCTTGATACCCTCCTTCTCAGCCCACTTACCCTTGGCATCTCCTGTTCTCCTCTTCACCTTGAATGCCTTGGCGTCCAGGTTCTTTTCGATATCAGCCAGGCTGACGCCTGCGCTAACAGCCTTGGTAAGAGCAAAGTAAATCAGGTCGGCCGCCTCAAAGGCAACCTCTTGAGGGGTCTTGGCGTCGCAGAGCTCCTCCGCCTCCTCCATGATCTTTGCCCGCAGGAGCTTCTCGTCAGAGAATAGACGGGCGGTGTAAGATCCTGCAGGCGCAGACTTCTTGCGCGACTGCAGCGTCTGTTCGAGCCTGGGAATACCGTTCAGGTCACCAAAGCAGCCGTGCTGGTCCAGGTGGCAGAAACCACCCTTCTGCCTGACGACAAACTTGAGCGTGTCGTTGTCACAGTCCAATGCGATGCGCACAAGCTCCTGGGTATCTCCGGACGTGGCACCCTTGATCCAGAGGCCGCGCTTGCGGCTCTGGTAGACGCCGGTACGGGTCCGCAGGGCCTCACCAACGCTCTCAGCGCTGCTGTACGCGAGACCCAGCGCGGTGCCGGACTCATCGCAGACAACGGTGGGGATGAGGCCGTCGGGTCTGTCCGATTTCCAAAATGAGGAAATGAGCTTGGACAGAGAGAGCTTCTTCGAGTCCTCCTTGCTGGCCGTCAGGCCGTCAGACGGCAGCACAGGGATGGCATTGCACTGCTTGGCAATATCGACAAAGTGCTCGAGGTTGCTCTCAGGGACGGGCTTGATGAACAGGTTGGGCAGCTTCTCGACCTTGCAGCGCTCGATGAAGGAGCCCAGGTTGCACGTTGTCGAGTCAAAGTCCTTGACGAGGACGGCGTGCTTGGAGGCGGCCTTGGTCGTGACGTCGGCCGTGGAGAGGATGGAGCCCACGCGAGAGCCGAACTCCTCATACTGGGCAAGGTTCTCTGGGGAGACGAAGACCATGCGGGCGCCGGCGTCGAGCAGGGAGACGACATCGTCCCGTGACGAGATGCCTGTGACGTCAAAGTAGCCGCGGAACTCTGCGTTGTGCTGCTTCAGAAAGTTGTGGAACTTTTCCAGGGTCTGGTCGTTGGCCTCAAAGCAGGGGGCCCCGAGTATCGAGACCTGCTCCCGGTCGAGGCCATCGAGCTTGGCCAGGCCTGGCGGGACGGCCACGCTGATAAGGAAGGGGAAGGGTAGTGTCGTTTCCATGGCCGCTTGTTCTTCAGTCTGTTTTGTATGTAGATGAGTGAGTTGAGGGATATCTCTCTTTTCTTTCCTTGTTCTCTCTCACATACAAGGAACAGAGGGTGCCCAATTGGTGAATATGGGAAATTTGAGACAATTGGATGATGGATGCAGGTTGTCTTTGCAGTCAATTGAAGAAAGTGGAATGTCACTTCTTTATCGAGATAAACAACCCACTTGTGACTCAAGTGTCAGGGAAAGAGAGCACCGCCACCAAAAAGTAAAAATCCTCATAGTGTGACACCACCACTCTACCATGTCCTGCATCGGCGGGTGTTGTGGTGGGGCAGACCAGACGTTGCCCCTCCATGCAGGTTTTGGGAGGTCATCCAATCCACGCCTTGCCGATTTGCCCGTCCGAGACCCATGTTCCGTGTGGGATTAAGCTATGGTCAGTGCGCCGGCTGAGTACCGGACCGGATCAACCAGTTGGCCGCTGAGAATCCCGAGCTGAGGTGCAGGCCAGGACCTCAGACTCGAAGGTGGAAGCGATTAACGCGCCTCGTGGGTTGACAGGTAGCTCTTTCCGCAACCCAACCACGACTACCCATATACCCCCGACGACGGCAGTCGCTGCCCTCCGCCTTCCTCACAGTCTTTTACCACAACTAGACCGGCAGGGGAATCCCAAGCTTTACCAATTCTCCATCTTCCACATTAGGCCGAGCTAGCACCGCCGTCCATTGACCATCTCCAACACGGTCGCGACAAGGAGATGCCAACCTCCCTTCCAATCGCAACCCGATAATCCCCATACCACATCGTCTGCTGCCCACGCAGCAACGCCCGCCGCCACGATGGCCTCACAGACCTCCGATGCGCAAACAAATGGGGTGCCTTCCTCAGCAGGCGCGTCCGCCTCCCAGACCGTCCCCAATACCCAAGCGACGGCAGCGACGTCGACAACAGGCTCGCAGCCCCCGTCCCAGTCCCAGCCGACGCAATCCTCATCCACCCAACAACCCTCACAGCAACCACAGCAGCAAAACAACACAACACAGCAGCAGCAATCGACACCCCTCAACCCCAACGCCTCGGCCCCGCGCCCCCGCGACGCCCGCATGATCGAGCTCCTCCTCACCTCCCAGGGCGTCACATCCTACGAGTCGCGCGTGCCCCTACTCCTCCTCGACTTCGCCTACCGGCACACCTCGAGCATCCTCTCCGACGCCATCTATCTCTCGGCGGACCCTTACACCTCGCAGGCCGGCTCCAAGGCGTCCGCCTCAGGCGCCGCCGCCGGCGCGATCCCGGGCGCGGGAGGCGACGCGGCCGTCAGCGCAAACGCCGTGAAGCTGGCCATCGCCGCGCGGCTGGGTTACCAGTTCCGCGGGGGCGGTGGCGCGGGCGGCGTGTCCAAGGACTGGCTGCAGGAGCTCGCGCGCGAGCGCAACAAGACGGCGCTGCCCAAGGTCGCGCAGAACGAGTGGGGTCTTAGGCTGCCCAGCGAGCGCTTCGTGTTGAGCGGTGTCAGCTGGGGGCTCAAGGATGTGTGGGAAGAGGCGGGCATCGACGAGGATGACGACGAGGACAGCGAGGACGGTGCCGGCGCGGCTGGTGGCGACGGTGCGATGGAGGGCGTGGAGGCGACGAACGCGACGGCCGATGAGGACATTGGCGGCGACGGCGTCGAGGGCGGCACGATGGAGGACGTGTTTGGCAAGGACGTCGATGAGGACGCCGAGATGGAGGGCACGGCTTAGAAGGGCGTGGCCGTGCCCGCGTATCGTTCGGGACCGATGGTCCGGCTGCAGCAGTGGTGGGGTGGACCGAGGCCGCCCGGCCAGGCTTGAGCCGGATAATGTATTATCTGCGGCGGCCGTCAGGACTTGATGGGCGCAAAAAAGGGAAAGAAAGGAGGGGGCCGTTCCGGAGTTTTTTATTCAGGGGTAAACGGAAACACGCTTTTCGGCATTCTCTAGTTTCGGTTGATAGGGAAGTCAAAGGCCTAGGATGCCATCGGTTTAGCCGGATCTCTATAAACATTGCGAATAAGCACAATCAAAAAAAGGCCTCATCGGCACGTTTCGCGGAGCACGGCGCAAGTCTTGAAGTAGATTATAGTGTTGGATGGTTCTAGTGTCCCTCTTTCAAGACGACCCAACAACATGAAGCACCAATTCCAAACGCCTGTCGCTATGCAACGCAACGTTCCCTGCCCAGAAAGAAAAGCCACCGTTGATGCTCGTATACCCCAAACCGCCCTCTATAAGCCCCCGAAACAACAAGAGAAGCGCATCAACACGGAAGATTAGTTCGCACCCGCTTTAGCATTAGGATTGTACACCGAAGCCTGTTCCTCCTTTTTTAGCACGCTAGTTCTGCACGCCTTTTGCAAGGGTGAGATGATTTACCCCAGTAATGAGTTCAGCTCCGACGTCTTCCATGAGCACCCTCTGCGCAGGTGCGGAAGACTTGGTTTCCTTGCCGCTGGGCTGAGGAGTTCGCTCGCGTTGGGTTCGCACATCGAGATCGGCACCGTCGTCCTTGTCTTCATCCTCTTCCTCTTCGGCGTCTTCGTCGTCGGCGTCCTCGTCCTCCATGATGGAGGCGGCGAGTTGGTCCTCGCCATCGATGCTGCCACTGAGAATGCTCTCACGTTCGTCACCGTAGTCATCGACCGAGTCTCGCGAAATGTAGCTCTGGCCCATCTCGTCTCCGATCTCCTCGTCGTCATCGATGTCTTCCTCGAGGTCAGCCTGCTCATCATCGTCATCTGTATCGCTTGCAGAGAATTCGTCCAAGTCCAGTGGAGTGTCTCTCCAGTACGTGAAGTCCGTGTACTCTTCTCCGCCACCCTTGACCAAAGTGCTCACGGGCGGGAAGAAATGGTCCACAACCTCGTTGATGTTGATGTAACTCAGCTTGAGCTTATTCAGGCTGAGCAGGTCAAGGGAGACTTCAGCGTTGGAGTTGATGGTGAAGATTCGGTTTCTTGGGACATCTACTGTCCTGTACGAAATCTGGTCCGTCAGACGGTTTCCGAATCCGGCGTAGAAAGGTGTCCGGTCCGGTCCGTACAAATGGCGGATGTCGCGGAGGGTGGCCATCTTGAAAACATGAGGTTTTCTGAGGTACACCTCACGACGAAGCGCGGCCATGGTTCTGTCCGGAGACAGAATTGTAGGTCCTCGCGGCAGCCGATATTGCCCTTGCTGAATGCCAGCCAAGTACGCCCGGGTGGTGTCAGACTGCCCCACTGATCGACTGGTTAGGTACATGATGTTGTACCCGTTTGCGACGATATCGCTGTAAAGTTTGGCTACACCAGCGTGCGTCCAATCACGGCCAATCATGTTGAGAACGTGGCCTAGGGCATCCGACTTGGTGATAGTGCCGTCAATGTCCGAGATAACGACGGGGGTCTCATGTTTCCACAAGTACATGTTGGCCTGGCACGTCGCCCTGTTGACGGTGAAACTCATTGTGTTCTCTCCAGCCTTCAAACACAAGGCTTTCAGTTGGTCACTGGTCAGTCGCAGCGTCTTGGCGTAGTTCAGGTTCGGGTCTCCGGCTGTCGACTGAGGAGGAGTGCTGGGAGGGGTTTGCAGGCCAGAAGCTCCAGCGTCCGACTCGGTCCGCCTGTGAATCGGCGAGGGCGCAGTGGTTGTCACATCGCTGCCGTCGCTTTGGTAGCCAGGGTCTGATGCAGCATCCGCCGCAATGACGGGATTAGGGCGGTAGCCCGCCTCCATCGTCTTCTTCTTGGCCGCCTCCTTGGCCTCCTCGCTGCTGTAGATCCAGATGTTTCCATGCTCGTCCATGCCGAAAAGTGAACCAATATCGTAGGGGCCCTCGAGCTCCTCGGACAGAATCTTTCGAGCAAGGATCTCGGCGCGGAAGACATCCTCCTCGTTGCTCTTGAAACCGGTCATGTCCAACATCAGATCGCCGCTTTCTGTAACGTGGCTGGGAATGTTGTTGGCCGAGAGCTCCTTGGAAAGCATGAGCGCCCGTTCAAGCGCTTCCTTTGGCGCAATGGGAGGGGGACTCTGCGATCTCTCGGACATGTCGAATTCGGCCAAGTCTTCACCGTAAGCCCGTTCGCTCGTGCGGGCCGACTTGCGAATCACATCGTCGCTGTAGGGGCGATGGGTGGCCGAGCCCCAGTCTTCTGATCTTAATCGTGAGTGGGAGAGGTCCGGCGAGGTTGAGAGAGGAGTGTTGAGGCCTGCGATGGTTAGCTGTTGTTGACTCAAAGTAAGGCTTCCGAGGGCCGGGAAGGAAACACACCATGGGTTGCAAAGGTCGCGCTGTGGATGACTGAGGGGGGCGGACGACGAGGTTTCGCGGACTCAGAGTCCAGGTCTAGTAGCTCTGGTTCACCGAGACCGGGTGAGGAAGGGTTCTCTGGATTCAAGGGAGGACTAGACGCCGGGGAGACGAGCGGGGAGGTTTGCAGATCCCTCGGAATGGTATCACTGGTCTCGAAGACGAAGAAGGCCTCGCCCTCCTCGCCAAGCTTCATGGAGTAGTCCTGCTTGACGCCGTTGACCTTGAACTCGACCTTCTTCTCGTAGGGCCGAAGGAGCGAGAACTTGCCAAAGCGTACGTGGAACGGCGAGCAGGCGAGGGTGCCGTCTTCCTGCTCAACGACAATGACATCGATGGCGCCACTGAGAGTGGCCGGGTTTATGGAGTTCCATGTCGAGGAGACGGACGCGCTGAGGTTTCGTACGTATTGCATGGTGACCAAGAAGCTCCGTCGTTTGTGACGGGTTAGGGCGTGGGAGTCTTCAAGAGGGGAGAGCCGGGTAGTAGGAACAGAAACGACAGCGGAGGGCTTCCCAGGGCGAGATGATGCTGCGACTCCTCGAACCTAAGAAAGGCCGGTAGTCGGGGAGCTGGAGTTGAGCTGTGCCGTGACAAGTGCGGAGGCAAAGTGTAATTGTTGGGGAACGTCGTATGTAATTATTATTGGGATGCAGGGTACGAGGGTGGGAGCGGGAGGGGTGGTGGGAATTTGCGAGGGTGAGTGAGCGAGTCGAGAGAAGCTGAGTGAGTTGGAGAGGCGCGTGCTGAGCAAGGGAGCAGGACAAGCAGTGCAGTAAGGTGTGTAGTTCGTGAGATGTGCCGAGTCGAGAGCTCAAAGCTGAGAGAGAATCACGAGCGGGAAATGGATGATGTAAAAGTCGGGAAAGAATAGATACACTGAATCACGATTAAGTTTGGGGTTCGCGGGGTCGGGGTCGGGATGGAAAAGAAGAGGGAAAAGAAACGGCCGAAAGGTTCTTTTGGGCAACCTTCTCCTTGGTACATATGTGCGCGGTGCGTGGTGCTTCGGGGAGCGGATGGGAGACGGTGGATGGTGCAAAGATGACGAAGCTGAATCCTCTCTGGGAAGACGACCAGCAAAGAGGAACGGCGGCGGCGGCGGCGGCGGCGGGCGGTGGTCATGGGCGATGGAACCAAGGAGGCACAGCATGGTGGGAGTGAGGTACGGGCGGGAAGTAGCACCTGAAGGACCTGGCGCGGACAGGACAGGGGGGTAAGCAGAGCATCACAGGCGGACACCCCTGCTTGTTGGTCGACCGCCAGCCCAACAAGCTAGGTACTTGTAGGCGGGCCAAGGCTGTCCTTTTCCGCCTTTGCCTTACCTAGCGCTGCCGCGGATCATGTGAAGGTGGACATTTGTCTCCGCCCCAGCAAAAAAAAAAAAAATCATTGCTCGGGGGGGATCGCCCTCAATGAAAACCCCCCTGGGCCGCCTTAGGAGGGGACCATGCAGACGCCCTGCCCGTTCTTACTGGACCGGCCGCCCATAACGGCAAGACGAGAAACCGCACTAGAAGGGCCAATGCCGACATTAGGGGGAGGCATGGTCCGTCCAAAGGTGCTGAGCTGGCCTGGCATCCGTGGCACGAGGAAAAGGCCCCTGGTGGACTTTGCATGGCGCTAGGCCGTCGGCCGAGGCTCTAGTAAGGAATGTTCTCCTGCAAGGCGACGCTCAATGCCCGAGGAGCGTCGGAATGCTAAAAAATTTCATACATATAATTTACTTTTTGGGCCTTTTTCTTCTCTGGCTTTGGCCTAGTTCCTTGTTTGCTCCCTCAAGCATAGTCCGTGCCTTTTGGTGCCTTTGGAATTTCCACACATCCATTGGGTTCAGCCTCGGGGGCCCAGACGGACGCCAACCAAAAGCCAAGGGCCTGTTGTCATATTGTCGTATTTCGTCCCAAAATCAGATCCCTCCTCCACTCAACTCAACTCAACTGAACCTCTCCCCAGTTCTCTCTGACCCAGCCTTCTTTAATTGTGTTGCGCGTTGCGATCAAGATCAAGGGGTGTATTCTGCACATGATGAATACGACATCCCACACTCGATCTTCACCTAAACCGGGCCAGTCGGCTGACTCGGTCCGCGTCTCTGAAGGTACTCGTGACACCTCATGACTACTGTTGCAGCCCTGCCGCCCTTTGTCGTCTCTCCTATTTTCCCCCGCGAAAAAAAGAAGAAAAAAAGGCTCCTGGCCAAACGTCTTCTTAGTGCTGATGTCATTGCCAAACCTTTACCCCTCCATCGCCCATCGTCAACTCCCGTCTATCAAGAGCCTTGCAACAGATCTAGCGACAGTCCGGACGTGAGTTATAAAATAACAATAACGAAAAACTCATGTCCCCTGCCCTTTCTGTCACGGAAACCCCGACTGGCTACTAGGTAGGCATCATTGCGTCTGCCAATTCTTGTTCTGGCGTATCGTCCGCACCGGGCACTTGTCTCCGTTCGTCGTTCGTCGCCAGCAAAACTGGATTTGCCTGCCTGCAACGGCCGAGGGGCCGAGGTCACCTGCGCAGGTGGGCGCATGAATCACAATCCATGCTGAAGAAGGGCCCAATTCTTTTTTTCCTCTCCCTTCTCCTCTTTCTTTCGTTCTTGTTCTTCGCGTCCTCTTGTGAAGGCTCCACAGGGAATAGGAGTGAGTTGCGAGAAAAGAATTAATGGAGGCGAGCAAGAGCTGCAGTTGGCCCTGGCTGCCATGTTCGTCCAATCCCAAGTTGGACCAAAACACTGACCCGGCCTGTCCAGGCACAGTGTGCAATCACGAGGTCGCCTCTTTACAGGGCCTACCCAGCCTCGGCGACGAGCCAAAATCCAGATGCCCCTGGGATCGGGTTCGCAGTGCTTGGCAACGGCTCTGATAGAAATATAGTCTTCCGGTCTGCAGGTGTCGCACCTCCGACATGCAGGTTCCTCCTGGAGAGGGGGGGACAGGGTGCATGTTTGTTATCTTATGCATCAGAGCCGGCACTTTGTGCGAAAACAATGGAATGGCCATGATACTCAACCTCGCCTTCCCTGGGGAAAGTCTTGCTTACCTGAGGCGACCCAAGCAACTCGGTAGTTTTGCGCCTGTGTCTTTGGGTTGTGAAACGACTTTCCCCCAGTCTCTTCGAGTTGTACCAAACAAGCAAACTCTCTGGGCCCAGCTCGCCAACCGATTGTTACAAGCCGTAACTCGATAAGCACCCACACCTCTAATTAAACCAAGGACCGCTTTTGGATGCTATGCCATTTCTTCACATGTGATAGAGTCGGCAATGGAATCAACACTTTTTGTGTATAGGTAGGTCTTGACGTTTCGAAGCTTCAAGGCTTGCTTTCCATCACTGTACCCATCAACCCAGATGGTAATCTCAAAATTCATTGTTCTGTATCAAACGCCCATCGTCCCATGTCATTAAGCTTTGTACAATTACTCAATCTCCAGAACGGCAGGGGCCTTGACCTCCTTGCCGCTGAACTTTTCCAATCCCTCGCCGCCCTATATCATCTGTTAGCATCTGCAATACCAAGACTGACAAGAATGGAAGACTTACGTAGCTGAAGAGGGGCGAAACCTCGACGCCAACCTCGGTGGTCTCGCCGGTGACGGTGGCACCGGCAGCCTCGAGCCAGCGCTTGCCCTGGAGCATGATGTCGCGCTTGCTGGTGTCGGGGTCATCCTCGCCCGTGCCGCGGGCGTTCTTGAGCGGCGAGAACTCGTCTTCACGCTTCACCTCCATGCAAGCAAACTTGTTGAGCTCCAACATGGGGAAGACGTCAAAGACGAACTGCTCCAGCTTGATGCCGTTGGGCTTTTCGGGCTTGACAGTCTCGCCAGACTTGAGATCGGCGAAGGGGATCTTCTTGCGCGCAATGTGATGGGGCAGCTTGTGCGCCCATTGGGGAATGCTCTCGAGGAAGCGGAAGGAGTAGTAGTGGTTGACAATGTTAGCGGCGCGGAACTTGAGGACGCCGGGCTGCTTGGAATCCTGGGCTTCGGCCGTCTCCTTGTCAATCTCGGAGTACTCGACAACGTCGGGCTTGCCGTTCTTGAGCAATATCAGACCGACAGACTCGGTAGCGTTGCGCTTGCGAACGACCTTGGTAGTAATATCGACGTTCTTGGAGGCAGAAAAGCCGATGAAAACGGGATCGGCGACCTTGACGAGGCAGTTGTCGACGCAGTAGGCGTGGATGTGCTCGATGCCCCTCTTGCGCATGTCGCCCATGACGTCCGAGACGACGAGCGCCTGGTAGATGCCTCCGTTTCCATCAGGAGCAACAGCGACCTTGCTCTTGGACTCGAGCAGAATCTTGCCGTCGTTAGAGATACAGGGCAGCACACCCTGCTCGAAGATGAAGACGTTGGCCTTGTCAAGACCGAAGTAGTTGTTCTCCTCGAAGTACTTCTCCGTGGGGCCGCGGGTGGGGCCAGATGTCATGACGTACCAAGGGACGATAGCGCTGCTGGTGCCGGCCTTCTTGGCCGCAAGCTCCTGGACCTTGCGAATACGCTCGGCCTGGATCTGGAAGAGCGACTTGTGGCTGGGAAGGCCAATATCATAGCAGCCCTTTGGTGCGGAGCTGCCCAGTCTGGTTCCCTGACCGCCTGCCATCAGCACAACGGCCACCTTGTTCTGTCCGATCAGATCGAGACCCGACTGGTACCACTTCTCAATATCTTCGGGCTTCGAGTCGAGGATACTAGCGGTGGCAGACTCGGGCAACGGCTCGAGGCCAGACTGGGTGGAGGCATCGTCGGTCTTGGGAGGGTTCAGGGCGCGGTCGGTGATCTTATTGATATGCTCGGGGTCGAAGCCCGACAGCTGCTGGAAGAGGGTGGCCTTCTCGGGGGTAGGGAGGTCATCGTAGAAGGTAAAGACATGGTCCTGTCCTGCCTTGGTGTACTTCTCCTTGAGCTGGGCGAGCTGCTCAGCAGAGGGTTCGGTCGCAGCGGGCTTGCTGGAGCCAATGTTGAGAGCAGACTTGATGGCTTCCATGATGTGCGTGTTGGGTATCTCGGCAGGTTGTACCTTCTATCAAGTCAGTCGAAGCTGGGGATGGTCAACGGGAATCTGGAGTGAAAGAACAGGAAAAGCAGAAGGCGGAGTGGAAGTAAACAGATGAGGTCGTCAGCTGGAGAGCTTACCTTACTTGTAGTCCCCGCCAAGGACCCCTCAATGGTCCAAATATAGGCCAAAGTGGGAGCTGCTCGGTGGGTGGGCTGTCAAGGCCCCCGCCGGTTGTCAGGTCAGATCAGTGATCGATTGGACAAGTCGGGCCTGGTATCGCTTTCAGGCGGTATGGAGCCCCTCATTGCAGGGCCACAAGACGCCTTCAGGGGATGATAGGTTGCTTTCAGCTGCATGCCCCTCACTCCAATTCGTTTTCAGGGGATCCTCAGCAGCCAGCCACCTCTGCACATGGCCCGGAGGCGTCTTTGGGGCCTGCATCCTACAGGAAGGGTACATGGGACTCTTCTCCGGATACGAGAAGAAGCATCGAGGACGGTCGAGCTAAATCCTGGGCTCGCGTAATGAACATTGTGGGATGTGGTGATCTTTGCCATGGTACGGCAGCCACTTCGGACGTGGTTGTTGGGGCTGTGCGGCGTAGCGTTGATTGTCCGATGCGGGAAGCGCCAGGAACTGATTTGAGTCCCGTGTTGCATGTCAGAATCCTTAAAATGAGGATGACGGGATCGAAGTGGACAGGCCAACCAGACAGCTGGAGTCGCCAAGTCAAGACAAGGCGAAGACAAGTGAGTGAAACGGGGGGAGGTCTTCAGCCTCAAAACACATAGCGCAGCGGACATGGTGGGACTTTGGTACCTACGTTTCGCAGGAAAGAGGTATCGTGCTCAGGTTTTAACCTCTGATTATGACGAGTTACTTGCCGCAATGTTTCTTCTTTTTTCAACACACTCGCTGGAAACTCCGGAACGAACGCAATGCCAACAGGAGCACTCGGTGTAGACTACCTGCCTACTTTTCGGTGGCAGTTTGGAAGCTGCAAGTCCGGCACATGTTCAGTTCAACAGTCTTGTGGGCTCTTTTCCGTGCCTTAGCTACCTAGACTAGAATACAGCATAAGCCTGGCCGTACACATGAAGCTTGCAAGGTGTCTGCTGGCGACAAGTAACCTTCGCTTCTCATGCAAATGCTACGAGCCTAAAAAGACACAACGGAACAAACATAAACAGCCAGGACCCTCTCATGCATCCCTCCCAGATCTCCAATCCCATCTTCCTTCCTCCAGTCCAAAAAATCCGACTACAGATAAGCATCCAACCAGAAAGCCGTCATCTGAGCAGCAGAGGCATCTCGTGCCCATCATCCAATGCCCCTCCCCCCCTTCCCTTCAGGAGGTGGCCGGCACTGCCTGCCTTACCGCCCCTCCCTCTCCCCCAAGGCAAGCAGGCAATCCTGCTCCAGCTCCCCCTAGCTGGCCGCTGCCATGCGGCGTGTCAGGCATTCCACGTCCCACTCCGCCCCGATCACCCGCTCCCACACTGTGCAGGGCGCTAGCCGCGATACACGGTGCAAGGACATTGGCGGACAGGGTGCAACTAATCGCATTTGGTGCACGCATTACGGATACATACGCCAGCATACGCAGTAGACTCGGGCAGTTTTACAGTCGCAGTCACAGTGGCTCTTGGTTCCAAAAAGTCCACCTCCTGGCCCTTTCCTAGTCAGTGTAATGGTTGTCGAAATCGCCGCCGCAGACAACACAACTGCCGAGATTTTCTTCCATCCTTTTTATTCCTTCCTTGACCGACTTCTGTTCTCTCCCACCAGACCGCCCTTGAGAGGACTAGCGAACGGTCTCCTCCTTCGCTTCTCCCCTACCCTTCCGCTTTCCCTACCTTCCTTTTTTCCGACTCGAGAGCTCGACGCGGCGATGTTATGGACCCTGTTCATGAAAATCCTCCTCATCAGCTCCCTCGTCGCCTGGTGGCTTAAGCGACCAAACAGCCGCTTCCAGAAATTCGTCCTCCTCGCCGCTACCCTCGCAACCTTCTGGGTTGTCGCTCCTCTCTACGCCTCGCTCTGCCTCGCCTGGTCTGTTCACTACACCCGAGAGGGTATTCGCTATTGGAGTCTGGATGAGCTGCTCGTGCGGCACGCCAGCATGCTGGTGACGCTCGCCGCAGTCGTTTGGTGAGTTTCGCCCACGCGACCTCTTCCCCGCGCCCTCCAGTTGGCTGCCGTGCCACTGCGGCCTTGCTCGGCACACGCGACCTACGTAACCTTTTTTTCCCTTTCTTTCTAACCTGCTCTAGGCTGCTTCATCGCGCCTGGCAGACCCTCTGGAAGCCGACGACCGACCTCATTAGTATCCTTGGCGTGGACGTTCCCGAGGCCCCAGATGTATCCCTGGCCGGCATTCGACCCGACGCCGCGACTCTGAACTGGACGCGCCCTTCGCACAACCGACCCGTGCAGAAGTTCCTGATCCAGGTAAATGGCGTCAATGGTCAGTCTACGCCCGCTTCGTTGGTGATCATGGGCAGCATTTCTGACAATCCTTCACAGTTGGCGAGTCGAGGCAGGAAGAGACGGCAATCACCGTTACAGGTCTGAGGCCCAACCACTGCTACAACATCCGTGTCATCGCTGTCGGACCGAACAATTTTCAAGCCGGTAGCCAGGTCATACGGCTGCGTACCTATCGATCCGACGGACGGCCGGAGCTGGGCAACTCCAGGCTCCCCGACAGTTTCCAAGATCAAGATCCGAAGTCGGGACAGTTTCCGTGTGTCGAGGACAATGGCAGCCGCAGTCAGGTCCCGACCATAGAGGCGGCTCCATCCCTTGAGGGCGGGTCCGCTGCTGCGCGGGACGGGCCCTCTGGTCAGAGACGCAACACTGTCAATCGCAGGCATTCTCCGTCCATAGCGAGCCAAGAGCAGCCGTCCATCAAGGATTTTGGGGGCGACCAGCCTGAGGCTTCGCTAAAGGACCTGGCTGATGCATTAGAGAGGACGAGGAAGGAGATCGACGAGACAGCATCCCTACACGCCTCCGAAGAAAGCGAATTCAAACAGCTCGAAGAACGGCTCAAGAAAGAGAAGGAGGAGAAGAAAAAGATGCAAAAGGAGAAGGACGACAACACAGCGCAGCTGCGCCAAAAAGTTAAGGCTACCTATGAGCAGATGCGCCAAGCCACAAAGGATAAGGCGAGGAAGGAGAATCTGCTCAAGGAAAAGCAAGACAAGCGCAAGAAGATCAGTGATAATGTGGACAAGTGGACTGCCGAAATCGAGAATATGCGCAAGACGCGTAAGGGCTTTGCCTCTGAGAAGGAAAGCTTGGAACAGGATCGCGACCTCAAGATTAAGCACTTGGACGAAGACAACTCTGCGTTGCAGGAAGAGTATTCGCAACTCGAGGTCGAATACAAAGAAAAGAAGGAACAGCTCAAGGAGCTTGAAGATGCTAGGAGAAAGCTCCCGGGCGGGGAGGAAGACGACACTTGGCGAGAGGACGACCGGAAGATGAAGAGGGACTTCGAAATGAAGCGAAGGGAACTCCAGAGCCAACTCATCATGGAGAATCGAAAAGCCCAGCAACTCGAAGGCCATATCCACGTTTTACATGCTCAGGTATACGCCCAGAACCAACAGAGTCTCCAGCTTTATAACCAAGCAAACTCCTCCGGCGTCGACTTCGAACAGAACGCTTCCATGCAGGTCAAACGCAGGAGCCGTACCGGAAATTCGCTCAACGCCGCCATCTCATCTCCAACAGGACCTTTCCCCGCTTCCGATTCCCCCTTCGAGCCTTCAATTAGTTTTGGTAACCGCTCTGGGTTCTCGCATTTCCTGGACATCTCTGGAGGCGACAGTTTCGGCGCCGATCAGTTTTCGGATGCAGAGTTTAGAGCTCTCACCGGCAATGCCCCACTCAGTCCGACAGCAGCAGCTTTGTTACCGTCCGGTATCTTGGGCGATGACGACTCTGCAAGCCCCGATTCATTCTCTCGAAGAAGTCCCTTCATACCGGATGATGAATATGACGCCCAGTCGCCACAATCATCCAAACAGTCAAACAGTGCTCACTCAAGTCCTCTCGGTTCTTCGCACAAGACCGCATTTCCACAATTAGCGCCGGACGATGCCGACCACGCATCGCTCAATGACGTTACCTCTTCTCCCGGCGGACAGCCATCACCAGCAGCACATCGATTCACGAGCTTGCTCTCGTCATTCCAGAGAGGCAAGGGCGCTAAAGCTGTCGATGACGGCGGGCCAATGTTGGGCAGTCTGAAGCACGGCCAGAGCCAGTCCTTCCCTCGACAGACCGACGATCCCGACGGAACGATTCGACGTAGAACTAGCTTCTCCTCCTTAGGGCCAGACAGGAACTCAGCAGGACCCGAGATGCTCGAGAGCAGTGCGTCACACCTTGGACGAAGCATGTTCTCCTCGGCCCGTCGTTTGATGCTATGGAATGGTTCTTTCGCAGACAGAGATCCTAGTAGCCCCAGGCCGGCTTCCATGGCTTCGGCAGACTTGCCCCGTCCTTCAACTGACAGCGGCTCTATCTGGAACCACCCTGGTGATAGGAATCGCATGTGGTCTCCTGACGGTCCGTGGCCTTCGCGGACTCCATCGAGACGGCCCTCTATTCATGGCTCTCCAGCGGCTTTAAAGACAACGCTAGCCTCGGCCGAGGACGAAATCCTGGATCACGAAGCGTTGAACGATCCGCAGGTCTCGCCTAGCCAGGTCGGAGTCATTGGCAGCAGACCGCCGGCTAGTAAGCAGAATTCCGACTCGAAATCATTGTTGAGCCAACGTCTCAATCCCGCGGCACCGACCTTTTCCATCGGTGGGATCGGTGGGTTATTCCGCAGTAAAGACAAGGAAAACGACTCGGGTAAAGAGAAGGATAAATCAAAGTCAAAGGACAAAGCCAAGGACAAAGCCAAAGACAAGGAGGCAAAGGAGAAAGGCAAGACCAGGGAGTCCGCTACGCCAAGCCTGGACCTGCCGCAAGGCTATGATGCGTCTCCGACAGACTCGAGGAAGTCCCGCGACGCTTTCTCTGTCCATACCCAGGCATCTGTCACCGAGTCCCGAGAGTCCTTGACGCTTGATAGGGCCGTGTCAAGCACGCTGTCTGACTCCAACACTAAAGACCAAGAAAACGCCTACCGCAAGCTCTTCAGGAAAGGAAGCTCCAGCAAATTCAGTCTGTCATCTCGGCTAAGCAAAGACTCTGGTCTATTTAAGAAAGGGCCAGGAAGCACCACCAACTCGGACAAGAACTTGTCAGCCGACCGATCCAGCTTCGGCGACATAGACGATTACGGCGAGGAAGGTCTGCTGGGTCGAAGCTATGAGAGCGTCACGAGCAGCCCGTCTCTCGGGCCGTCCAAGTCCAAGGAGACTAAGGAAAGCAGAATGACTAATTGGAGTAACAAGTTTTCCATGAAAAAGAAGGGCAAGGACAACAAGGAGAGCATGGAGCTGCACCGGGCTACCCCGGAGGTTGATGGTGAGGAGGATAAGAAAGACGTCTAGTCCAGCGAGGGTATCAAGGTCAATTAGCCTCAGCGATGTAGTGCTGTCTTCCAACCATAACAAAACATCAATTCACATGGGCGTTTAACATACATATGCTTCTGGCTTCAAGGGTCCGTAGGACTCCCATCCACAAAGTCTGCGGGAAACTCCAAAAGGGTGTGCCTACCATTGTTTCGAAAACTTTGCTAACTGAAGTTTGTTCGTTCCGAATATATTGTCGGGTGTTGAGACGTACAAAATGTCTTCGCAGCAGGAAGGCGGTGAAGCATGTGCTCTGGCAGAAAGTCTCAATTGGCAAGCTCCGTCCGAAAGCACGGGTCACATTTGCGAGCCAGCGAGAGTGAGAGAGAGAGAGAGAATGGGTAGCTGTAGATTTACCCACCCAGATCGAACCACCCGCGCAAACCTCCCCTTCCCCCAAGCAGCGACGACGAAAACGGCGACGAAGGACGAACCCGGTCGAGATTGGACACAGGAGGGAAGATAACATTGCGTAGTCGGTCAGCACCTCACACCGATTGCCCGTCCAAACGAGAGGCAGCACTTCCCTGGGGAACCGCAACGCCCCGAAACCTCCCCCTCCGAGTCCCCGACCCCGATTGATGGCCGCAATGGCGGCTCAGAATCCGACCGGCGGCGCCGCCGAGGGCCTGCCGATGCCCTCGCGCAACCCGCTCCCCCTCTCCGCCTCCCAGGAGGCGCAGATCAGAGACATTTACTACGCGCGCGTGCGCAATGCCTGCGCGCCCGAGATCAAGGGTGCGTGATCCCTTCCACCTTCTCCCCCTCGCGCCGCCAGCTGCCTTTCCCCGTACACACAAGTGGCCAATGCCGCCTCGGGAGGGGGTTTCTGGCCCCTCCTCCTTTTGGCGCTCGCGAGGAACCTCAACCGCGCTCTCCGTCTTACCTAGCCAACCTTGACGAGCAAGCTGACAAATCAACCCAAACAGCCTTCGCAGACTGCGCCCTCAACCGGACCTTCACCGTCTCTTTTATCTGCCGCACGCAGCTGCGCGCCATGAACGGGTGCATGAAGGCCCACGCGACGCCCCAGGAGCACGACGCCGCGCGCGAGGAGTGGTTCGCCAAGCGCCTTGAGCGGCAAAAAGAGCGCGAGCGGAAGGCCGTCAAGAAGGCGCAGCAGGAGGACTTCATCCGCGAGTGGTGGGGCCTGCCCGAGAAGGACGCCGAAACGAGGAGGAAGGAGGAGGAGAAGATGCGCATGGCCGAGCGGGTCGGCGGGTACGCCGCCAGGGACCGGAAGAGGTTGGAGGACGAGCAGGCGGCGGCTGCTGCTGCGAAGAGGTGAGAGCGACGATTGGGGATGCGGCGAGGGGATTCCCGACGCGCTCTCCAGGTACCCTCGGCCGGAGATGGAGGGGCAAAGAGAGGAACCGCGGGTCAGATGCATATGTTGGGCGTTCTGGATTTACGGTTTGGGACACCCTGCTCAATGGCGCGGACATTCGGCTTGTACAAACACAACATTTTCACACACACACACACCATGTAGACTATAGCAATCCAAAAAAACGGGGGCCGAAGCCAGGAGATGGCGGGTCATTTATCAAAGGATACGTTAACGAGGCCTCTCTACGGCCAACGACCTCTTATTCTCTGGCAGCTCAGGTCATTCTCTGAGATGCCTTTCTCGTAGTCTAAGCTTTTCTCTAATGCAGCGATTCATCCAGAGAAAATGGCTTCTTGACTTGAATGTGCTCTTTTCTCTCTTTCGTAAGACTTCCCTCCTTCCCTTCCCTAAAAACGCCAGGTTTCTCAACCTCACAGAAAACAAAGATACAGCCGGACAGGGGCCCACTAGGCCTCTCTCTTCTGGAGCTCGGCGGGGAGCGTGGTGGCAACCTTGTCCTTGAAGAGCTTCTCGGCGCGGGCCCAGACGGGGTCGTTGCGCCAGTCCTTGAGGTTCAGGAGGGTGGGCAACAGGTCGTTGCTGAAGGCCTCGCTGGACTCACGGGGCAGCAGCGAGGGCAGGTGGTCGATGGAGATGACGCTCAGAGGCGGGTTCTCGAAGCCCTCAACGGGGACAGTGGGCTTGTCGAAGGTGGTAGCCACGGTGTAGATGGGGACTGGGAGTTCCCGGGGTTAGCATGAGGCTGATAGGGAATCACAAGCGTTAATACTTACTGGGGTTGTGGGGGTTCGTGGTGTCGGCAGAAACGTCGCAGACTACGGATAGCTGTCTACCAGGAGCCTGGAGAGACTCGCGGCTGACGAAAGCTAAAAGAGTAAGGGTCAGCTGTTGTCTTCGGGACTTCACGTTTGAAGCACGTCGCCACAGTGGGCTCTGGAGAGTAAACTCAGAAGTGAGATATCCTCCTAGTTTGAGAGGAACCCTCCAACTTGTGTGGCAAGAACAAAAAATGGATTGAACATACGAGGGATGGGTTGGCTGTGGGAGGTGTTAGCACTTCGTTCTGGGAATATCTTATTTGAGGCCATCATAGGATGAATACATACCTCAGGTAGATGCAGTTGACGAAGATGTCAGACTCGGTGATCTCGCTGTACGGACCAGGCTTGGCCTGAGTCTCTTGGATATCCTGTATGTCTTAGTCAGCATACCATACCGAAGACATCGCGAGCCGAAGTTGAGACTTACCCAGCGGATGATGTCCGTGACACCGGCTCTCTTGCACATGTCCACGGCGCCAGAGCCGCAGCGGCCGAGAGCACCGATCACAATCACTCTGGGCTTCTTGCCGCCGTTCTTCGCCACACCCTCGTCCAAGGCCTTCTTGACATCCGCAATGAGGGCATCCTCGTTGGGGTACGACTCGACGGAAGGGAAGGGCTGGCCGGGGTGGGTAAGCTGCCAGGCCCAGTTCTCGAGGGCAAGAGCAGCGCCGGAGAAGCCAGCGTGGTATCCGAAGGCCGCAACGCGGCGACCGGTCTCGTTGGTCAGGAACTCAAGATCGAGGAGGGTACCACCGCCGCGGGGGAAGCGGCCGAGAGTCTTCTCGAAACCGGCTTGTCCCTAAAGATTTGTTAGCGATTTCCCAGCCAGACTGTCCTGGGCGAAATTACCTTGTAGACGTGGAGGAAGGTGACGTGAACGTGCTTGAGGGGGAACTCCTTCTCCTCGAGCTCCTTCAAGCCGACAATGATGTGATCGGCAGGAGCCTTCTCCCAGGAGCCCTCCTCGACGAGGTTTGCGCCAACGGCCTCAAACTCGGCATCGTCGAAGATGCGGACGGGGCTGCGCTCGACGTTGACGGTGTAGCCGGCCTCGATCAGGGCCTTGGTGGTGGTGGGGGTGAGCGCAGAGCGGTGCTCAAGGGGCTTGGTCTCGGACCGGAGGTGAAGGACGGTGCTGGCCATTGTTGCGATTTCAATTGACTCGAATTGGTATGAAAAATCGCAATGCTGAGAAATGTTTGTTGGAGGAAGGGAAGCTGCTAGAGTTGGAGGCAGGACGGTGCGTGGGGCAATGACTCTAAAACATCCCACCTTATGTGACTCCTCTAGGGGACTTGCTATTTCACCGCTTATCGGAGCGCGGGGAAGAATGACATGGGATGGCAGTAAACCCAAAAAATCGGTCTCACCTAGGTTTTCCTCTCCAACAGCTCTGGCTAACAATCCAAAAAATTTTGCTACCGCCAAGGCGTGATTAAGCCACTCAGGCGTCTTGTGACGCCATGCAGGTACCGAACCTGCAGCCATCAAACGGTGGCTATCAAACGGGCTCTACCTCACTATTGGGTCTCAGCACTACCGCAAGCTGTCAATCATCGACATCCGCCGATGTCGCTCTTTTTCGCATCTTGCTCTTAACGCGACCGCATCCCAACCACTGGCAAATCGGCAACCGCCTGACGGCCCAAAGCTAGCTTGTCTTGCAACGGACCTCGATAATCTACTGTGATGCTACAGAATGATTACAATCGCGCCTTAACTTGGTCTTCACCCAGCAGCTCAACGACCCCTTCTGCTACTCCCCAAGACAACTCGAAGCCCCGGCCCCCAAGGCCATAAGCGTGAATTATGGTACGGTCATCGCCAACTTCTTCTCTTTCAAGTCTCATGCCCCCTTTCCGAGTCGGTCGTCGGCCCACAATGTCTTTGAGAACACGGAACTCACTGCTGTCTCCCAAGATACGAGGATATGTGGCAGCAAAGTCCTTCAGGATCTTCTCTCGCACATCTAGCGACGGTTCTGGATCCCAGTTGTCAGGTTCCTTTGTGCCACCGACAATGGTGCCACCATCAAAGTTTCTGGGCACGCAGAAAATCCAAGAGCCATCGGCATTCTGTCGCGTCACTGTCGCAGGGCTCAAGTTGGCCACGGCACAGGTTTGTCCTGAGAGATATGTTAGCGACACAGACAACGTTGAGCTCAGCCAGTGGCTCACACACCTCGTGTGATAAACGAGTTCTTATCGCCAAACCCGAACCCGGAACAGTTGATGGCGACCCGCACATTCAACAACTCCTTGATTGTAAAAGCTTCGCGCGCGTCATTGATCTCTCTGCGGAATACTTTGCCGCCATTCCACGAGAACCTGCGAAGGAGAAACGAGCAGTAGATCATGGGATTTACACACCATGTCCAATATTCGCAACCCCACTTCACCTTGTCATCTGGAAACTCGCTCGGCCTCAAACGCCGAAACTCAACCAGCCCTAGTGTCTTCGCCTTTTCCTCAGTAAGAGCTTTGTATTGCGCCGGAGGGTCTTCCAGGTACTCAATACCAGGCAGGAAGGTGATGCCGGCTTCCGGATTGCTCATGCTCAACGATTCCATATGTTGGAATGTCCTGAGAGCCATTGCGTGATCACGCTCCTCATTTTCGTTCGCTGGTATTACCCAGCGGTTGTGAGCACCTCCCCATTGGGATGTGTAGTTGATTAGTGTTTTGGCATCTATGGCCTCAAAAGGACTAGGGAAATCTTTGGCTACAATTGCTACCGTGTGGCCATCCTGCTGGAGTCTTACAGCAGTGCTTAGTCCAATCACGCCGGCGCTGCATCTCGTTAGTAAGTTCGCGTCCACGTGACGGAGGTGGGATTGTAGCTACCCGATCACCACAATTTGTGTCATTTTTGTTCAAAGTGAAATATTCGCAACGTTGAGAGCATTAACTCGAACCCTACAAAAGAGGTGAGTTTACAAGCAGGTCTACTCTGTATATGTTCGATGTCGAAGTAATTTTGCGTCAATTCAATGACTGAAAATGAACCGATTGCTGATTTTTTCGGGCGCCCATCTCCACCAGTTAGTGTTGATTTCGCCGACCATCGGAGGGGCTCCCGGCCATGTACGGTCTCAAAGCGCGGGCAGGTTCCCGGAACTCTTGTCCAGAAGCCGACGGAGTTCTGGCCAGGAGGCCGTCCATGGCCGGTCTCATGTCCGATCGTATCCTCCGCCGGTTGTTTCTCTCACATCAACATCGACTTGTACACAAACCAGACAAGTTGCCAACCGTAGCAGTTTCCGATCTCGACATGGATTTTCAGGCGCATAGTTGTCAGTCTTCATATTTGCACGCGAAAGACGCAAAAGCGAATGCGATGTCTGCTAAGTGAGCAAGCTCAAGAATTCTTAGACTGCAAAGTTGGCCTTTATCAAGATGAAGATGGCCTGATACTCCTTCGTTATTTCAAGGCTGTTTGGAACATGCACTCTGGGCTGTTCCACGTGATGGCCGAATGCACATTGGCTGCGATCCCACCTTCCCCGAGGATAAGGGGGCACACGCATAATTCTCAAACAGCCCAGCAAGCCACCCAAAATTTCCCGCGTTACATTTCCCTTCGATGCCCGAAGAGCTGCACAGTCGGCATTCCACATACACCCATAGCGGTCAAAGTCCAAGTAAGTTACACCCAATTTGGAAGCCCTGACCAATGGCGCGAGTCTCACGTCGAACCAACCCTGCGCGCCTGTCTCTCACCACCCTGGTCTCGGCGCCTACAATGCAGTGTGATGGTCGGACTGATTGGCCCAGCCCGCATCTCAGAATCTATTTTGGTATGGCACCTCGACCGTACTCCCTTCCATCCCCTCCATCCTTTTGTCGCTTTCACCACTCACCATGGCCCGTCTAGTAAGCCAGCGCTTACCAGGCCTGCCGTGGGTGACCTGCCGTTGAACTAGAGCAGCGCTGCCGGGTTAATAGGCAGGAGAGTATATACTCTCTCTTGGTATCGTTGCCGGTTGTATGTTTACATATCTTTCTCTCTCTTTCACATGGCTGTCTTTCACTAGTACTGCAAAAATAAACAACAAGTCTGCTTATTCTTAGGTGCCAGAGTTGGGACCATGCATCCGTAGCATCTGGACTACTCCTTCTTCGTTCATTCACACAATCCCCCATATTTGTGAAAGAACTGGATATCGTTGAACAGGGGGCGAATCCAACATTCGACTCGAGCCGCAGCAAGCCCAGCAAGCATGTCAACTCAGCCACCTTCTGGAGGGTACTCACTCTTCCCGAACCCCAACGCGAAGCCTCCAGCGATGCGGAGGCCAGCATCCCGAACTCGAAGATCAGAGTCCCGCGAGCGCACCCGCGCTGTGTCTCCTGAGAGCATACATCCAGTTGACCAAGCGTCTCCACCGCGCCATGGCAGACAGACACCGCAGCAAAGAGTCCAGTCGCCGGTTGAGCGGTCCCAAACTCCACAAAGCGTCCACCAGGCCCAAACTAGTGAACAGGATACAACACCAAGTAGACGTGAGGTGCCAGCGCCGCCTACAACAGCGGCAGCACCTATCCAACGGCCCCCTCCCGTCGCCGACATACCACCTCGGTCAGACACCGCCTTCTCTCAAGCCCACACTCTGGTGCGAAGCAACAGCACTCGTTCTCGGAGCTCAATAGCAAAGATTCCAATCCCGGAGGAGTCGTCATCGTCTTCACAAGAGCAGCCTGCCCTGCGGTCCATCTTCCCTCGGTATAACCCCGAAGTGCCGCTCAACCAACAAGACTACTTCCCTACCCAAACCAGCCCGACTCATATCCCGCGAGCGGTGATCAACCGGACCACCTGGTATCCGGACCCGGAGGGTGATGGCCAGAATAACCAGCACAGAAGCCCCATGAGGAGTCCGCTGAGCGGTGGCTCAACACAACGATGGCCCAGACGAAACATTGAACCGCCTATTATTCCCAATGTCTCAACAAACGAGCGTATGAAAAGCCTATGGAAGGTATCCAACGGCTGGAAGGCGCCGCCTTCTGAGGGCAGAGTATACTGCATGAAGCTCTCCCAGGAGAAGGATGCGCCTGTCTACACCTTATCCTCGTCATCACAACCATTCTACAATCTCCGACTCGATCCTACTTCTGCCTCAGCATACGTCACTCTCAGCCGCCACGACCCCGCCAAGATTTACAAGGCCCCTAATCCCATGGCAAGCTCGTCAGCAAGTAGCATCCTCTCCGGCGTCGTCGGCCACAAAGATCATGGCAAGGGCGCCGAAAACAAGCACTGGCAGGAAGTTCTCACGACGACGCTCGAAGAGGAGTCCCGCAAGCATCCGCCCAACGACGGCCTGGTGGCCCTCCTCTACCCCCTCGCGGCTGCCAAGATGGCCCTTGACAAGCCGGACGACATGAACGCCATTATGACAGCTGAGACGGAATGCGCCCGCCTCGTCTGGGACGAGGATTCTGGCTCGCACTTCCTGGTACATCCGGCTCTTGCGACGCCCTTCTGCGTCACCATCGAGCGCTCGCCCGCCTGGAGCCGCGTGGAGTACACACTCGAGCACCACGAGTCGCCACAGCACCTTGCCAAGCTGACACGTGATGGCACCGGCAGTGGCTACCTCGAGGTTGACACGGCCATCGCCGCCAAGATTGACAGTTTCTTCCTTGTCGACGTTGCCGTTACGGCGCTGTTGCTCGTCGCGACTGCAGACGAGAAGAACACCAAGATCGAGACGTTTGAGCCGCCGCCGGCGCCGCGGGAGCCCATGGGCGGAGAGCGGCGGCTGAGCAAGAGAGAGGAGAAGAAGCGAGCCGCCGCCGCCGCACGGAGGGGCAAAATGGAGGAGTTTGAGATTGACATTGAGAGCCAGGATAGCAGCTTTGCAAAGCTGGAGCAGGCTGGCAAGGAGGCGCGCGACGGCTTGCCGTGGCCGCTGAGAGCGCTCTTTAAGGTCGTGGCGGGGCTGTTCAAGTGCCTTGTATGGTTCCTGACACTGGGCTTTAAGGCGCTTGCTATCATTGTCAAGGGGTTGGCCAAATGTGTGGGTGTCAAGTCAGAATGAAGAAAGACAAAAAGAACAATTCGGGATGAGCTTGATGGAAATGAGATACCACTTTTCTCGACGCATGAGTTTTCTGGGGTTTTCCCTCTCTGGTCGGGGGGTGTTGGAATAATGGGATTTTTTCCTTATGAGAGACCTTGTCCAGGACTAAGGACAGGAGCGATGATATTCATTTTTTGTACATCTAGATTTATACTCCGGGGTGCCTGGGTATCGCATGACGACGTTTCTGAGCCTGGGCTATCCTTTTTTCCATAACCGCTCAGATATTAGGATTGAAATGAAGACATGAAGAACACCGAAAAACGCAACCGAAAACTTTTGTTCGCCAACCGCCCAATTCTTGAGACATGACACATTCAGTTTACCGCTTGCGCGTCCGGACCATAATCTTCTTGCCCTTCTTCGTCGCGCCGCCCGAGGTCGCCGTCTTGGCCATCTTAGCACGCTGTATCTCGAGGCCCTCCTCCGCCTTGGCCAGAACCTTGAGTTTCTTTTTCGCATTTTGTAGTTGTAGCCGTAACCGCTGGAGTGTCTTTTCCTTCTGTGCCTGGGTGTCGTCGCTGGCGGCCTGCTTGTCGTCGTCATCGTCGAATCCCTCAAACTCGTCCTCATCACCCTCGTCCCCATCCAGATCCATCGCCTCCTGCTGAGCGGCCTCCGCCTTGGCCTCCGCGCCGTCCAGGAACACAATCTTCCTCGGCGCCGCAGATCGGTTGTCGATTTCCTCGTCACTGTCGTCCGCATCGTTGTTGCTGTGGCTCGCCGCCTCGATACCGCCGACTAGCACGATCTGCTCCTCGAGGCGTTTTACCTCTTTGGAAATGACGTTGCGCATGGTACGCACGTAGCCGACGTCCTGCGTCTTGAGGAGACGCACCGTCTCCATATCCATCGCCTTGTTGCCGCGGTCGCCGGCGACGGTGCCGGACCACTTCCTGCCGTCCTTCAGGCGCGAGCCCATGGAGTTGCGGCTAAGCATGCCGAAGTAGAACTCATCCTCGTTGCGTTCGGCAGCCTTTTGGCGCAGGGACTTGATCTGGGACTTCTTCTTGTTGTAATCTTTGGCACGGAGGGAGTAGTCCTGTAAAAAGAGCAGTTAGCGACTATGTCTAGATTGCAGCAGAGCGTGCTTGACGAACCTTGTGCTTCTCGAGGAGGCCAAAACGTTGGCGCTCCAAGGGCTGGGCACGCTCCCTATGGGAGCGCCGCTGAACGGCGTTGCGCATCGACGACATGATTCTGTCCTCTCGGTTTGGGCGTATGGAAAGGGTATCGGGACTGCAAATACGACGCTCCTCGAAAAGGCGACAAATTGCACTGGCGATCCTGGGTTTGGGAGGTGGGATGCGGCAGAAATTTGAAAATATTTGGCGGTCAGAGAAAGCTGCAGCCACGTGGGTGTGGCTTGTGAGCGCAACTTGCCTTAAACCCGCCTCGGTCGCTCGGTCCGGTGGGGGTACCCCCCACTGCACCGTCTCACTCTCGGGTCCGCCGTTCCATTTCCCACCTTTCTCCACTCTTGCACCGTCGGCCGACACCGACTGAGTCCAGTCAGCTTTCCCAAGTTTGCGTGCCTTGAAACATGTCAGGTGCCGTGAAACGACACCCTCTTGACGGCTCGAGCATTCAACCCAGTCTAGGTAGTTCAATTACAGAATACGGTTAATGACGGCATCTGCCATGATCCATTTGACATGGCATTTACACCTGGCCTGACATGTCAGCTCAACCACTTAAAGGCAGTCACCTACAGAAATTCCTCCTATCTTCATCGTTGCATCCGCAATCGTCTCTCATCTAACGTAACAGTGACAGCACATCACCTCCCTTCACCTGCCTGTAGTCTTGACAGCATCTAATGGTCTCAGCTTATGTTCTTAGTCTAGCGTTGGTCCAGTTATGTCCGGCACTCCGCCTTCCTAAGGGGTCCAATCGCGAGGTAGGTCCCTCGATGCCAACAGTCCGAGAGATCTAACCCCCTCCTTGCACGGACAGCCCCAGGACTAGTGACAACATAATCATGGGTCACCCCTCATGTTTCACAGAAGGGAACGCGCCAGAAGCAGCAGACCTTCGAGACGTCAAACGCCGCAAGAGGCAAAAAATTAACATGCGATTCACGGACTTTGCTGTCGAAATCCGATGACGAAAGAGTCTTTTACAAAACTGTCCGGCGCGCCTGTCCTGTACCCTCCTTTCCAGCCCCTTGTTTTCCATATGTCAATCCTGCTGCATCTTAGTCCATTCTTCGCTCAAAATGGTTGCAAAATTCCACTTGCGAAGCTACTCCCCACCGACATATCGGGTGCTCGCGCTGCTCGTTGTCTTTGTTGTGTTGTCGGTCCTGCTATTACGGGACAAGCCGGTGCTGCTTGATGATGACGGTATTGCTATTCCTATCCTCCAGGCCACCAAGAGCAGCTATGACTGGTCTACACACCCCAAAAGCATCCAGTCCCTCTGGCCGAGATGACACGACTCCCCAATGGAGAGCCCCTCGATCTTCCCAAGATACAATTCGAATTCGCTTCAGACCGCTTAGATAACCTGAAGAGGAGGGATATCGGCCTAATGAGCTCCCGCCGCCATGAGGTGCGCAACGCCTTCATGAAGAGCTGGCAGTCATATACCCGACATGCCTGGGGATACGACGAATTGCAACCTCTATCCTTGAGGGGCAGAAACCGCTACAACGGCTGGGGGGTCACCCTGGTCGACTCGCTCGACACACTCTGGTTGATGGGGTTGTACGACGATTTCAACAAGGCAGTTCAGTACGTCAGCACGATTGACTGGAACAACGCGACGGAGTCGAGGTGTAACGTCTTCGAGACGAACATTCGGTACCTGGGAGGGCTTCTGTCAGCATACGACCTAAGCAACGAACAGGTGCTTCTCGACAAAGCCATCGAGCTCGCCAACATGCTTTATGCCGCTTTCGATACACCAAACCGATTTCCTCCGTACACCTTCAGCTTCGCAGAGCTCAAGGCGGGGAGAATCTTGCCTGACCCCTACCAAAGCGCTGCCGCCATTGGCAGCATGTCTTTGGAATTCACAAGAATTTCTCAGTTGACGGGAGAATTCAAGTTTTATGACGCCATTGAGCGCATCAAACTAGCCTTTGATCGTATCCAAGATGAGACGATGCTGCCGGGCATGTGGCCGAATTTCATCAACGTTCGCGAAGACTTCCAGACGACCAACAACGTCTTCAAGCTAGGCGGAGACGGCGATTCACTCTATGAGTACCTCCCGAAAATGCACGTCTTGCTCGGCGGGCTAGACACTTCCTATGAGAAAATGTACAAGGGCGCAGCTAAAGCAGCCAAAGCCCATCTCCTATACCGGCCAATGACACCACAAAAGGATGACATCTTGCTGCTCGGCACCGCCATTGTCAACGAGAAACTCAGGAAGATTGATCAAATACCGGAAGTCGAACACTTATCCTGCTTCGCCGGCGGCATGTTCGCCATGGCCGGCAAACTCTTCGGCATCCCTGATGATGTCGAGGTCGGTGACAAGCTCGCGCGCGGGTGCGCGTGGGCGTATAAATCCTTCAAGAGCGGCCTCATGCCAGAGAAGGCCCAGGTCGTCAAGTGCGACACCGTAGAACTTTGTGAGTGGGACGAGCAGAAATGGGTTGCGCAGAGCAGCCAACATGCGCCACGTGGGTTCTGGCGCGTCGATGACGCCCACTACAACCTGCGGCCCGAAGGTATCGAGAGCCTTTTTATCCTTTATCGGATCACTGGCAGGGAGGACCTGCTCGATATGGCGTGGGATATGTTCCAGGCCATCCAGAAGGCAACGCGGACGGACGACGCCCACGCAGTGATTGTCGACGTGACGTACAGCCAGTCACGACAGGAGGATACGATGGAGAGCTTCTTCTTCGCAGAAACGCTGAAGTACTTTTACTTGATTTTCTCGGACCCCGAGTTGATCAGTCTAGACGAATGGGTCTTCAACACGGAAGCCCATCCTTTCAAACGGCCTACAGCACCCTGAAAGAATAGGGCGTTGTGTAAACTTCCACAATGGAACACAAACACATTGTAATAATAGGCGACACTCAACCCGGTAAAGACACCGAAGACACGTCGCTGGCATCATGCGAATTTCACTCCATATCTATCTATCAGAAGATAGCACAGGCACCTACGAGCCTTTGATACCCACAGTCCACACTTGGCAAGCATTGTCTATCATTTAGGAGTTCAGGGGTATCAATTCTGTGTCCTCGAAAATGTTCGTATCGGACCATCCGGTTAAGCACAACTTCGGTTACTAGGGTTATGAAGACTCTGGTACGCTTCATGGTGTTGAACTGAGTTTTCCTCAATAGAGAAACAATTTCCGAGAAACCTGTTGTAAGTGTTGCCTGATGGAAGCCAAGCCTCGATCCAAACCGAGGACCGGGTTGTGTATGCTCGATGCACTCGAGAAACCCACATCCTGTGAATCTGGAATGGGTCATCTTACGTGTTGGCGCCTCCTTAGCAGCTTATAGATTCAAAGTCTCCGGTCTGCTAGTGGAGCAGCAAACATAAAGATTGGCACTCCGTACGCCGCAATTCGCCTGATATACTGTGTCCAAAACACCTTCATGGAATAGCACGGGCAGCACAGGTCATAAAGCCGACTCATGAGAGGTGACTCGATTCGCCAACATGATTGGCGTAGAAGCAGGGGCACCTCGTGATATTTCGCGCTCCTTCTAAATGCGTTACTCCTCGTTTCGAGGAAGTCGGGTATGTAGCAAGCCGCTCAACTATGCCCCAGGTCACATCAAATCCTCCTCCTCATCATCCTCAGCCACTTCTTCCTCGCCTTGCTTGAAGACCACCTTCTCCGCCAGCGCCAGCGTCTGCCTCACGGGCAAGCCGACGACGTTGTCAAAGCTGCCCTCGATCTTTTCAACGAGCAACATCCCACCAATGCCTTGCACTGCGTATCCGCCCGCCTTGTCGGCGCCTTCTCTCGTCTTGACGTACGCATCAATCACGTCGTCCGGCAGCCCATTGGACTTCTGCGCAAAGTACACTTTGGTCTCCTCTGTATGGTTCCCAATCTCGTAGCCTGGCGACCGCGCGTCCTCTCTCGGCGCGATGACGCACACAGATGTGAGCACGCGGTGCACGCGGGTGTCCCTCAGGTGGCGCAGCATCTTGATGTGCTCAGCCTCGCTACGCGGCTTCTCCAGCACGCGGCCGTCACGGGTTACGATGACGGTGTCGGCAGCGATAACGACATCGGGGTCTGGGATCGAGGCAAGGTGCGTCTGCAGGGCCGTCTCGTATACATCGAGGCACTTTTTCCGCGCCGTCTCGGAGACGTACTCGTAAGGCCCGTAGGCTGACTTGTCGAGATCCTCGGGTTTTGTCGAGGGTGTGATTTCGAGGTTCGTAAGGCCGACCTGTCCAAGGAGTGCACGCCGCCGCGGCGAGGCGGAGGCGAGAATCACGCGCTTGGACTTGAGGTAGGAGATGATCGGAAGGTTGAGGGGTAGCGGTGCCCGCAGGCCGGGACCACCGGCCGCAGCGGATGGCGCCCGTGGTCGGTTCAGGTGCTCGGTAGCCTTGACGTATTCCGGTGGGGATCGGCTGTAGTCTTGGTGTCGACCATCTTGGCGTATGTGAAGTTGCAGGCGGTCCTGTGGTGGAATTGGAGAGACTTTGGGAGAATTGGCAGAAATAGAGTTGCGTGTGGCTTACTTCCCCGTCTTGAGAGTTCGTGCGGATAATATGGGAATACGATCGAGGACACTTATCGGAAAGAAAGGAGGTTTGGCGGATTGTGGGCCGGCATCCGTAGAATTTCTGGATAAGAAATCACAATGCCAATGAGGTCACAAAGCTTGGGCCGTGCCAACCCCGCCGGATCCATAACTCTTTATCTTATCTGTTCTTTCTTTCCCTAGAGAGCGTTGGCATTCCAGCTGCCAGCCAGCCCTGCGGACGGAAACATACGTGCTGCAGGAACCTTACCGTACAGGGGTGGTCTTGGTATTTTTGGAGTACCGCAGTGCGGAGGAGGGAGGATCTGATCTCAGAGACATCCCGCTTTGGTGCGAAACGGCATGTGATCGTGCGAAACACACCACATCCTCCTCTTCTTGACGTTGAGCCAGCCCACGACATTGCTGCTCATAAATCCATCTCACTTACAGCATTCTCATGTCTCAATAGAGAGCGAATAGCGCCTGCATCATGTCTTCTCCCAATAAGTCACACTCCCCGTCCGCTGCCGCAGATGCTGAGCAGCCAGAAGAGAAGCCGCGCCTTACCGAGGCGGAGAAGAAGCAGAATCATATTGCGTCTGGTACGTCCAGCTTTCTGCGCACGAAAAAGCTTCAGCACGCGTCGCGCTTCTGCACGCGCAATTTTAGACTCACGCATCGCCTTGGGTGCGTCACACAACAAGGCTAACACGTGCCCGCAGAACAAAAGCGACGACAGGCCATTCGTGAGGGCTTCGATCGCCTGACGGAGCTGGTGCCCGGCCTGGAGGGCCAGGGCCGCTCCGAGGGCCTCGTACTGAAGAAGACTGTGGAATTTATGAAAGAGCAGCTCAGACAGCGCCAGGAGTTGGTGGATCGCATCGAGAGCACCGGTGGTGAGGTCGACGAGAAGTACAAGCGGTGAGTACTCCAAGCCGGAGGAATCGGCCCAACCACAAGCGTCGAGCTTTTACTGATACTTGTCTCCAGGCCGCTATATCACCAGCAGGCGAACAGCACCTCCAACAGGACCAGGTGACATGACAAAGAGTCGACGAGGGTCGTTGCGTGTGATTTCCGTTGGGGTTCAATTACGGAGTTAAGGTTAACCGGTGAAGAGATACCTTGGGCATGGGTTGAGAATCAGCAGTGTTTTGTCAAGCGGGCTTCAAAGGAGGATCAATGGCGGTCTATTCACATCATAGCTTTAATACATAACGCTCAACAGGCGTTGTTGTGGAAGTAGTGTACAGTTCTACATTTTGTTATACACGGCGCGTGTTTTCTATTGGTACGTCGCCACCATTTCCTGCATCTTCTCGCGCAAATCCACGGGCGACATGTCGTCACGAGCCTTCTTCTTGCCGCCGGTCTCCTTGCTAGACGGCCGCTCGCTGACATCGACGGTCACGGTCCCGTTCTGGACATTTTGCTTCCCCACCACGGCGATGACGCCGAATCCCTTCTCTCTCGCCTCCGCCAGCTTCTTCGCCAGCGGCCGTGGGCTTGCGTCGACCTCAACCGCGAAACCCGTCGGACGGGGTTGTCTCGGGTTGTTGGAATCCCTCACGCGGTCGTGTCCCGTCAGAACATCCTTGATGTCGGACGCCCACTGGACCACGGGCTCCGTGTCGTTCAGCGTCAGAATAGCACATTGACGGGGGTTCAGCCAGAAGGGCCATTTGCCCTTGTACTCCTCAATCAGCAGCGCCATCAGACGCTCAACTGAGCCCAAGATGGCACGGTGGACCATGACGGGTGTGACTGGCCCGTAAGCCTCGAGCTCAGCTGGGTCTGCCTGCTCCAACGGCAATCCCTGAGCCTCCAACTTGGGCGCCGGCGCTTGGTACTCGAGGTTGAATCTCTGCGGAAGCTGGAAGTCAAGCTGGATTGTGCCAGCCTGGTGCGACTTCCCGTGAGAGTCGTGGAGCATAACATCGATCTTGGGACCGTAGAAAGCGCCGTCCCCTTCCTTAATGGTATACTTCAGCCCGGCCTGCTCCAGCGCATCGCGCAGCTGCCCCTCCGCCCGCTCCCACTCGCTATCTGTGCCAATGTAATGGTCCGCCGGCCGCGTCGACAGCGCGAAATCGAAGTAATCCAGTCCCAGCGCACCGTAAACCGTCTTCATGAAGTCGAGCGTCTTGAACACCTCCTCGCGGATCTGGATCGGCCGGCAAAAGATGTGACCGTCGTCTTGATGGAAGCGGCGCACGCGCGTCAAGCCGCTGAGCGCGCCCGAGATCTCGTTGCGGTGCAGTGGGCTGAAGTCGGCGTATCGGATGGGGAGGTCGCGGTAGCTCCTATTCTTGGATGCGAAGATGAGGCAGTGACCCGGGCAGTTCATGGGCTTGAGGCCGTAGTCGTCGTCCTCGCCCTCAGCCGTCCGGGCCGCCTCGCCGCTGCCCTCGCGCGGCGGGTCCCTGCCATCAGCACCGCAGCAGCTTGCTGCTTTCTCCTCGGGCGCGCGCGCGCGACTGGTGACGGTGTACATATCGTCGGCATAGTTTTGCAGGTGGCCCGACACCTCCCACAGCGACTTTTTGTAGATGTTTGGCGTGATGACCTCGTCGAAGCCGTAGTGGACATACTGCCGCCGCAGGAAGTCCACCAGGCGGTTGAAGACCCGCGTGCCGTTCGGAAGGAATATCGGCGAGCCGGGGCTGTAGACGGAGGTGGTGAAGAGCTCCTGCTGAATGCCCAGCTTCCGGTGGTCGGGCAGGTCATCTTCGACGGTGGAAGGCGTGGCCGGCGCGGCGGCCGGTTTCTTGTCGGAGTACCATTGTCTCGGAAGGTATTGCGGCCTCAAAGATGGGCCTCGGAGGCTCGGTAGCGCGCGTGAAGCTGTTCGGACAGCCCGTGCGGGAAGCATGGCGCAGATTGTTGGCAATTGGACGTCATGTCATTCGACCTGAAGGTCTCGAGAGGGAACTCGAATTTGTGATGCCAGGGTCTTGAGAGCTCACAGACGAAAGAGTCTAGCGCCATTTCTGTCTACAGGGTCTGCACGGACTTTGCGCCTCTTTTCAGTTCGCCAACCGTGAACGCTGAATTTCGACCATTCTCACCAATACAATCGACGCATTCGAGCCTAGGTTATGGACGAGAACTTCTGTGCCGTCTTGTAATCCGAATGTATAAATTCGGTTTCAATCAAATCCGTTCCCGTTATCAACTGAGCCTTCCGGGGAGATAGGGACTTAGTATCTCCTACACAATATAGGGATTGTGTCTAGAGCGGGGAGTTAGGAGCAGATGAGCGCAAATTTGGTTCCAGACCGCTGTGCTTAAGGGTTGCTCACAGGTCGAGCTCCCGCAGTTCTTTTCACTAACAGATGTCCAAAATGCATTCTGAGCTTCTCCATCGGAAGAAGGTTCCCCTCACTGTCAGTGACAACAATGGGGATGGCAATCCTAGCATTAGGTTGGTGTGTTAAGTATCTCCCTTGCAGATGCCAACTATTCAATCAGGTCATCTCGCAAGAGCCGAGCACCCACCAACTCAAGTGCTCGATCTAATTGGCGGGTTTGTGCTGAGCCAAGTCCTCACATTTATGCGCTAAGTTGACTTCCCCTGGTGTTGGCGATGAAGCGTGAAGTGCCTGAAATCGGAGTGAGCAAGTGGACCAGGCGAATTTGGGTACCAGTCTTGGGTGGAGTTTGGATTGCGATGAAGCGATTCACAAGGATCAGTACTGGTTTTCCTAACGGTCTTGAACAAACTCATGCTACGAATTGTGAGAGGTAGGAATATGAGAAACATGAGGTCGCACAGCACCAAGCCTGGGAATGTATCGAGACCAGGGACGAAACAGCCAGTTTTATTTAGCCTAGGTATCTAACCATGGTAGCAAGAAAATTCAGTTTCTGTAAGTAATCGTCTTCGTTCTCACCCATTCCTCCAAGCCCGTCGAGTTGAACCTTCCAAAGCCGCTCGATTTGACACCGCCATGGGGCAATCCACTCTCATCGTGAACAGTCATGTTATTGATGTGGACGGCTCCTGATTCGATCTCCTTGGCGAATCGCAGACCTGTACGCAGATCCTCCGTAAAGACAGCAGACGTCAGACCATACTCGGTGTCGTTGGCAATCTTCAGCGCTTCCTCCTCGGTCTCGACCTCGAAGAGCGAAACGGACGGACCGAAAGACTCGGTCTTGTAGATGTCCATGTCTGTGCTGACGTTCTTGATGACAATCGGCCGCAACCTGGTCTTGGACGTTTCCTCAGCATCGACATTGCCCGCGACGACGGCGGCGCCCTTGCCAACCGCATCCTTGATGAGTTTCTTGTTCTTTTCAACAGCGACTGCGTTGATGAGAACGGGCGCATCGGATTTTGTTGGAAAGATCTTCTCAATCGAGGCAGACAGCTTAGCCTGGAACTCCTCGCTGACCTTCTTGTGAACGATGATTCGCTCTGTGCTCATGCAAATCTGACCTCCGTGGAGGAAAGAGCCGACTGCGCATTGATCCGCGGCCAGGTCGAGGTTGGCGTCCTCCCATACAATGGCCGGAGCCTTGCCTCCCAGTTCAAGCAACACGGGTTTCAGGTGCTCGCCTGCCTGCTTGGCGATGATGCGCCCGACGACGGTGCTGCCGGTGAAGTTGATCTTCTTGACTTCAGGGTGGGCGATCAGAGATGTTGTGATTGCGGCGGCGTTGGCAGGCTCGTGAACAATCACGTTCAGCACACCTTTGGGCAGGCCAGCCTCATGGAAGCAAGATACCATCTCCACAAGCGTTCGCGGAGAAAACTCCGAGGCCTTGAGAATGGCTGTATTGCCAGCTGCGATGGGAAATGCAATTGATCTTGCTCCCAGTATGAAAGGGGCGTTCCTGCAACTAAGTTAGCTCTCACGTCGATGGCATCTGGCGTAATCTACTGACCAGGGCGCAATCGCAAGAACGACTCCATAAGGCTCCTTCAAAACGATGGCACTGAGGTTCGGGTCGTTTGTTGCCGGGACGGAACCCTCCACGGTAACAAGGCGTCCGCCAACGTCCTTGACACAGCCAATGCCCAGGCCCAGGATAAATTCGGACCACCCAGCAGCCGCGCCGGTTTCTTCAGACATGATGCGAGCCAGCTCCTCCTTGCGACTCTCCATAATGGCGGCAGCCTTCAGAAAGATGTCTCGACGCTGAATCAACGTCGTCTTCTTCCAGCTCTTAAATGCTTTGGCAGCAGAGTCGACTGCCGCAAGGGCATCCTTTTCAGTTGCGCTGCCACATTTGTGAACAGCCTTTCCGGTGGCGGGCGACACGACGTCGAATGTCTTTTCAGGAACGACCTTTTCACCGTCAATGAAGAATGGAACGGTGTAGTCCCCGCCTGACGAGGTACCGTTGATTTGAGTCGACATGGCTAGGTGTGATGCGGAGACGAGTTAAGCTTCTCAGTCAGGGGTATCACGAAGAGAAAACAAAGTTGTAGTATCGAAGGAGCGTGTTGCAGCCAGAGAAAGCTGAGAGTAGCTGAATTCAGCTGACAATTGGATTCTTATAGTCTTGCAGTAGACAATGTGGTAGCTACCGATTGACATGGGACACTTGCTAACTCCAGACCCTTGCCTTTGCGATATGCCGATGGTCAACGCCATTTTCTTAGTGCACGGAACCCCGCACGCAGAAAGTGGGCACGGGGAGAAACTCTGAGACGCCCAGGTACAAAGTAGCTGCCTACTTCCCAATGGCTCAAGGACATTGTCACCAACTGCTTTGAAATTTGGTAGAACAAGTGGATTGTTCTGCGCAACTAACCCTGGCAAGAATAAGACAGCTGTGGTTCCAGGCAGGGATACGGGATGGGTACCTCTTTTCACCTAGTAAAGTAGCATCGCCGGCCTGCTGACGCCCCATTGTGCTGACGGTCGGTTCACGAATCATACTTCGACAATTCGAGGCCGAGGTCTAACGGCTGAATGAGCAATTAGAACCTCTATTTACTTTCAGCTAGTGGTGCAGTCATCCTCGTCCGTTCTATCATTGACCGAGGATGACGTTAAGACGAATAACGTAGGGGGATCTATGCGTTCCCGAATTAGCCGGGTGTGGGCATGCTGCAACTCCGAACCCGAGGATTTAGCCCTGCGTAAACCCCGAATGCTTAGTATCCGTTGGGTATTCGTTGGATAGTGGACCTTGTCAAAGCAAGACTTGGGCCGAAGGTGCCGGGTAGGTGGCGGCCGAAGCTTTAATCTCCAAAGCGGATGGCGTTGAACCGCGGGGACGGATCCTGGGGTACCAAACTAAACGCCGATGACAGTTACCGGAGAACACTCGGACTCTGTGCTTGTTGGAGTAGAGTGCACCAAGCTTGACCACCGGGCGTGTTGCCTTGGCGGCTGTCTTATCCACGAGAAAGGGTATGAACAGGCCTTTCAACCGTCGTGAGATATCTAAAATGGCTCTATCCTCTCATTTCTGAACGGCCATAGTGTTAGGAGGCCATCTCGCATTGACTACGTGGCAATCTCCGAGATCTTCAACCAGTTTTGGCTCTCATTGTCGTCATGACTTGCCGCTCCATTTCTTGAAGACAGCCGGATCAACAAATGGCTGGGGCACAGCTGTCGAGTCTACTTGAAGTACTTCGACTACGACGACAGTCAGTTTCGAACTGCGTGCCGCGACTGAGACACAATGTCTCACCTGGCTTGGGTAGCGATCCCGGCATAGCAAATTGGACGTCACGAACTCCTTTGGGGTTTTCGGTGTAGGAACCATTGCCCCGATAGAGAGGCGGCAATGCGAGTTCGACCTTCACCGGCAGCTTCGAAGTCTCTTTTGCCTCTGTTTTCGGCATGGCCAAGATCGTAGAGTAACGTGAGTGCTGAAGATGGGTTGGCTAAATGCAATATCTGACAGGCCAGCAGGCGCAAGGGCGAAACCTGGGGCTTTCGGGATGCTACGAGTCAAGTTTCTGGGCAAGTCTTGAGAAAAAAGCGTTCGTCTAACCAGATATGCGAACAGGTCAGTCCTGAGTTGCTGTCATGGCAAAGGAAAGAGTCGCATCAATTGGACCTGCGAGTTGCGAGCTGCCGAGGACCCCCGCTTGTGATTAGTCACAGGCCCACGCCTTTCCGCCAACAACGGGCCACTTCAACTGGCGCTCACCTGCTGACTGATCCAATTTTAACCTATAATGTCCACTTTGGGATTTTGGACTTGTCATTACTGGAGCGTTCGCCCTTGGCAACATGACAGGAGCAGCGGGCGCGTGGGAACTATTGCCCAGATGCAAAGCAAGGCGTGTGGGTATGAAACGAAACAAGAACGATATCGGATCAACAACTTGTCAATCCCCAATTTAACCAACTCTTTCAATCGGGTCTGCTATCTCGATACTGAGTGCAGGGGCTCATCCCACGAGTCTGTGCTTTCTTTTGACAGTAGCTACCACTGGGCAGAGAAACCGGTGAGAGTCTGGTTAGAATGGTTGATAAGCCTTTCCCTGTTCGGCAGCTGACATGTGTGAACATCGTGCTAACCCCGCCCGCTGCAGAAGATGAAAGCGGGGAGATACAGGCCAGCTGAGCCAATGGGATGACGAAGTCCAGCCATTTCCCCCGCGGCGCCCCCCATCAAAAAAGTCCAACGGCTGGGCAAGCGCAAAGAGGTCTCTTGTCCACAGCAAATCTTGCCTCGCTCTTCAGGTCAAAATCAGAAAGCAAACTTCCCCGCCCTCCGCATTCGGCCACACCAGCTCCCACCTCACATCAACAATTCCAACACACACGTCGCGACACCGGACCGCCGCCCCAGTGAGTTTGGCTCACCGTCACAAACATCTCCGATTGCCGAGTCTTTCCTGCGAGCTCCGTTCGCGCCTCACGCCGCGCCCGGCCCGGGAGGGGGTCCCCGAACCCGCCTCTGCTGCGTATCGTCTTGTCTCACCCCGACTGACCGTCCGCCGTGCCCTGCATGGACGGTCTGGCAATCGTATCTGCCGGCGGGGCCACGCCCGTCTCGCCCGCAAGTCCCACGAACGCCCGCCATGCTCCCAACGGACCTCCCAAGAGGAAGCACAGCAGCATGGCCTTGGATAGTAGCCCGGGCAGCAATGTAGGTCACGACGACGAGAATGGCGATCAAGATTCTAAGAAACGCCAGCCCGGCGTGAAACGCGCTTGCAACGAGTGCCGACAACAGAAAGTGAGTCACACGGCGAACCACAGCCATTGCAAGAGGTACTCAACTAACAATACCTCAATTGGAACAGCTGCGATGCGATGTTGTCCAAGAGCCCTTTCAGAGTTGTTCCCGGTGCAATCGTCTCAAGCTCGAATGCAAGATTGAGTCAAACTTTAAGCGCATTGGCAAGCGCTCGAAGCACGCCGAGATGGAGAAGGAGATCGATAGGTTACGTCGCAATATTGCACGCGCCCAAAACCAGGGCTATACCGTCGAGGACGATGATCACGACCTACAATCTCCAATCGCAACGAGCGTGTATACCCATACCCGCAACCCCTCTCTCATGGGCTCTGATGAGGCTGTATCCTCGTTGCTGCATCTCAAGAGGGGCGGGTCGTACAGTCTGCCGCGCTACACACACGAGCTGGAGAATGTTCGTCTGACCGAAGAGTCAGTGAACCAGCTGTTCAACGAGTTCTTCGCATACTATCATCCTTTCCTCCCATTCCTCAACCCCCAGCAGACACCCGACCAGTACTTTCAACAACACGCTCTGCTCTTTTGGTCCATCATCTCGGTTGCTGCTCGTCGATACAGCGCAGACCCTACGCTGTTGACCTCAATATCAGGGCCTTTGACAAGGTTGTTATGGTCAACCATTGGAGATGTTCCCAGCAGCTACTTCGTTGTCAAGGCTCTGTGTCTGCTGTGCACATGGCCTCTGCCGACCAGCACGACAAGTGCTGATCCAACGCACATTCTGTGTGGTGTCATGATGAAGGTTGCGACAGGCATTGGTCTTCACAGGCCTAACCACAGCCAAGACTTTTCCAGGGTATCCGTTGATCTTAACAAAGAGCAACTGCATGATCGGGTAACAACTTGGGCTGTCTGCAACATTGTCGCTCAAACCATCGGTACTGGCTATGGTCAACCGGCCTCGACCCTCTACGATTGGACTCTGGCAGTTCGTCGGGGCGAGGACGGCCCTTTTCGTTTGACCCCTGAATTGGAGGCCAGGCTTCAAATCGAACGGTTCTGCGATAAGGTCTCCAAGGAGATGTACAGCAATGCCAGTGATCCTCGAGGAGTCGCTGGGGATGAGCATCGAGCCATGTTGATGCGGGTGTACCGGAAGGATTTCAACGAACTTCAGGCGGCCATCCTCTCACAACACTTAGGGCCAATCGTCAACCTCCATATGCGAGCCGCCGCCCTTCACTTACGCTTGGCTGGCTTCTTTGATTCGAGCACAACACCTGGCTATATTGACGATCTAATGGGGCTCTGGAGAGCCACGACGAGTTTTCTGGATAATATTCTCGAGGTCGACAAGGTCACATCACCCGGACAGAACTCACCCGGGCAGATCCTGCTATATGCGACAAACTATATCCAACAGATGTTGATTGCGGCAGGGTTTGCTCTGCTCAAACTCATGCGGTCATTTTTTGCAAAAACGATCGACTTTGATCGTGGCCGCAACCTCTTCCATCAGACGATCAATGCTATTCGCGCGACAAGCGTTGTAAACAACGACCTCCAGTGGCGCTTGGCCGAGTTGATGGTGCAAATGTGGAACGGTGCCCGGCTCGACAATAACAGCACGGCATCTTTCGATAACGACGACTCTCCACTGCACATTGACGACTCGTTGCAGCTGAAGGTGCGCTGTCGTCACAGCATGAGTCTCGTGTTCGACTCTGTCTGGCGATGGAGAGAAGAGTATCAGGCCCAAGGCAGAGGCTCGATTGATGGTAATTATACACTCCTTCTCCATTTCCCCTTCCCGTGCTCTAGCCATTGCATCCACGTCTCTCTTCGGTGTGACTGTGATGACTGACTTACGTGCCATCCCAAATAGCCATGAAACAACCTACTAATCCAGACTCAGCGAACGAGTCCTCAGCGTCGTCAACCCATTTGGACAGCACACTTATGCCGGCCACCCAAGGATTACAAGCGAACAGCTTGCTCACCACCAACGGAGCCCTTACCCCAAGCCATTCTGGCGGGATCGGCAGCCAAGCACCCAGCAACAGCATGCTGAGCGGCATCAATTATGGCGAGACCAATTACGACTTCTTCGACCCGCAGCACTGGATGTTGGATGGCCTCCTAGACTTCAACTACAACTTTGTGCAGCCTCTAGAGGGCGCATAGGACTTGCCCTGACGCGAGGCAGTCTGTTAGAGTAGCGACTCTTCCCGGAGAGGGTCAAATGAGAGAAGAACGCCTGCATATCGGGGGCGAGTTTCAGAACTGCGGAAAGGCGGCGGGCAGTCTGACTTGCATACTGTCAGAAAGGGGTGAGTGAACGCCCCTCGGCAGACGTTGCGTTGGCCCCCGTTGGGGTCCGGGGATGAGTGACTAGGTTTGCAGCTCTAGGCGATCCTCCCGTACCCCTTGGTGAACGATATTTTCTTGTTGCGGATATCGTGTCACCCGAACATACTTCTCGCGCCAGCGAGAGGACAAGATGTTTCTGTCGAGTTTACACCTGCTATTGTCATTGGTATCCCGAAATGGAAGCTCCCCACGAAGCGATTCTCGTTCGTATACTATTTTTTTCCTGCTTTGTTCCTTCACACTGGCTTCTTAGGACGGTCTATTCATGACGGTATAATCACGTGTATATTCGACAACGAACTCCACGACATGACGAATCGACATTGGGTCGTAACTTCGGTTTAGGCGGTCGTATCGTACGTTTTTATTTTTATTTCATTCTCGGGAGGCTTCTCTGTTTCTGTTTGCGGGATCATCCAAGCATTGGCAATAGCGGGTGCAGGTCCATATGGTACACAAGTATACACAGTCTCGAAGGCGCCATAGTTAGCTGGAGCGTTGTTTTAAATTCACAAAATCTAATTCGACGACACTTTGACCGTGCTATCTCTTGGCCTTGGCAAACAGTGACGATGTCCGGTGACTTGTCCATGCTTCTGCAGCGCGTGTGATGGCGTTTCTGGATGTCAACGTTCCGAGACATATCTGACGAAACAGAAGGTGGAAATGATATGCCGCTATGTAAGTCCCGACGGCCCAACGTTCCTGATAGGGAACTTTTCGGGGATCTCGACGTCGCGGCGGAGAAATATTGGATGGTCCGGAATGTCCTCGAGCCGGGCAGCCGAGTGCGACTCCGGCCGTAAGCCCCCCCCCCTCTCCCTCCGAATAACGGGCCCTGCAGCGGAGGCGTGCAGGAGAGACATCAAACGGGCACGGCTTTCGCGCACGTAGGGAATTCACCACGGAGAGGTCGAATGCAGTCTTGTCTCCTGCCTCGGAGGAGTGTCCGACTTGGGACAACGGCCGCGCAGGTGGTGATGAAACTCCCGCGACCGAGACCGCTTGACGTCCACGTAGCACGGGGGTAGCATCAACCGGCGAGCGATGGCGCGAATTGGAAAATGCGACACCTAGCCCCCTGTCCTCCCCATCTGCGACTCCCATATCCGCGACGCATCGTGGGGACAAGAGGCTGAGGTTATACAGCAACTCCCCCGGGTTCCGTTCCCATATGCTAGATAGCCGCGAGCCGCTTCTGTAGCGGCTCAGTGGGCGGGACTGCCACGGTATAGGTTCGACTTGTTTATGTGTGCCAAGATGTGTTTAACTCCTTCTTCTCCTCCGGAGACTGCAAGAGGCAGTGACAGACTGGGGTCTGGATCAACAACCCAAGCGTATGGCTAGTTTTCCTGGCGAGTTTGTATCTGTACGTGGCCAAGAAGTATCTCGACCGGGCGAATCTGGTCGTCGCTTGCTTCATCGTGGAGAAACGGCAGCGCGGTCTGGTGGCAAGTTGCTGGGTCTGGGCGAGGCGTTCTCTGCCTTTATCCCGCGGGCGAGGTAGATTTCTGTCTACCCAATGGAAGCCGTATTTGGGGATTGGGATTCAGTGTGCAGACACACCTTCGTCCACTTCCTCAGCTGCTCCCGGGGTAAGGAGCAGTGGGGACAGATGAAGAATGTCCTCGGCGGCGCAGAGGACGTCTGTTCGACTCCCATCGTCTGTTCGGTTCCATGGGTACCGTTCGAATTCGAGGACGAGATCGGGGCTTGAGTCATCGCGGGGGCCGGAGGGATGCTAGGGGCGGAGCAAGATGATAGTCATCCAACAGGTTTGACCTTGACGAACTCCGATAAGAGCTTGGTGCCCTGCACCGCCGTAGCAAGCGGGAGGTGGCGGCCGGGAGCAACCTTAGATTGTGCATTCCTTTTTTTGCTATTCTCGATCGTGGAGGAGGGGGCTGAGTGGACGCAGAAGCGACGTCGAGGGAGGAGCAGAGTTGCTCGTGTGGATTGTTGCGCTTGTTGGATGCTTGTGGGTACGGGACACTCGCTTCGGTCATCTGCTGTTGGTTGGGAGACGAAGTGTCGCTTCTTTTCTCTTCGCGTGGTGTTCGGCTGTTGGGGGCCATTCGTCAGTCGGTTGGTTGGTTGGCTATTTGGTTGTTCGTTCCTTGCAGAGCTTCACAGCCTCAAACATGGATCCGTCACTCCGCCACTCGAGCTGCTTGCATCAAGGAAACATGGAGGGCTGTAATACACAGAGAGGTTAGCAGGACGGAGCGCTGTTTGTGTGCCTCGTTCCTGCAGATGGGCTCAAAATAGGCGGCGCATCGCGGAGTTGCAATGGCGCATCCGCAGCTTCAGGTATCTTTGGAACTGCGGAAGAGTTCGCAGAACAAGAACGGACTTGCTGTGTCATGTGAAAAGTCAGCTTCGGAGCTGCGGTCGAAAGATTGGGGTGTGCAAAAGAGGGCACAGCAGCAACGAGCCGAGCTCCTCGAGGCATGACCAGTTAGCCGAGTCAATGGTTCTCCGCGATAGATACTACGGTCGTCAGCATTAAGCGCGATTTGCCGAATCACGCAGAGGAAACTTTCCGGAGTTCAGAACAGCGTACGAAGCCATTTCGTTCAACATCCGGAATCGCCGTGGAAGCGGGCGCGGGGCTTTGCAGGCACTTGGCCGCGTTTTCGGGCCTCAGTTGCGGCCTCCCACGTCGAGGGCCAGTCACAACGTGATGAGTGAGATATAATACAGGGAATGCAATCAAAAAAGAACGCCTTGCGAGGCATTATTCTCTCGAAATGTCATCATTATCCCAGGAAATCAATCTGAACAACGACTCTGGACATCTTCGTGCGGCGGAGATAGCCCCCCGACAAAGTCGCCAGTTGGGAGTGGACCAGACAAGAGATCCGGTTCGTCAACACTGCCCGTGCCCATCATATTCAATCAGCGAACGGCTTCCCCAGTAGCAATCAGCAGATCTTCTTCGTCCAGATTGAAGTGCTGATTATCTCCACAAAGGCCTAGCGAGGGCTCACGCGCACACCAACGGCGGCTTTTGAAACGCTTGGATATCGTTACGGCCGTTGGCTGCGCCTCTCCCGTCCATGGCTTGAGTGAGAACAGGAGCTCAACAAAGGACATAGCATTTGGGGGCTAGGCTCAAAGTGCCGAAGGATTTCTCTGACTTCCCCTCCTTACTATGGTGTGATGGGTAAGTCTTTTACCCACAACAGGTAGTTCTTGGCTTTGACCCCACAGCCAGCGAGGAATCACAACCCAACTGGCTGGACAGTCACCTAAGTGTGCGAAGTACCAGTGCTTAGATCTGCCTGCTTACAAGCCACAAGATACCTGACAGGGGTAAAAAACTTTGGCCTGGAACCATAGTAGAGGTACTCCATCATCCGCGGATGAGCTAGATAGTGTGGTGGTGGCGCCCTTTTTGCGGATCTCCTTAGACGGTTGTCCGATTCGACTTCAACGCGACCACAAAGCTTGGCTTCGGAAGGGGGAAGGAAGAAATCCTTTCTCTCCTGCGGGACCTGTTTTTCCCGCTATTCCAGATGAGACATGGAGGGGAAAAAACGTTCTTACGGGCGCAATCGGCGAGGGGTTTGACGCCTGCCTTTGTCCACTCAGACTAGGCCCGTCGTGGCAGCTTCTTCCACACGGAACTGCCACGGCGTTGGGTATTCTCACCCCCTCTCCTTCACGGCAAGGACTCGAAGAATGGTCATCCATGACAGTTGCAGAGACTCGTCACGGTGCAGAATGGATGTGCCGCCCATGATTCGTGGGTGTCAGGGTTGATGACAGCAGCTCAACGGGGGCCACCACCAGTGAAGATGGATGGTTTGTTTCGCTGAGTGCAGCTTTATTGGTCGGGGAGGAGCAGAGTCCAGGAAAAGGTGTTGTCTCCTGAAAGTATCTGTGTGCCTCAAAATCACTCGCCAGTTCTTGTCACAACCGATTCCAAAGGGTCAGTTGGAGGGATGGGAGGGTAAGCCCGTCTAGCCGTCCGACCGTCGGCTGTCACCGCTGTGCCTTTTCCCAAGAAAAATGTTGCCTCGATTGCCTCGATTGAGCAGTTCTTCAGCATGAGAAAGTTATCAAAGGCCAAGGATCGTGTGTAATATCTCGTCCTACATGCCTCTAGTCGGAAGGAGTACATCCCTGAAGCCGAATGGCCCCCCAAAGGCCGAGACGTGGAGCATGCGCCACCCGCATGAGGCCAGGAGAAGCCATGGTGGGTGTGAAGGCCGTCTCAAATTGTATCTTATTGTACCCCCGAACTACCCTCTCCATGCCTTAGGGGTGACCGGCCAGTCCACGTTCAGGGGCCGTTAGACTTCATTGATTGCAAAGGGTGGTGGAGTCTCAGGGTTGCACGGGGCAGCGAGGGCAAGCGTCATCGGTCCATTGCCCACTGGAAATCTCGGACAGAAAACAAACAAGGCTTGCGGCACAATCGCCGTCAGTCTGAGCGTGCTTCGCTACCTAGGACGAAGGTTGTCATTCGCTCAGGGGTTCGACTCCATGTCATTAGCTGGCAGACAGCAGAGAGCGTCGCATCTGGACGTTTACGCCCGGCTAATAGATGTGGACATGGTTGCTGATCGGCTTCTTTGACGCGACTTTGCCGCCGGAAGCTGTTGGGCTATTTCCCGGTAGTCAGAGTCTAACGACGAGCTGCACAATCAGAGTCCAACAGAAGACGCTGTGATGTGGATACTTTTGTCATGGCACCTCCAGTAAGACCTCCGCCGGGAGAGAGTTGTGTGATTGAGACCCGACAGACTGGAAGCGCCCAATGTGCATGAAAGTTTCCAATGCTACATGAGGCGGCACCTCAAGCGATT